AACATATTTGAACACTGAAATATTGGCATCCGTATATCAGACAAAAAAATCATTTCATGGCATACATACATGCCAAAGTTTAGCTTCCTCTGTTTGCCAAGTTCAGAGACATTTACAGAGCAAAAATACATTTTGAGATTTAATAGCATTACCTTATATTTTGCGTGGAAATGACAACAACAGAGGACATAAATATCCTTTTTTTTATATCACTGTCATATTGAAAATCAGATTCAAACCTTTTGTTGAAATTCAGATTGCATCGCTGGCTGTTTTTTGAGAAGATGTTTACAAGGTAAGGAAATGCACTTTGAGGCCATTGAAGAGCAGGTTCCAAAGTCCAAAGGTCAAATAGAGATCAAAATTTAAAATATATCCAACATAGGAACATATGCCTTGAGTCCCACTACTAACTATGACACATATGCCAAATGCCATTACATTCTGAACCAAAGTAATGGCCTATGTACCACAGTCTAATCAAGATCTGATCAGATGATGTGTCAGATGATATATGTCCTGAGTCGAGAATGCATTTGATTAAAAGATGCTTTACTGCGATAAAACCAGTTGTGAGTGAGCGAGTTTGATTTTACACCGCTTTTAGCAATTTTCCAGCAATATCACGGCGGGGGACACCAGAAATAGGCTTCACACTTTGTAATCATGTCAGGAATCGGTGTGATGAGCAAACGCATTAACCAATAGGCTACCTGACCACCCCTAAAACGAGTTGTTGTTGTAAAAACAGTTCCATATTTTCTTATCTTGTCTTACTGGAGATCAATTCCACAGAATAGAGTTGTCTACGTCTAATTACTACATGTTATCTTTATTTCTATGGGAATGAGACACCCTTTGACATACAGCTTCATCTAAAGAGATAATAAATGATAGCACGAGAAACAGACCCATGAAGAGCCAGGTTAGAATAGGTCTCCAGCAGCCCATGTTTGTCCCAAGAGGTGACTAATGGCTGGTCAGGCTCGCTGACTTGGTTGATGCATGTCATTGTATCAGTGTGGATAGATGCTCATGATGTCAATCACTTGATTGTCTTACACGACTCCATTAGTTACAGACCGCCGTCATGTAGCAGGAATATTGCTGAGTGCAGCATTAAACAACAAAAAACAAACATGAAAAAGTACAATTGTTTACTTTATTGTAAAAATCATGTTACCACGAAGAAATGAATCAGCTGATCATACCTAATAAAAAAATACATTACAAACATAAGCATGCAAACATAACAGTCTAGTGTGGTAGACATCTCTAACCCTGATACATCCAAGCTGCATGCATGTCAGCTGCTACATCAAGATGGCCGCCTCATAAACATTTACCCTTGCTTTCTGTCACCAGGGAATCGATATGATTTTGTTTGTTTGTTTGTTGTTTAACGCCGCACTCAGCAATATTCCAGCTATATGACGGCTGTCTGTAAATAATGGAATCTGAACCAGACAATCCAGTGATTGACATCACGAGCATCAGTCTACGCAATTGGAATACGATGACATCAACCAAGTCAGCGAGCCTGACGCCCATTCCTGTTAGTCCCCTCTTACAACAAGCAGTCACCTTTTACAGAAAGCATGGGTTGCTGAAGACCTATTCTAACCCAGATCTATATGAAATCATTCATAGAACCCTGCTGTAACAAATGTTTCTGAAAATAAGTGTGCTAAAGTACAGCAAGAAAAGAACATACCAGAGAGAATACCAGATTACATGTTTACTCTGAACAACACACAAAACATCATCATAATTAAAAGAAACAACAATTATCACAGATTTAAGCATTGTTTCTATATGGAGAATCTCACCCGAGTGTCTTTTGATATCAAATATATCAACACGAGTTGATAAAAGTGGAAAAATCCTAGGCTTCCCGAGGATTTTTGCCACTTTTATCAACGAGTGTTGATATATTTGATATCAAAAGATACGAGGGTGAGATTTTATTTATCATCCAACATCATTCTTTCAACTTTTTCAATTTGTAGACAGTAATTAGCAGTGTCTTCAGTGTCAAAAGTACTGCAAACAGCTTCAGTAGCAGAGCCATTAGTGATGTCATTTGATTGTGACGACATGGTAACCAGTGATGTCACAATGGTCTGCAAAGCATTGTGATGTAATTTCATTGCAGCGATATCTACAGTGTAGATATCGCTTGATCTCATCCAAGCGATATCTCCTGTGGGAGCCAGTTTTGGATGATAAATAGAGAATCTCACCCGAGTGTCTTTTGATATCAAATATATCAACACAAGTTGATAAAAGTGGAAAAATTCCGAGGCTTGCCGAGGATTTTTGCCACTTTTATCAACGAGTGTTGATATATTTGATATCAAAAGACACGAGGATGAGATTTTATTTATCATCCAACATCATTCTTTCAACTTTTTCAATTTGTAGACAGTAATTAGCAGTGTCTTCAGTGTAAAAAGTACTGAAAAAGGCTTCAGTAGCAGAGCCATTAGTGATGTCATTTGATTGTGACGTCATGGTAACCAGTGACGTCACAATGGTCTGCAAAGCATTGTGATGTAATTTCATTGCAGCGATATCTACAGTATAGATATCGCTTGATCTCATCCAAGCGATATCTCCTGTTGGAGCCAGTTTTGGATGATAAATCTCCGTCACAGGCACATTATTAAAGGGAGGAGGGCAGTAAGACAATAATATAATTATTTATTAAAACCCAAAGTGATCACAGCTGCTGCCCCCCCCCCCCCCCCCCCTCTCTTACCAACAAACTAAACACAAATGGGTACACATTAAACTCAGCCCTTTAATATAACATCAGTTTGTCAAGCATTAAATTTTATGGATATCAGAGTATGCTTGACAAGATGGGAGGGAATTTTTAACAATGTTACTGGCAATGAAAATGACAGGTGTATATGAGGTCAATGTTTAAAGTGAGGGGCTAATGCCAGAGAAATACTTCCAATCTTATATTATACCACAGACCTAAATAACAGGTCCATGATTCAAGCAATATTCATTGATTCATTCTCCATCGCAAAATACTTTTGGCAATACACCTATGAGGAATGAGGTACTAGCTCTACCCGAACACATGTCTGACATGACATCTTGGAAAGCCAACTAAAGATAACTTAGGACTAGTGAATATTTATAGGAACACTTTCATTGGAAACAAGAGCAACCATAACTAACACAGTAGTTTATGTTCCCTTGTTTTAGTCACCGGTACATCATGCATATTATTGGGACATCTGTTCACATGTAACAAAACACCACACATTCAACACAGATAGTGTATAGATTCTGAATACAGACAGCACAATATTTAAATACTGGCATAATTATTCCATACTCCTGGCAACCACATTTAACTGTTTCCACAGACATTGATTGATTTGACACAAATAGACAGCCCTTCATGCTGACCATTTGAACCATTTGGATCAGCCATGGTCCATTTTTTCAATTTCATATTTAAAAGAGCTCGCGATAAGCTGCGAATCTGCGTAAAATACCCATCAGAAATAGAGAAATATGCAGTAAAATAAAATCCAAGCGTATCAAATACGCAACGAACATTCCAGATATGCTACAAAAATAAAACTTGTGCGTATCATCAATATATTGTGAAGTAACCCTGCGTATTCGATTAGCAAATCAGCAACTTATTTTGAAATCATAAACGGGCATTCCGTCAACCTTGCCAATCTCCATGATGACAGTTACATCATGATCATTTGCCATCACACTTTCTTGTGGAAGTGTCGTGGTATTTTTGAGTCCTATAAAGCTCTCGAACCCACACAACACCAGTTTGCATGGACTAGATGAATAGTGTTTTTAAATATTTAACTTAAATACCCACATGTGTAAAAACTAGTGGGTAACAGAAATTTGAATACCCAGATAGAATTACTGATAACCAATGATTTTAAAATGCATGGGTAAAATACCCACAACACCAAAAGCTTATCTCGAGCTCTGTTACAGTTAGAATGTCCCAAAGTACACGGACATTACATCATTTTCTGTGTGACTTTCCTTTCACGTTTGATTTGTGGGAACATAAATGAGGCCAGTTAAAATAAAAGAATTCATGCTAGACTAGTCTGCCACTGTTTCTAGAGCTTTAGCACTGATGGGCCACTTTTTTTTGCATCCCTGCAACACTTGGAGTGCTTCTGCTGTGGCAATATTGCCAAGATCACTATGTAAAAGCAAACTCCCTGCCTTGCTAACTTCTGAATAAAAAATTTAACGAGAAAGATACCCCCCTCCCCCAACTGTCACATCAACTGATGTTCAGTTTCTACTCCTTCCAAGCATACATTTGATCTGGGTCAAGATGAAGCAAAGAGCAATAAAAAACAATTGCGCCACTTAATCTGATAAGTAAACCGAAGGTATAAACTGGGATTTGGTTACAGGCTATGTGGAATGCAAAATGACTTACATGGGGTGATAACTATTGAACATGTTCTTGTCTATGTCTGATGGTGATACAGCAATCACAAGATAAGCATCAATAGTTGAGACTGCTCCAGCACTAGAATATTGACTGTTGTGTGGTCATAATAAATGAAGCACATACATTTCACAATCGTGTTTTTAACCACTGCAACACAATACCACCAGATGAAAACCATACTGATGGCATAGCAATGTCAAATCTACAGCGCATGAACTATGACAGTCTGTGGGAAGATTTTTCAGTCTACTGGCATGAACTCGTCTTGTGGGGATATTTTTTAATATTATGGCAATACTGAGCAAAGCTTACCTAGATAGAAAGACATTTATCAGACGTAGGCTCCGGTTTAGTGGTTAGAGTGCATGTCTATGCTTAAGTGATCCGCTAAATCGAAGATAGTGACAAATCCCAATATGATTAAAATAAAATAACTTAAGAAATTACTTTGTCATATGAAATAATGTTCGTGAATAAATCCTAACACTATTTGTTGGATTTTGTTTGGCATAAATACTCTTGAACATAGCTTAGGCTAAACAAAATAAAAGACTTGGTTCTCAGGCTCCGCCCACATCATCACAAAGTCTGCCGCACATTTCGTTTTTATATCCATTTTCAAAATGCACACAGTTACTTCCCTTTACATGTGCACTGCTTTACTGCACATCTTGAGTAATGGTCATGGCGGCAATAGGAGTTTGTATGCTGTTTATGTAGGGAGGCCCTTTCCCAGGTACACAACTGTTTTTTTGGTTACATACTAGTTTAAACAAGCAGAAAAAACACCGCCCGCCCTAAATGTTCAAAAGTCATCGTCTGAGAACCAATTCTTTTATTTTTTTTAAGCCTTAAAAATATGACCAGATCTAATTTGATTGGTATGAAACCAAGTGAATCAGTGTTTTGACCAATCATGACCCAGGATTAGATTTCTGGCCAATCATAGTGTAGACTTGTCCTGTCTCTGTTGCCCTGCCAGTGGCTTGTCTCTCTCCTCCCAGATCGTCACTCCGTCACAAGCACAGATCTTCTTGTTGTTCTCGAAGAGACCAGCTGACCTGGCAATGATGCCACACACCATCCTGAAATCACAGTTCATTCCCATGACAACAATCCTGAATCATTTTTAAAACCTGAAATCCTTACAGGACAAAATAGAGGTTATCCCACTCTTAAGAATCATATAAACGGACAGACTTTTATAAAGATCGCGAAATTGGCACTACAGCACAAACACAGTTTGAAACAGATTTCTGTCTAAATGGTAGTTGATGAGAAAGACTTTCAGTTGAGTTTATGGTTAAACCCATGGGCTATTATCATTGCCCATAAAACCGAACGATCTGATTGGCTATTATTAGGGTTGGGACGAGTCCAAATTTACTACCCGGGTACCCACCCCCCTATAACCGGACCCTACCAGGTACCCACTGTAGGTCTCAAGAGATGGGTACAAAATGTCCGACTGGGATTTGTTTTACTATAGCCCTGGCAAAACGTATTTAGATACATATTTCAAACAATCTTGAAATGCATACAATAAAGTTAACTTAAGTTTTATCTTCGTTTAACCATTTGAAAAGTCAGAAGGAATGGGTGCAGAGTCAGAAAGGAATGGGTGCAGAGTCAGAAAGGAATGGGTGCAGAGTCAGAAAGAAATGTGAACATAAGTGATTTGTAGTGTCATCATGGAGTTACAGATAATGTTTGCCATTAAACAATGTATCATGTGACAGACCACGGGTCCGGGTAGTCCTGTGGGTACCGGGGTCCTACTCAGTACCCACCCGACCCGGGTACCCGAGTTACCTGCCCCAGCCCTACCGGGTACCCACTGCAGGACTCAAGAGTTGGAAACAAAACGTCTGATTGGGATTGTTTTACCGCAGCTCTGGCCAAAACTATTTAGATACATGTATCAAACGATGAGAAGTTGACTGAAGTTTTATCTTTACTCAAACATATGCAAGTCAAAAGGAATGTGTGTATTGTCAGAAAGGAATGCGAACATTAGCGACATGTAGGGTAACCACTGAGGTATATAGTGGGGTTTTGTCATTAAACAACATATCAAATGACTAACCACAACTCCGGGTAGTCCTGTGGGTACCCGGGTCCTACTGAGGCCCTACCCAACCCGAGTACCTGAGTTACCCGTCCCAGCCCTAGTTCTTATCATTACTCATAACACCGAACGATCTGATGGGCTAGTCATGGTCTTGTAAGTGAGTGAGTGAGTGAGCTTTGTTTAACACCGCTTTTAACAGTATTCCAGTCATATCACAGCATGTCAGCTTAATGTGGGAGGAAAGCCCGAAGTGATGCAGGTCTTAGACGTTTACCAGTTCGGTGAAACCCACGAGCACAGGTATGGTTCTGACAAACCTAGAATCATTATCGGGGCGAACCGGGATTCGAACCCACAATCATAGGTTTATGGCGTGCCCAAGGGACGCACCTCTGCACAGCGAATCGCGGCACTTTACACGACTGGGCCACCCCTGCCCCCGAACATGGGAGGAGGCGATGCAAGTATTAAGACATTTACCACTTTTGTGAAACCAACTAGCTTCTGGTGCTGACAAACCCAACCTTCATCCCATTCAAATCCATGATCATAGGATTCTAAGGGACGCAACTCTGCACAATGCTCACTGGTACCTTAGACACCTGGGCCTCCCATGCCCCTGCTAATTATACAGACTATTACCAGGTACAATGATTCTTGCAATATGATCAGTTGACCAGTTTAGCCATTTTTGCTCAAGTGTTTTGACTCACCTGTTAGAATTGCCTCCCTTGATGACCCCCTCTTTTGGGCCTTGATGTATGATCATTGATCGACCAATCAGATTCCACACTTTCAGATCATGGTTAGCACTGCGAAATATTCCCCTGCCATCTTCCCCAACTTTTAGTTCTGTGACAATGCCTTTAACCTGTGTAAACAAAACACATGGACGTTGGTGTGAGTGAGTTAAATCGGCCTTATTCAGACTAAAAGCAGGCACTGATTTGGTTTACAGACAGCGTTTGGGAGTTTGGGATCATTTGGGAGGAACATCCAACCCCCCCCAACTGAAGTTACCCCCCACCCCCACCAATTTTTTTTTAATATCCAAGATGCGCCTCTGGTCAATGATCAAGTCTGGACGCAAAGTGTGCCCTACGTTGTATTTTTACACTTATAACTCTATAAACACAAAAGATTGTAGAAAATATTATGAAATAAGTGACACAGTTCAGCTCAATAATGCAACACAAGCCCCTCCTATCTTAGTGTCAGCCAATCAGGAAACAGCACGCATTAATATTTATTACGTCACAGGGTAAGTGATGTGTCAGTCGGACAGTGACAGTAGCCAATATAGTTCCAACTGAAATATGTTTCTTATACAGTGGCGAAGCAACCTATACGCAAAACAACAGTTGTTTTTAATCCATCGGTCATTCAAAGGGAAGCTACTCTAACCCTAGTCTATGAGACGTCACGGCCACGGTCAGACGTTGTTGACAGTCTGTCTGTCCTGTTATAACGTTAAGAAGTGTAGTCAGATGTACACACAGCGACAAAACGAAACAAGGTAACAATTCAAACATATTTCGGCAAAATCCGAAATTGGGGAGAAGGTTTCAAGGCGCAGAGGTCTACAAGCACAGATATGGCTACTGATCCCGCTTGGCTAGGCCTCGTGCCCTCGCAAAATTGTTTCAAAATTTATATCTCCAAAGTTGCCAAAACTTATAAAATGTCTTAGCTACGTCACAGTTAGACACTGATTTTCAGTATATTAGACTGTTCTTTTGATAATGATGGCAATTATCCCTGTAGTTTATCCAGATTCCCGATGATTAATTCTGATTTGATCTCCGAATGACGAGGGGGACGCCATGTTTGTTATAAACAGTGAAAGTAGTCCTACTTGACCTTTGATATTTGCATCTCTATCCGCAAATGACCCCAACGGATATCGTTTTTATCCATTGGCTTTATCCTGCCGAGGAACGTACCCATTATATGATAAAAGTAAATATTAACACACACCTTGTCTGTTAATCCAAGGATATCTCCACAGCTGAAAAAACAAATACAAGGATGGTGTAAATAAATACACAAAAGGCATAATTTATTTAAGACAAAAACACTGAGTTGTTTATAGTACAACAAAACACTGCAAAAGGGCACACTTTTGGATGTGATCGTTTGGCCATCGCGTTTATCTGCGTTGCCCTGTTACATCTATGGGGAACAACTCACTTGACACTCCCCTCTCGAAAATAATGTTGTCCAATATACAATGTCATCAAGTTGCGAGCGCATGTTCGAATCTCCAGAAATGATGTCATGATGTTTTATAGTGAAATAAACAACACTTCATTCTTCATTGTTCTTTGCGATTTATTGAGTAGCTATCTTATATTAATAAATATATCATATTCTATCTTGGCAGTAAAAGGCGACTATGCTTGTCGTAAGACGCCACAAACTGGATTGGGTGGTCAGGCTTGCTGATTTGGTTGATGCATGTCATCGTATTCCAATTGCTGGGGGGCGGTCAGGGAGCCTAGTGTTTAAAGCATTCGCTCGTCACGCCGAAGACCCGGGTTCGATTCCCGACATGGGTACAATGTGTGAAGCCCATTTCTGGTGTCCCCCGCCGTGATATTGCTGGAATATTGCTAAAAGCGGCGTAAAACCATACTCATTCATTCCAATTGCTGGAATATTGCTGATTGCGGTGTTAAACAACAAACAAACAAACAAAAGTTAAAGCTACAGAGGCTGAATAAGACAACCCAGTGGTAAGACACCACACCATCTGTTACCTAAGAGTTGACCCTTCCTCGTCCCAACACATCTCACACTAAGTCTACGTTGAAGTAAGGAGCTTACCACAGTTGGGATGCTGACACTTTTTTGGAATGGGGCTCTGACGGTCACCCTTCCAAGCATACTGGGCAAAACTGATTTTTGTTTTGTTTAATATTTCATCCATGACCTCCCAATCTATTTTGATAGCTCTTACATACAAGCATAGATGGATGAATACCTTTATCAACCTGTAATCCCCAGGTCAAAATGACCACCATCTTCCTGAGACAAGGAAGTTAACTGACTATAAAAGTTCAGTTACCACCCTTGCTGAACTACGCTGTAATTTCCAGGCTCGATTGTAGTGACTATTACGAGTTATGTCCCTTCTATCTCCCTCCTATTGACAAATCAGATTCCATCACTCATTTTACTTGCATTTGCTTCAAACAAAATGGCAGCGTCCTGTCAAGACGATCTAGTCGATAATCAAGATCTATATTGTAATAAAACAGGTCTTACTCTGTAAGGTGCATCAAATTATTTCAGCACCTTGATTATAAACATGGAAAGATTTGCACAAATATCTAATGACCCCCAGTTGGCGGTACACATGCTTTGCAAATCCTGCAGTCAAACGAAATCTGCACATCGAAATCCATGTTGTTTACGACGTCTAGTTCGTTACACGATTTTGAATGGACTATGCCTAGACTCGTTAGTCCAGCCAAAATGTAATTCTGCAATTCCAGCCTAGTTCGGCAAGGATGATAACTGGACTTTTGTGGTCAGTTAACTCCCTTGCCTCAGGAAGATGAACGACCACCTAATGCCCATGTCAAATGACACTTGTTTGGAAAATATCAGGTCAAATTTGTCATTGATTTGTTCCAATCACATCAAAAGAGCTTGAAAATAGTTAATAACTATCAGCAAAAAGCTTATTGCAAATATTTGTTTCTTTAAAGTTGACATGATGCAGAAATGATTACAATAAGAGAGTGCATGAGATTGGTTTTACGCCGTTTTAAGCAATATTCAGCAACATCACGGTGGGGAACACCAGAAATAGGCGTCACGAACTGTACCCATGTGGGGAATCGAACCCGGTCTCCGGTGTTACAAGCTAATGCTTTAACCACTAGGCTACCACACCTCACCCTCATGACCGAAGAGATTCCAAATTGTACAGTATAGGTACCTTTTGCACTCCCTGGAGAGATCGCCCAGTTCATGCACGCACACAGTGTGTGTCCCCTGCGGCAGTCCATCCACTGTTCCCTCCACAACACAGGTCATCTCATTAGTCTGGACGAGGCGCACCACTCCCTTCATCAAAGTACTTCCAGCCTCCATTATGGCAACAGCTGCTCCCAAATGACTTTGGCCTGATTGGAACAGGAGAATTACAAGTAGTATTAAGGAGCATTTTGACATGGAAAATGTGAGGTGAAGTAGGTTTAATGTTGTGTTGTGTTTGAAATTATTGCACTCCTATAGCAACGTGCATGCACATGTGGATGGCAGATTGTACAAGTCTGGACTAATGCTGGTTTCATAGTGCTAGCCCACATGTCACAGTTTAACATACCCCACTCAGACACAGTATACTGGTTTTGGTTTTGTTTGTTGTTTAACGCCACACTCAGCAATACTCAAGCTTTATGACGGCGGTCTGTAAATGATCGAGTCTGGACCAGACAATCCAGTGATTGACAACATGAGCATCGATCCACGCAATTGGGACCGATGACATGCATCAACCATGTCACCGAGCCTGACTACCCGATCCCGTTGCCTTTTCATGCCTTTTACGACAAGCATAGTCGCCTTTTACGGCAAGCATAGTCGCCTTTTACGGCAAGCATGGGTTGCTGAAGACCTATTCTACCCAGGATCTTCACTGAATATGAGCCAACCAGTCCTTGTTGTACCCAGTTAATGCCGAGCGCCAGGCAGGATTACAACATGTTCCATCTTATAACCAGGGTATGAAACTCCCAAAATTTTCAGCCAGACCACAGGACTGGCTAGCTGAAATACTTGCCAGCCCTGACCAAAACCTGCCTGCCCACTATAATCATAAGTTTCTCAGGATAATTTAATTAAAACTTTAAATCGAATTCATTGACCATGAAGTGATGCAAGAAAAGAAATAGCAAACACTTTTTAGGTCAGATTTGTGTGTAATATCCTAGAATACATCATGTAAATAATGCTTATCATCGGGAAATATTTAGAATATTTTTACATATGAAATATAACCCGACCGTCGGGCAGGGGGATTTGAAAATATGGCAGCCCGAGTTGAAATCAACCCGTCTCGGACGGTCGGGCAGGCAGGTATTTCGAACACTGTTATAACGTCTTTTGGTACGTTGGGGCCGGGGATAGAACCAATGACCACCCACTATTGGCAGGTGCCCTTCCCAGTAGACCACAGTGGTGGTCTGATGGAAAATGTGCCGGGGATCGAACCACTGACCACCCACTCTTGGCAGGTGCCCTTCCCAGTAGACCACAGTGGTGGTCTGATGGAAAATGGTGTTTTGAGTACTAAAATCATTCCGCAATGTGTAAACTTGGTCAGATCACTTAGAAAAGATGTACATGTAGTTAGTCAGACTCTTTGGAATACTTTATTTATATGGTTGAGCGCCCTATTCCCTGGAAAAAAAGGATGTCATGTGGCTTATGAAATACACACTCAGGTTCCCTTATTGCTCTGAAATGAAGGGTCATTTTGCATATTTTTCTTGACACAGGAAACCTGCATTATTGAGGAAAGTTCATCAAATACACTGGGTAAAATATTGTATGTGCATCAGCTGTGACGAAGAATAAATCTCCAGTAATACCTAACCCATCATTATGCTACAGGGCTACGCAGAAATGTGTGTCCTGTATGCACAAATGTACAGAATGCATGCAGATAAAGGTATATTGCATCCAGAAGGACACACAATAATATTCATTATACCAAAGTCTTGACAAGAAACAAAAAGGTCCTGTAATTAAAGTGATGATCAAATATTGCAGTACAGTACAGTACAGTACAGTACAGTACACTGCACCATTTCATTATTTACTATGTTTACAGGACCCTAATATTTCCTGTAAGAAAATATTTATTTTTGATACCCTGGATTCCCAGTATCAAAGTCTAGGTAAAACACTGATGCCATTTTCATAAGGGTTATGAAAATATTATGTTATGACTTTCTCATTCTTAATCTAAATGCAGGTTGAAATATTTTGTCCAGGGTTAGTTTACCAGGTCCCTTGTGATGTGAGGTTCTACTACGCCAAATCAAAACCAGTTGGAACAGTGCGGTTTTCGTAGGGAGCCTTCAGTGCAGATCGAGAGATATCTGCAGGCTGTGATTGGAGGATATTCTGCAAGATTTTTATGTCTTTTAAATGTACATCCATCCAGTTATTAAAACTGACCATGTTTTTCTAAATTTAGTACTGTCTTTTTCAACATGATGACTTATGCTGAATGTGACCACAGCTATTTTCAAGTAGGTGACATTTGGTGCGAAACTGGGGGTGGTGTGTTTAATTTCCTGTACTCGGAAAAGGAGCTGGCTAAGCTTGTCTTATTTTATGTTTTTATTGCTGCTCTAAGGCCAACCTGTGCACACATGTACAGGTAATAGCTGTTGAATGCTAAGTTATTTAAAAAAACAAAACAACGTTACTATAGAAGTCTATGGGAAAACATTTGGTTGTGTGTAACCATGAATGACTGAAGGAGTTGATGGTCAACATACCATTACTGGATCCATAGCCCTGCAGGACTGCTCTCTTGCCTGTTATTTCAATGAGGTCTTTAACTTGGGACGAGGGGAGAGAACTCTCAACAATCACTTGTTCTGTGTCCAGGAGAACATCAACAGAATTTATCCCTGCGAAAAAAACAAGCACAGTTGTTAAAGGCAAACTCCTCAATTTTTTTGTTTCAACATCTGATATTTTGCTTAGGTATTCATTGGCATACAGCATTTTTTTTTAATTTGAATGTCCTACACATCATAAAGTTTAATAGAGTAATATTATATTTCTGGCATGAACACAGCTATATCCCATTGTGTTAAGACATAATATTTCAAATTCCTAAATTTGGTGGTGTCTTAGAGGATCTTAAAAGTATTTCACAATTTCATTTGATTTTCTTTTTTAATAAAATCACATCCTTGAGAAACTGGAGTTTCCTCATGGCATAATACCACTAAAGACGTCCTCCTAAAGTTTTAGGCCCACCCTTCCAGCCATTTTGGAGTTGAAACCTGAAAGATATATGTATCAAAAACGGCCAGCTAAGATGATGAATACCGTATTCGACGTAATAAGTGCCCAGGGCACTCTCAAAAATAGAAAAAGGGGGCTCTTATTAGAATATTATTTTGTGGAAAAGATAAATTTCGTGGTTTGTGCTGACGGCCTGAACTGTTTATATACGACAGATATATTTTTCCTGAATTTAATTGCCCATAATTAAGGGTGTATATAACACAAGCGTGCATATTATACACGAATAAATAAGTCTTGTGTACATTGATCAATAGGAAGGGGTGCTTATTGGGATTGTTCACTTGCCAATACATTAGCAAATATCGCCGTGGGCACTTATTAGAGCGGGGCGCTTATTACGTCGAATATGGTAACTCCCCATACACTCGATAGGAACCTGTGGCAAAGGCAAACCATGGACCAAGTCGCCTAGTGGTTGCTCGTTTCAGTGAAAGACATATATTTGATTGCCTACAAAAGTACAATGTGTGAAGCCTATTCTTGGACTATCCCTGCTGTGTCATGCTGGAATATTGCAAAAACCTGACTCACAAACTCTATCCTGCTTGTCGACATTTCCCAATTTACGAACCTGGTGCACCATCCAGTACTTTTCTGACAGAATTGACACATCCCTGGCATGTCATCTGGACAGCAAATTCCATCTGAAATAAAACAGGCATATGTTTTATGAATGGATTAGACATACATACTATGTTTTCAGTGTAATGTAACCTGTAGATTTAACCACGCCAAATTGAATTAAAAACCGATCGCGCATGAAGAAAATATTCATAACCTCAATTTAAAGGGGCACTGATCTAACGCAATTCCCCGGGACTGGTTGTTGCCTTTGTTATTGTTTTTTCCCAGTGAGTACCCGGATGTATGGCAGAAATCTAGACTAGTTCGCGACCTCTTCTGCGCCATTCGTAAGCGCATTAGTCACTTTTATGGATAGTAATAAGGGCGTATGGTCACATTGATCAACAAAATGAAATACAGTTTTCGAGATAATTAGGAAATGTAGGTATCTTTGTGGGTAGCATCGGTAATGGTGACGTAGTTTTGATAAGTCACTTGCTTGGTAATTTTGCGATTTTCGTTTACACTATTTTGACTTGCAACACAAAGTTTCACCTGAGCATTGCTTTTTGATAGTGTGTATATTTTTGTCAAAATGTGTAACATTTTCAAATTTATTAAACGCCTAAATATTGAGTTATTTTACAAAGTGACTGAAAAACATTTCCATCTGTATTATTATGATAACGAATTCCAAACATTTTGATGTTTAATGTCATCAACAAGAGACTGAAAATGTTACGTTGAAAAGTACATTTCTATGTTGTTTGGCTTCTAATTCTACATAATAATCAGTTTTTATGTTTGTAGGCCCTTTTAATCGTCTTAATCAATCTGGACAGATTTTTTAGTCAAAATGACTGAAATATTTACACATTTTATAAATTGCCTGAGAGAATCACGTTTTATAAATTGACGGTAATATATATACGCTTACAAAGGAAAAGGCCTGTGAAAACAACGTCTATCGCGCATTGAAGAATTTCCCAACCAAGACGTAGAGAAACAAGGACGAATCGGTTCAATGTTACAGCAAATGAAGGAAAACAAAATGCAAATACCATAATTACAACCTACTAAATTTATGCGTATAAATTTTAGGCAGCTTCCTTGTTCGAGGAATGTATCCATGAATATCCACACAAAGGAACAATATCCCACTCGTCTGCAGCTGTACAAAAAAATCTTATTCGATATCACGTGTCTCTGTAACAATCACATATTTTTAAAAATATATATCGTTTGGGGATATTTTAGCCCGTGTCCGTTTCTCAACTGATCACTTGGATTGTTTCAGGTGTTTCACATAGGTGTCAAGTCTCAAGGGTCAGCTGAGAGAGCCCACGTGACAACTATTTTCATAACGTCCACAGTTCCTAAAAAATCCATTGAGTGATAGATAACAATGATCAATCAATCAACGTATTATCAGTTAACCCTTTGAACAAAGCATGTTGTTTTTACATCGGCACTTCACGCCATGATATGAGTGTATTCCCTTTGTTTTAGTAAACCTAGACATGTAAACACTCACTTTTGACATATCCACTGTGCAAAATAACAGGGATTAATCAATCAACGTATTTTCTGTTAATCCTTTGATGACTAGGAACGATCCGTTGATTTACAAAAAAAGTAAATCAACTGATCATTCACCTCTTGCTGGTCTGCCACGTGCATATTACATAACACACATTTCACCTCACTTCAAACCTGGATTTAGATTGAATAATTACCCCAGACACAATAAATGCCAAATGGGAACCTTTGTCAGGTAATCTTAGTGGTGCTACCACTAATTGTACCTGTAATAAATTCATTAACTGAGCATCAAGTGAATGACGACAAATACACAAGTGTAGGGGTTATACGCGAAAACGTGGATGACAACAAGGGAGTAGATATCATATTATCGACGCAATCCGAAATCCGAAAATGCTTTCACTGCATGGATACTTTTTTTTAGTATTAAACTATAACCATCTGGGGTATTTCCAAATGACGACATCCGATGAGCTCCGCCGTTCTTTTTGTCTGTTTGTTTAGGTTGAAGAAATTAATTAACATGCGCCCTTTGTCGAAATCTTTATAGATCACAGTTAACCAATCAGTGTTTATGCAAAAATGCGTAAAACAAATATTGCCTCCAGCCTCCAAGTTTATTTAGCTGTCCTTGCAGACGGTAGCCCAGTCTCTGGTCACGCTCAGTTGCGTTGCGTATCATCCGGGTACTCACGGGGAAAAAACAATAACAAAGGCAACAACCCGTCCGGGGAATTCCGTTAGATCAGTGCCCCTTTAACAAAAGTTGACCAACATTAATATTTCAGATATTAATTTCTCCTTTCTCAAAAATTAAATTACTGTATCTATTGTTTAACAAATCAATATGTGAATCGTTCATCTGGCAGCAAATGCAAATTCAGATTTTGAAGGCCAAATGACTTTGCATGTTTGAAACAGGCTTTAGAATGATGTGCACGAAAACAGGACACCTGTATTTGATTTCGCATAAACATCGGTTCATATCAGAACAGAACAATAACATTTCTCACAAACAAAACTAAGCATTCCTAACACAAATCTTTACAGATACCCATTCATTAAGTTGGTTGTATATCAGATACAAAACACTTCCACACAAAGACAACACGACAGATAAAATATACACACTTTAGTGGGAGTCGCCATTTTTGTTTAGTACGTCACGTAAATTGGTTCGGTGTATCACGTGACAACTTGGCGGTTTCAAAATTAATGTGGTGGATGCTGGCAAAATAACAATTAGAAAAGGTGTAGTATTTTGTAATCATCTGTCATTAGCAAACGGAACGATGAATTACTATCTTAGGAAGCTTGTTTTATTGTTCTAGCAGAAAGTGGACATCGTTGTTTGTTCTGCTCATGTCAAATGATGTTTCATTGTGGACCGTGATCATGCATCATGCATTTTACTTTCCGAATAGACTGTGATATGAAAATATTTATCACATTGTATGGTCATCGGGCCATTTCTTAGTTCTACCGGATTATTCGCGTATAGACTATTTCTCTGTCAAATGTCCAATGACATTGGACCGTGAGTGTGAAATGTTGTCATTTTTGCACTAAGAGTAAGATTGACAAACTGTCACACACCAGATTCTAACGGATTTGAAACTAATCATCAGCAGACACGTGTCAGTATTTCGATTTCAACGTCCTGTGTAACATTGGCATGTATGTTATGACACATCTTGCCCTAAACTGGAGGAAGAGCTCCAGGATAACACAAAGATTATCATTTTGAACATGATCATCTTCATTATCACATAAAACATAAATCTTATTTTATTATGGATGGAAGTGAGTTCTAGGTGCATCTTCTAATGCATTTGACATTCTACCATGTGGGGGTTGAGGGGGGGGGGGGGGGGGGGGGGGTTGAGATCAGAGGCGCCACCCATCATTTATCAGACAAATCATAACATCATACATTGTCACGCAAAGTGTTGCGGACTGTCCGCACAGTAAGTCTACCTTTGCCTGGGTTAAGCAGGTTTAGTATTGCTCAGTTTTGATCACTGGTTATTTCACATGTGAAGAACCAGGTTACATTTGATCTTCAGCAACCCTTGCTTTTCGTTAGATGCAACAGATGACTTGGTTGATGCATGTCATCGTATCCCACGTGCGTAGATTGATGCTCATGATGTTAATCAAGATTGTCTGTTCCCGACTCGATTATTTACAGACCAGCATCATTTAGCTTGAATATTGCTTGGTGCAGCGTTAAACAACAAACAACCACTGGTCATTCCTCAAAGTGTCTGTAGCAGTTGTCATCACTGGTTGTCAACCTTCCGGCTATGGTTCAATCTTTCATATCGGTGGGCACAGGTGGCCCAGTTGTCTAAGGTGTGCAATTCGCTGTACAGAGATTCATCCCTTGTCTAAGCCAGAAACCTATGATTGTTGGTTTGAATCCTGTTTCGCCCCGATTATGTTTCTAGGTTTGTCAGCACCATACCCGTGCTCATGGGTTTCAACGAAGTAGTAAATGTCTGAGACCTGCATCACTTCGGGCTTTCCTCCCACATTTAGCTGACATGCAGTGATATAACTGGAATACTGTTAAAAGCGATGTTAAACCAAACTCACTCTTACTCAATCTTCCATGTAACAAATGCAGGCTAACTAGATGTTTGCACTTTGTATATATATTTATTTATTTGCCATTTATCATGTTTATTTGATAAAAAGACATGTGATTTAAAAACAGTACGTTAACTAATTGTCAGAGCTTTTACATTTCACCTACACTGCCCTGTTTGTGGATATATGATTGTAATAATATCATGTAGCATTTTTTCATCTTAATAACTGAATTACTGTAACTTTGTCCATAGTGAATGAACCCAGGGGATATATCCTAATAGAGTGGCGATATGATACACTGCATGATTGAGAATGCAACCCTATAGCTATCACCCTCCCAAGCTATGTTTGTTGTTTAACGCCGCACTCGGCAATATTCAAGCTATATAACGGCGGTCTGTAAATGATCAAGTCTGGACCACACAATCCAATGATTGACATCATGAGCATCAATCCTTGCAAATGGGATACGATGACATGTATGAACCAAGCAAGCCTGACCGCGCAATCCTGTTAGTTGCCTTTTACGACAAGCACAGTCATCTTTTTAAGGCAAGAATGGGTTGCTAAGACCTATTCTACCCCGGAATCTTCACAGGTCTCTCGAACTATGACCTGTATTGATGTTGTTGCTGAAGATGTTTGATTTCAGATTTGTGAACATAGATTTGTTTCTTTTCCAGATGTCTCACTTAAACATGACATACCCAAAGAAGAAGAGGAAGAGATCAGTTACTGGCAATCCTCCCGAATGTGAGTTCAAGAAATGTTGTCATTCATGCAGTTACTGGTTTAGCAGTATATTTTTGGTTTTTTGTGCGTGCTTATTGGATGTTAAGTCTTTGAAACTAAGCATGAAAGTTAAAGGGTTGTATATTTAATGCCTCGTAAAAGGGAAACCTCACTGGGGATCAATGTTCATCGTTATCTGTTTCAGTGCCACAGAATACTTGTGTCTTTTGTCGTTCGACTGAAGACTGTGAAGAGGATTATGGGAAGGTCATTAAGAAATGTGGTTTCACTGTCCACTACTTCTGCATGGTAAGCTAACTGCTGATAGACATGCTTAAAAATTGCCCCATTGTGTATTTATTTGCGAAAAAAAAAATTTTATCAAGAAGTTTGAAATTTACCTAGAGGGCCATAGGGTGCCTGTGATTTTTCATGGTAGCCAAGTTGTAGTTTTGGAATCAAAATTGTAAGGAGCAGATTCATTTTATTAAAATCTGGGTTCAGTTTTGTATGATCACTATATAGATGAAGTAAAAAATAGTGCTGCTCAACAGATTTTGGAAGATCAGTGTACCAAAGTATCGAAAAATTGGCATCTGCATTTGAAATAATTAAGTCGTCAAGAGCCTGTTGTGCAGAGTTGCATCCCTTTGCCGTTTGCATCAGTAATGACCTTTGGTTTGTAAGTAATATACCCTAGCTTGTGGGTTTCACATAAACTTTCACCATCTTGGGCTCTCCTGCCTCATTGAAACAAACACTTCATGATCTGTGTGAAATACTGTTGAGAGTTATATTCCTATACATTGCAGCTGTTTGCGAGTGGCCTCAGCCAGAGTGGCAAGACAGAAACACAAGGAATCTTTGGCTTCATGCCAGGAGACATTCGACGCGAGCTCAAGAGAGGCAATAGGCTGGTAAGAGAAGCCAGTAGATGATAATAATGACCAAGTTCAAGCCGAGTTAGTGATTTGGGGCTGAAAAAGAGACTGCTCTTCAACTAAGAAAGTAGTTTCACAAGCTTGAGATTCATGATATTGTTTTTCTATTATTGTTTCTCAGTTGTATTTTGTGTGTGGAGGGGGGGGGGGGAAGGGGATTTTTTGTATATATGCACAGGGATTTATCTAGCCTCTTTTTTCACCCTAACTTAAGTCTGCAGCATATGTCAGTAAATATTCCCGGATTGGAATTAAAAATTAAGTCAAATCAGTTGTTTTAGAAACAAATGACATCTTCACCTGCCAGCACACGAGAAATGCCAAAAATTACTGATAGCTCATATTTATTATGTCAGTTATCCTAATGTGTTTTTTTCAGCGTGGTTTCAACTGTGTTAATTATAAACAGTGAGATCATCTAATCCCTAATGATTGTGAAGCTTTTTCTTCCCATAGCGCTGCACCTACTGCAAGGAGAGGGGGGCAACTATCGGCTGCGTGGTCACATCATGTCGCAAGGCATTCCACCTGACTTGTGGCCGCAAGAAGGGATCACTGCATCAGTTCTACGACTCCTTCAGGTAGGGACATGTCACCTTGGAGACCCTTGTCACTGTAGAGACCCTCAGCCTCCTTCATGCAACTTTCCACTGATGTCACACAGTGCTATAACTTCACGATCCATGAAGATCCGGGGTAGAATAGGTCTTCAGCAACCCATGCTTGCCATAAAAGGCGACTATGCTTGTCGCAAGAGGCAACTAACAGGATCGGGTGGTCAGACTCGCTAACTTAGTTGATGCATGTCATCGTATCCCAATTGTGTAGATCGATGCTCATGAAATCAATCACTGGATTTTCTGGTCAAGACTCAGACCACCGTCATATAGCTGGAATATTGCTGAGTGCGGCGTTAAACAACAAACAAAATCATGTCGATTCCCCGGTGACAGAAAGCAAGGGTAAATGTTTATGAGGCGGCCATCTTGATGTACCGATGACATTATGCAGCAAGGTTACAATGATGCAGTGATGTCATAGTTGAAAGAGCGTTCGTGCACTGGTCTCATTGGCTTTGCAATAAGCAGTGTGCATCCTCTTGTAAGATTGGAATTAATTCGGTTTTGGTAAGATATTTAATGCCATTGAAGGTGTGACTTTTAGTCTACGCTTGTCATCTGCATTGCTTCATTTTGGCAATAGACTTAAAGCATGTTAAATAGATGTTGTTCAAGGATTCCTGATACATGACAGTTAAGTTGCCCTGAGAACACAGATACCAGCAGACACCCAAAGGACATTTCACTCAGTGGCAGAGCTCCAGCTAGCTGCGTATCTGCGTAAAATACGCATCAGAAATGCAGAAATACGCAGTAAACTAAAATCCAAGCATATCAAATACGCAACTAACATGACAGATACACTACAAAAATAAAACTTGTGCGTTTCATCAAAATATTGTGAAGTAACCCAGCGTATTCGATTAGCAAATCAGCAACTTATTTTGAAATTATAAACTGGTATTCCGTCAACCTTGCCAAACTCCACGATGACAGTTACATCATGATCATTTGGCATCACACTTTCTTGTGGAAGTTTCATGGTATTTTTGAGTCCTATAAAGCTCTTGAACCCACACGACACCAGTTTGCATGGACTAGATGAATAGTTTTTTTTTAATATTTAACTTAATACCCACATGTGTAAAAACTAGTGGGTAACAAAAATTTGAATACCCAGATAGAATTACTGATACCCAATGATTTTAAAATGCATGGGTAAAATACCCACAACACCAAAAGCTTATCTGGAGCTCTGGGGTGGGGTAGCCTAGTGGTTGAGGCGTTGGCTTGTGATGCTGAATACCAGAGTTCGATTCCTCTCAAGGTACAATGTGTCCCCACTGTCATATTGAGGGAACACTGAATTACTGGAATTACCAATGATGGTGTAAAAATATACTCATGGAGGGTGAACTTTTTTTAAATATGTGGCTTGATAACAGATGATTAATGTTGTAAACCGTTTGGATTAATTTTTTGGAATAAGTGACTAATATTCAAAGATTAACCTATGATTATATACATTGTGTGTTTCATGTTTTTGTAGGTCCTACTGTCCCGATCACCGGCCGCGCCAGACTGTGCAGATCAGCGACCGCCTGGCGTTTGTAGGGACAGCGAACACTGTGTGCAGCATCTGTATGTACGCTGTCGTAGCCCGCTCCTCCCACGAGACCATGAGGGCACCCTGCTGCAAGAACTCCTGGTTTCACCGCTCCTGCATACAGGTACAGTAGACGATTCTGGCTCTTAGAGGGGCAGTTGGGTAGTCTAGTGGTTAAAGCGTTCGCTCGTCACGCCGAAGACCGGGGTTCGATTCCCGACATGGGTACAATGTGTGAAGCCCATTTCTGGTGTCCCTCGCCATGATATTGCTGGAATATTGCTAAAAGCGGCGTAAAATCATACTCACTCACTCTGGCTCTTAGTAGTTGTCACATCAGTTGCGTAAGTGATAATTATAATAATGAATGAATTATTATGCCCCCAGATTGAAAAACGGGAGGGATATAGTGACAGCATGTCCGTCCATCTGTCTACCGTTCGTTTTCTGTTTTTGGAGCAGTTGAATATTTCTTGATGAAACTTGCAATACAGATCAGTCTAATGGTGAACTGGTGCAGAGCTCCAGATAAGCTGCGTATCTGCGTGAAATACGCATCAGAAATACAGAAAGACGCAGTAAAATAAAATCCAAGCGTATCAAATACGCAACGAACATTACAGATACACTACAAAAATAAAACTTGTGCGTATCATCAAAATATTGTGAAGTAACCCTGCGTATTCGATTAGCAAATCAGCAACTTATTTTGAAATTATAAACGGGCATTCTGTCAACCTTGCCAAACTCCACGATGACAGTTACATCATGATCATTTCTTGTGGAAGTATTGTTGTATTTTTGAGTCCTGTAAAGCTCTCGAACCCACACGACACCAGCTTGCAGGGACTAGATGAATAGTGTTTAAATATTTAACTTAAATACCCACATGTGTAAAAACTAGTGGGTAACAGAAATTTGAATACCCAGATAGAATTACTGATACCCAATGATTTTAAAATGCATGGGTAAAATACCTGTAACACCAAAAACTTACCTGGAGCTCTGCTTGTGCCTTTTGATGATTCGGGTATTTAAAAATACTGAACAGCAGTGGTTTTTTGTTCCAATGGCAATGAACCAAAAGTGGGGTATAAGTTGCCAAACGCCAGTTCCGAATTGCAAGAGACCAGGGGGATATGTCATCCCCTGATGACTCTGTTAAGTTTAAGTATGTTCAGTCTTCTGTGTGCATTTAAAATTTTGATAAAGGTTCATCTTTGCGTGAGAGAGGGCAAACTTACTATGGAGACCTGAACAGAGTTTGCGTTTACAGTGTCCAATATCCAAAAATAGACACAGAAAAAACTGGGATGCAAAAAAAACAACCTACACGCATCCCCTTACATGCTTTTCATTTTGTAAAAAGTTTACTTTACGCATGATTTATGTTGTTTAGTTTCGAGTTTCTCTCAAGTCCCAAAAGTCAGTGTGTTACACACATAAAAACAGACACTTCAAGATTTCAACCAGACACCCTATTTATGCTCAGAATATCTTAAAATACACCATTTTAGGTCTACATTTGATAAAAATTCTTTGGGAGGGGGACGGGCATGCACCCAAACCCCCTTAGATAGCCTAGCACCTGCAGCGCTCATGGCTAACGTGTGGATGGCTAACGTGTCCAAGGGGATCCCCTTATTGTTGAGGCCAATGCAAACACTACCTGAAACTATGTCTGAAAGACAAGAATGCAGAACTTGAATAAGCATGCTTACGATTTTGACCAAAATGTGTCAAGTTTCAGTCAGAGATACAGAATCAAGGGGTGGTTATCTACTGGCAGAAGAATCATTCTGATTCATCCTCATTGTTGTCTCATGATGCGCTAGAGATGGGATCAATAACAGCCTTGTTATTGCTGTATGTTGAGAGACATCAGACAGGATGGAGCAGGAATGTGAGAACGATGTCCGTACCTCCTGTTCACCATCCATATTTGATGGGGGGCACGGGTGGCCCAGTCATCTAAGGCGCAGCTATTCGCTGTGCAGAGTTGCGTCCCTTGGGCAAGCCAGAAACCTATGGTTGTGGGTTCGAATCCCGATTTGCCCTGATTATGTTTCTAGGTTTGTCAGCACCATACCCGTGCTCGTGGGTGTCACCGAAGTAGTAAATGTCTGAGACCTGCATCACTTCGGGCTTTCCTCCCACATTAAGCTGACACGCCGCGATATAACTAGAATGCTGTTAAAAGCGGCGTTAAACCCAACTCACTCACTCACTCCCTATTTGATGTTTCAGAGATATGCTATGTCTGCTGGTCTGTATTTCTTCAAATGTCCGCTGTGCAACAGCAAGGACTTGTTCCAGTCGGAGATGCTTCATTGTGGCATATACATCCCTGATCAGTAAGTGTCTTCTTTTCTTGGTGGTGCCAATGTGAATGTATGCTTAGGACTGTATGTTTTTTGATTGTTCAAGAATTGTTTGATTGTTGAGAATCTGGCTTAAACGGTGAATTCAAAGGCTGTTGGTCCCAGTGTCCTGGGTAAACATGTATATCCATGGCCTAGCGGATAGAGCGTCTGCCCGGAGTGGTTCGATCACCTGGCTGTGTCATACCATTAGAAGACACTCTCCTTCCCAGAGTTCCATGCGTCCGGCAGCCAGCCAGCATAGTACCTCTGCCACAGGCCAGCGCCATGTGACGATTCGTCACATCTTTCACAGTCCATTCAAGATATTGCATATGCTTTTCATCCGTTTCATGTTTGACAAGTCTACACATTTTCATAAACAAATGTCAAAGAATGGTTATGGTTCATTAAGAAAGTATCCTAATACATCTACTTGTTTTTGCGTAGTTATCCTTTGTTTACATTGGTTGTACGGCTCCACGTGCTGTCATCGAAGCCCAACGGGGGCTAGCGATACGGTCACTTTGATGTATAAATATATTGTCATGCAACTGTCATGCAACTGTCGCATTTGTAGTAGCATATCTATATAATTATGCAAAACAATATGTAAAGCGCCCCCAACTTCTTGCATTAGTCCGTTCTATACTGATTTCTGAAAAAGCGTGTTTGTTTACAAACAAGAGAAAAGTCCGGTCACGTGATATGTGTGTGTGTATGTGTCGGGGGGGGGGGGGGGGGGGGGGGGTCACTTAACTGACATGATACTAGACTTGTAAAGCACCTAATTCATAATGTTATCATGGCTATTGAAGACAAATATTAGTGGGAATCATATTTTGGACTATGTACACCAGGATTTCCAACGTCTCTGTGTGATCTTTGTTACATGTTACTCCTGGGCCATCCAACTGGTCCTTAACTCGTTTTGTAGTAGTCACGTCATACTTTCGGAACTAGCTTCTTTGTTTTGCCATGTCTAACCCTGTTGCTCTCCTTGCATACATAGCACTAGTCTACTGATAAAAAGAAAGCTATCAAATAGAATTATGCATAATGCATAGGGATTAAAAATTTACCTTCTTGACTTTGCTTCCAGAGATGCATCATGGGAGCGAGAGCCAAATGCCTACCAAGATCTGTATGAGAGATACTCCCACTGTGATGCTGCCAAGTGCAAGTGTCTGCAAGGGCGAGATTATGACCAAGATGACACGTAGGTTACCCTGGAGAAATCCATCTTCCTGAAGCAAGCATGTCCACTAGCCTGTATCAAAGCCTAGTTTCTACCCTTGCCACAGCAAGGCCACCTTTCTTGGCTCGACTCTGGCACCTCTGCCCCTTGTAATGAAAACACGATATCCCATCAGATCGCTGTTCTTATCTCGTATAGCTTCACAAAGATGGCGCCTACCATAGGCAACGACCTAGTCAATGAAATAAAGAAAACATTCACGATTTCAACCCTGAGACAAAAACATAGGCAATCGTTAGGGGGTTTAAAAGATAAAAAAAAGACATGTTCGTGTCAACAGGAACATGCAACGGTAAATCACTTTCATACATAGGTGTGCCAGTCGTGGATGTTGATTTTGTGAAACGTTCTCTGATTGGGCTATCGATATGTGCAATAGTCCAATCATATTTAGCACAGGAAAGTGGGCTTGATGTGGCAAGGGTGGAAACAAGACTTTCATAAAAAAGTCTAGTAGACACTCTTGCCTTGGGAAGATGGGAGAAATCATACTTTCGAGTGTTCATCCCAGAGCATGGCATCAAGGCATTTTCACTCCAGATGTGTTATTTTATAGAAATTGGAATTATTCCCCTTCCCCACTATGGCTTCTGAGACGGAATAGGTTCATTTAACTCCTGCTTGTCTTAGTGACTCAATTAAGGATCTGACCTGTGAAGATCTTCAGCAACCCATGCGTGTCGTAAAAGATGACTAAGCTTGTTGTAAGAGGCAACAAATGGGATCGTGTGGTCAGACTAGCTGAATTGGTTGATGCATGTCATTGTATCCCACTTGCGTGGATTGATGCTCATGATGTCAATCTCTGGATTGTCTGGCCCAGACTTGATTATTTACAGACCACTGTCATTTAGCTGGAATATTGCTGAGTGCCCCGTTAAACAACAAACTTACAATACAGGATTTGTTGGTTACAATGAGTGGTCAGGTGGTTTGTTTCATTGTACCCAGTTACTTACAACTTGCCCACAATGAGATAAGACCTTGATCTAAATATCAGTTGGACAGTGATACCAAGAAGTAATATGTGTCCTGATGTGCTGGTTTTTCTGGTTACAGGAAGTGGGAGATCATAGTCTGTGAGTACTGTGGCTCCAAGGGCAGCCATGCCGCCTGTCGGGGCCTGGAACTTATACGCAAAGAATACGCCTGTGGAGAGTGTGCAGAGATCGAGAAGAAAAGTAAGTTTCAAAACATGTTCACTGGAGTGGTTATGGAATGACTTTTATATTCCCTTCATTGACCAGCATTATACTGGAGGTAATCTTATCTCTCATGTAAAAACAAGGTAACATGAGGGACCTTTTAGGCTTAAAATAATAAAAGAATTGGTCTCAGGCAATGGCTATCAAAAATATAGTGCAAGCGGTCTGTGATTTCTTTTGTTTTTTATCCCCCGCCGCGCGAAAGCGCGAAGCGGGGGATATAGTATTCACGACCGTCCGTACGTCCGTCCGTACGTCCCACCTGTTTGTTGCCGCGATATCTCAAGAACTAAACACTGGATTGTCTTCATATTTGGAACTATGGTGTATATACAGACTCCGCAGACACCAGTCGGTTTTGGTGACCTTGATCCCATTTTCAAGGTCACAGCAGACAAATCTGCTTTTAGAGTTGGAAAACGGTGTTGCCGCGATATCTCAAGAACTAAACACTGGATTGTCTTCATATTTGGAACTATGGTGTATATACAGACTCCGCAGACACCAGTCGGTTTTGGTGACCTTGATCCCATTTTCAAGGTCACAGCAGACAAATCTGCTTTTAGAGTTGGAAAACGGTGTTGCCGCGATATCTCAAGAACTAAACACTGGATTGTCTTCATATTTGGAACTATAGTGTATATACAGACACCGCAGACACCAGTCGGTTTTGGTGACCTTGACCCCATTTTCAAGGTCACAGCAGGCAAATCTGCTTTTGGAGTTGGAAAACGGTGTTGCCGCGATATCTCAAGAACTAAACACTGGATTGTCTTCATATTTGGAACTATAGTGTATATACAGACACCGCATACACCTGTCAGATTTGGTGACCTTGATCCCATTTTCAAGGTCACAGCAGGCAAATCTGTTTTTGGAGTTGGAAAACGGTGTTGCCACAATATCTCAAGAACTAATCGCTGGATTGTCTTCATATTTGGTACTATGGTGTATATGGCGGGGGATATTTCGTCACTCTGTGACAAATACTTGTTTATTTTATTTTTTGTTCAAACTAGTATGTAACCAAATAACAGTTGTGTGACCAAATAAACAGTTGTGTACAATCAACCTGGGAAAGGGCCTTCCTACATAAATGTATTCCTTGATGAGTAAAATACTGGAATACAGTATTTGACTACCATTGGACTTGGAATATTCAGGAATTTTTTTGTGTTTTTTTTTTCTAAATGGAAATAATAACAAAACGTGCGGTGAACTTTATGATGATGCGGGAGGTGCCTGAGAACCAAGACTATTCTTTTAGCCTTATCATGTATATTGAGATTACCACAGTCATAAGTAACACATAAAAGCATTTTCAATTGTTCGAACCAATATGTTCTTATTCTTGTACTTACTTTATTTTCCTCACCATGTTTTGTAATGAGAAGTTACCATCAGTGTTTTTAGCCTTGAATAGCAATTACCATTCATTCACATTGTTCAGTTGTTGACATCTTCCTCTCTGTTTCAATCACAGGAGTTAAAAAACGTGGAAAGAAGAGCCCACCTCGAGTTCGGAACAGAACCCAAGCCGAACTTCAACACCTTTTGGAAGTGAGGGTTGCTGAACTTGTCACACAAAAATCCAACCAGAATACACCCAATTCTAAACAGCCAACACCTAAATCTAAAGCCGGCACGCCCTCCCTTGGTTCTCTGCGGTCAGTGCGGCGGTCAAGGAGAGATCAACGTGGAGATGTTGTGGTCATGCAGCAGGAAGGAACAGACGCTGAGGTGGACGTGGAGGGTTTGGGGAGTGACGAAGATCCCTCATCCTCAGAAACTCCTGCCATGAAGAAAAGACGACTCAGTTTGCAACGGTCATCTCGATCCCAGACTAAGAGAATAGGAAGACATATTGGCACCATGAGCAGTGATTCACGTTCGTCGAGTATTCCTAGCACAAGGGGAAAGTATTCTAATTATGTAACTCTGTCGACAGTGACAGACACGGAGGTGAGGAAGTGGGGTACAACAGAAACAGAGTCGTCCAACTCTGCATCCTTGCTCAATTACATGGATGATAGTGACGATGTGTCGCAGACATCGGACAGTGACAGTGAGATCTGTGCAGTGGATGAAGTACACGAGGACTCCACGAAGAAGACAGTGACCATCAAATGGAAAGGGAAGAAGATCAAAATCTACAAAGAAGTGGAGAAGGATGACAGTGAGGATATATCCAAATGGAGTCTTCATCTGGAGGTGGGTGACTCGGATGACCTTCAACCCTCCACATCCCAGACGCCACCGCCAGACGGAGGGAAGGTCAAGGAGGAGTCACCCCCTCAACTTGTTCCAATAGATGATGAAATAACCATCCGATGCACGCCTCCAACCCGACCGTACATGCTGAATGTGAAAGCTAACTCGGTCAAACAGCAGACGGACAAAATCAAGGGAGAAGATGTAAAATGTGAGGAAGCTCCACCTGTTCTGTATTCTGTTTGGGAGGAGGATTCTCAGACAGGGGGCAGTCGAATTACACGCAGCATGTCTGTCGATAGCAAAAATAGTTGCAGCCAAGATTATATTGACTCTATTGACATCATGTCACGTAATTCAAACACACCCAGACATTCAAGAAGGTCGCTAGAATGTGCCTTTACTTCTCATGATAATCGATCCAAGTCGCCCTGTTTGGGTAAAAGATTCCGTGAGAATGATGCTGAGAGTATTTCATCAGCAGCCAACTCAGTCATCACCTTGTCCTCAAATGTGAGTGATACTGGTGAGAACGAAAGTGACTGCCTGATAGTCGAACCTGTGTATGTGACCGAGAACCAACGAAACGTGTCGGACGGTAAGGTGTCCTATTCAGCACAGATTGCCGTGGGGAGTCCATTCAAGGATGGGGAGTACCCCGAGACTGTGCCTTACCGCCGGATTACAACAGGGCATGGCAGTGTAGGCGTTGTGATAGACTTGACTGACAGTCCGTCCGAGACATGGCTCGGCTTTGCTGATACTGATAACTCATCGAGATCAAACAGGTCATCGTATTCATAATTAGTCAGGAACTTTTAGAAACATTGATAGTTGAACTATTCAGTGAAGTGATGATCATTACAGTTGTCATGGTAATATGCACATAGATGACGTTCTTGAAATTGTAGGCCAGCCAAGTCTGTGGCTCTTGGACAGTAAAATCATCAGCTTACTTTGTTTCATGGACGAAAACTAGAAGTTCTGATACTGACTCAGATTTTGGGTGGGAATAATTATAAGGAAATAAAGCCGTTGGGTTCTCAGGCCTCGTGCATCAGGGAAACACATGGGCATCAAGATCATTTGTAATCTGCGGTAAGACCTACGAGGGAACACTGAACCTCTGGAAGCTCCAGAGGTTAGGACAAAAGTCAGAAAGTTTTATTCTGAGAACCAGTTTTTATTTTTTTAAACTTTAATTAGGTTCATGGTAATGTAGTTGTACCGCACAAGACTTCTTTTATTAAAAGATGTGTAGAAAAATATAATTGCTTGCCAATTAGCCTCAGTTAAATTATCCATGTAACCATGGTAACTATGGTGTAATGGAACCAGTTTAGATTTTTGGTTTGACCCAGGGTTCCTGATGGTCACATTTGTTTTCATTTCTCCACTGGGTGGATTGTCTGCAAGAACTGCTGATGTGGTATTTAGCCAAATGCTCTGACTTCAGTGACACAAGATATAATTGACTCTAGCTTTCAGTGAGAGGTGTTTTGTGTATTTTGAAACAAAGCAAAATTTTGTATTCATTCATCTTGAAACACAGGCTAGATGTGTGTGTGTTGACAGATGTCGTCGTTTATTCTCTTTGTGTTTACTGCAAGGTACCGCTTCTTTTTTTATATTGAAAAAGAAAGGTTTAAATACTAAGTTTTACATTATTGCATTGCATGCATGCAGAAATACATGTAAATTTAAGAATGTAACAACATTAACAAGATTTAAAAAGCCCTGTAAATGAATTTTGGACATTATTGTTTTTTACAGTTTTTGTTGCCACTGGCACTTCGTATATAGAAATATCCATGGCAGATGTATAGAGAAGGTTGTCCAGTCTTTCATGGAGCAGGGTTTAATAGATTAAACATTGCATCTTTTTACCTAGAAAAAGTACATGTATTAGAACCGGTGTTATAATGCTAAAGTGACTGAATATATTTCGGTTATATTCCTTTTTTCTCCTGATATGTCGGAGTGATACTATTGGGTTTCCTGAGCTGACATTTTCAGAAGGATGTCCAAATATTCACAATATTTGTTGACAATGATGATTTTACAATGCTGTGCAAGTTTCTCACATATTTCAAAGAGTTTGTTTCCACTCCCTGCGGAATGGCAGTTGGCTTTGAACGACTACACAGCTTCTATATTGTATGCTTTCATCAATGTAGTTTCGTGTACAGTCAGTATATTTATTTTTTGGAAATGGCTGAGTATTTGTTGTAGCCCTCGTGGAAGTAATGTTGAATAATTCTTGTATTGATGGATGCCGTTTTCTCCGTATTTGACACCCTGTACCAATAAGTGCCCCCGACCAACTTCTAGACCAATCTGTGAGTAATCTATAGGTGCTCCCTACTAACAGTAAATAGTTTTGTGATAGTCTGTATTTTCTTCAGATTTCTGAAGGTGTAGAAGGATATATAATCGCCTGATGACTTATCAAAAAAGTTTTTTAAGTTTTGGTGACGTTGGACCTAAGTTTGTTCACTACCATTCGATCTCTGAAGATAAATTGGGGGGCATGGGTGGCCCAGTCGCTGTGCAGAGTTGTGTCCCTTGGGCACGCCAGAAACCTATGATTGTGTGTTCGAATCTCGGTTCGCCCCGATTATGTTTCTAGGTTTGTCAGCACCATACCCGTGCTCGTAGGTTTCACCAAAGTGGTAAATGTCTGAGACCTGCATCACTTCGGGCTTTCCTCCCTTTTTAATACTGTTAAAAGCGGTGTTAAACCCAACTCACTCACTCGCTGAGCATAAATTGAGCTTCTTAGTTTTGGTTTTAAAAAACACACTCCTTTGTCAATTTTCCAAGCCCCCCAAGGTGCTTATTTTGGTAAATACAGTAATGTTTAAAAAGCTGGAAATTTTGGTGAGCTACAGAACTTCTTTGCTGTATTTTCATTATAGTTTTGGGACAATATGCATCCTTTTTTAAAGGACCGGGTAGAATAAGGGCCTTTTTGGACCACAAGATGTACATGATTTAAAAATTGAGGAAAACTTGAGAAATTGTTATGAAAGTTTATCAGGTATGTTCACATGAATGAGAACTAAACTTTGTTCAGTGAAACAACTGCATGTTTGCTTCACAACAGTCATTTCATAAGAGGATAAAATGTGTTATTGAGGCTGATTTTAGAGGCTTCCATGAGCAAATCTTTGACCTAAGGTGATTTTCATAGATGTGCAGAAGAACATAAGTCATGGTAAAAAAGTAATCTTGGGTCACAGACTTGCTTGTACTTTGCCATGTCTTGCTCTCGTTTTAGCCATATTTGTGTATTTGACCAGGTCAGCTGTCCATGTCTTGCTCTCGTTTTAGCCATATTTGTGTATTTGACCAGGTCAGCTGTCCAGAACATGCAAGTGTAAGAAAGAAAAAGGCGAGTTGTCAGCTGTTTGAACATGGGTGATACAATTTCATACCATTGTTTCAAAGTTTTCAGCAACTTTAAAATTTAACATTGTTGTAGACCAAAAAGTGCCCTTATCCTACCTCCTTTACGATATTATGTCTTTCTTTATGATAGATGCTTTCCAATATGTTAAACAGTTTCTGTCATGTTCATCTTGCAATCATATTTTAAGTCGGTTTCAGCAAATATGCTGGCGTTGATAGTGATTATGAAACAACAGCTGGTATTGTAACCACAGTGTTTATCACACACCTATCGTGTCTCTATATCCGGTTTATCACATACCTATCGTGTCTCTATATCCGGTTTATCACACACCTATTGTGTCTCTATATCTGGGTTATCACACACCTATCATGTCTCTATATCCGGGTTATCACACACCTATCATGTCTCTATATCCGGTTTATCACACACCTATCGTGTCTCTATATCCGGGTTATCACACACCTATCATGTCTCTATATCCGGGTTATCACACACCTATCATGACTCTATATCCGGGTTATCACACACCTATCATGTCTCTATATCCGGTTTATCTACACCTATCATGTCTCTATATCCGGTTTATCACACACCTATCGTGTCTCTAAATCCGGTTTATCACACACCTATCGTGTCTCTATATCCGGGTTATCACACACCTATCATGTCTATATCCTGTTTATCACACACCTATCATGTCTCTACATCATGTATATCACACACCTATCGTGTCCCTATATCCGGTTTATCACACACCTATCATGTCTCTGTATCCTGTTTATCACACAGCTATTTGTCCCGTATATCACACACCTGTTACTCTTTCCTATAAGCGAAGCTCATTTCTGGTGCCCCCGCCGGGATATTGCTGGAATATTGCTAAAAGCGGCCGAAAACCATACTCACTCACTCACTGCTAGTTCTTGGGGTACAATTGAATGTTTTGTTTTCTTTAAATTTCTTAGTGTTATGTTTACTTTGGTGATCAACTTTTGTCTCAGTTTAGAATCAGAATTTGAATTCAGCTTTGCTCTCTTTTGTTTCGTGATTATTATTTGGTTCAGTGATTATTTACTACAGCATCAGCATCAGCATCAGCAGCACGGTTTTTTTATCGTTTGGCCTGGCATTGGTTGACCAAGAAATAAACTCAGTCTGTTTGAACTGAAAGATTTTACTACTACACCAGAAAATGAATTGATTTCTTACAAAGAAGTGTCTGTTTTCTTATTAGTTTATTGCAGTGGCCAAACACTTGCAGGTCAATTAATGTCATTGTTTAGTATTTGGTTGGTTGTCAACTGAAAAATTTTAAAGTGTTGTCTAACATCCAAGTGCTGTTCCCCTGACAACTGGCAAGTCAGCAGGTGATCAATCATCTTCCCGAGGCAAGTGAGTTCACTGACTATAAAAGACCAGTTTCCACCCTTGCCGAACTAGGCTGGTATTATGGAGTTACATTTTGGCTGGACTAACGAGTCTATGCATAGTCCAATCAAAATTGCGCCCCGAAATCAAAATCTGGTTCGTAAACTGTCGTGCAGAATTTGCAAAACGTGCACCGCCAACTCATCAGCAAATATTTTCCATATCTTTTCATGTTTTTAATCAAGGTGCTCACGTGATTTGATGCATTTCGCGATGTAAGGCCCGTTTTATCACATTATAGATCTTGATTATCGATCAGATCGTCCTGACTGGGCGCCACCATTTTATGTGAAGCAAACGCAAGTGATACGAGAGGTGGAATCTGATTGGTCCATAGGAGAGGCTTAGAAGGAATATAACTGGTAAAAGCCACTGGTGGCGCTACGATCAAGCCCAGTAATTCCAGCCTAGTTCAGCAAGGGCTTTTAAAGTCAGTTAACTCTCTTGCCTCGGGAAGATGGTGATCAATGTGCATTACAGGAAATATTCACATTTCAGGCATTTATCTGGATCCTTCTACAGACTCGGTGAGGATTTGGGGAGTTCCAGGAATCAGACTGGGGTACCAGGGTCATACCAATAACAAAATACATAGTATTTTTAAATTGGTGTTCATAATTCAAGTAGTCATACTTTTTATGCATTCCATGGAGCAACCAGTGCAAATTATGTCCTGCAGACATAGTGATACTATGAACATTGGCATGACCATAGGGGCCCCTATGCTTGCTACATTTGGCACACTCCACTAGATTTCTAAGAATTGTGCAGTGATGTCATAATTGCAAATGCTAATATATGTTGTAGTCGAATCATGAGATTTTATGTGTCCCGCATTAGGTTTTATACCTCGAGCCGGAGGCGAGTGGTATAAACCTAACGAGAGACACATAAAATCCCCATGTATCCCTTGTGATCCTGCTACAACAAATTTTCCTTACCATGTTTTAATATGACATTGTAAAATAATTTAAATATATTCCAAATTGATTGAAAACAGTTGCTCGATTGAGCTGAGGTTAGCTTGCGCTATATTATGTGACATCTATTGGCTCAGAGAATGCGTGCAGCTTTTTTCTTTGAAGCGGGGTATAAAGGATTTATTCTGCTTCTCAGAAATGCACGTGCAGCCTGTAGTGCTCATGGTGGGGTATAAGAGATGTATTCCCCTGCTGAGAATTTATTACCCTCCAAGGGTATTTTATCAAGATCACGTGGACCAATCAGATCTCATCATTCTGACATGGAGGTATGATAAGAAGCCTTATGCCTATTATAATGGGGATTTCAATGCTACAAGACAACCAACTATGGACACTCTGAACTTTGTGTGTATGTCTTGCTAAGATGGAAATGTCAGTAATGTATAACATGCAATCTACAATATTGATTAGCTTTTATGTTTCAAACAGCCATACATTTCCCAAGACTTGCTCTGTTAACCATTGTGTCCCATTCTCAACGTTTTATGTTGAGGTCAAACCCAGGTCTGTTCTTAGTTTTTATGCATATTTGATGTATTATTTGGCATCAAGTTAAAGCCCTGAGCTTCCGAATAAGCTTCTTGTAGCGTTGAAGCTAGAGACACTACACATATATCCACTCTGATGTGATTGTAATGAAACACCACGGGGATCAGAAGACCAAGACTGAAATTATGACAATCTGTAATTGCAGACCTTTGTTAACTGTTTGAAGTATTGATGCTGTTAGGTAGGACTGCAAGTTCTTTTGTTGAATGATGATATATCCCTGTGTTACACAGCATTGCGTTTTAATGGTTTTGTTATGTAAATACCTTATTTCTTGTTTCAAGACTCGCGCCGACAATTTGCTCCATAAAATGGCAAGGTGCTATCGATCATGTGTGATTCAGCTGACAATGTAACATTGTTCATTCTGTAAGATTGTAATAAAAATGTGTACAGTAAACTTGATACAGTCCATGCATGTGTGTTGTGATGATGATGCAAGTTCAACAATTAAGATGTGGTAAACCTCAGCTGTAGTAATAAGAAAGTATTGCAACGCTATAGGAACAGATGGAGAACATCATGAGTATGCAAGTGTTGGTACTTTCATAGCAATATTTGCATTTTGATATTTTAATATACAAATGCAAAACCTTTCACCAGCACAGCACATTGTAAAGTAATTGGTGTATTGCAATATGCATCCTTTCTTTACCCTGGTCACACATTTATGGTGAGTGAACAGCAACCAGCAAGAACAGAGGTACTTCTTCTAGTTAGCCACAGCTGAGGTTTTCTATTCAGCTGCTAGTGCCGACAATATGGGAAGAGCGGAGTTATATTGGTAAAACTTTCATCTAAAGGATAGCAATGTTACAGATTTCTGCCCATAACCCCCGTCTCAAAATCGAAAAAAAATCGAAATAGAAGTATTAAAAAATCATTTACGTGGGGTTATGGTTACGTTGCCCTAACCCAGGCTAAATTTGAAGCAGGGTTCTGGGCAGAAATCTCTATTACATTACTATACTTCTAATGCTTGCGAGTTGTCGCATCTATTTCATAACTAGCCTAACCTAAAACAGTAGATAGGGGCACAGGTGGCCCAGTCGTCTAAGGCGCCGCGATTTGCTGTGCAGAGTTGCGTCCCTTCGGCACGCCAGAAACCTACGATTGTGGGTTCGAATCTCAGTTCGCACCGATTATGTTTCTAGGTTTGTCAGCACCATAACCGTGCTCGTGGGTTACACCGAAGTCGTCAACGTCTGAGACCTGCATCACTTCGGGCTTTCCTCCCACATTAAGCTGACATGCCGTGATATAACTGGAATACTGTTAAAAGCGGCGTTAAACCCAACTCACTCGCTAAAACAGTAGATACCTCACAGAGGGAAACAGTTAATACAGTTGTCATGGAATGGGTGATGCAGCATAGACAAGCATTACTTTGAAATTCCTGGTTTGAGTTTTGAACTTGTGTGGACAATATGGATCTGATGTTGGAGTTGTATAATGTTGTGAAGTAAACTATGCACTGAAATAACGTGTTCTGATTTCCCTTGGTGTATCGCTAACATACAGAACACAATTTGGATGTTTTCTGCAATATAAAGGGAGCACATACCAGCCATGTGCAGCAGCAGAAGCCTTGTTTGGTTGGCTTACACAATTTACCTGCATCAAAACATACGTTAGATTTGAACATGACAGGCAACAGTGTGGATTAACCCAATCCCTGACCTGGCTTTTAGTTCTAAACATGCACCCTCATAATGAAGACTGACTTGACTTATGAATTTCAACTTCGGTACAGGTGCAAGCCAGAGAAAGAATAAAGAAATTGAAATCAAAATCTTCCTTGATAGTTTCTAAATGTCACTATTAGATAAGATACACCTCCATGAGACACTGGACTTTTACAGAATAGGATAGAAGAAACCTGTGCAATGGAGATGGTCCTTGCTCAAAGTGGACTTTGTCACTTGACCTGACAAGAAGCCATAAGGAAAAGAACCCGGCCTAATGGTATTGGTTGCTCTCAAAACCCGGGTGTATGTTAGATCAGTTTGAATTTGGCCTCAGATGAAATAATGTACACATACAATAACTTGTAGCAGGATCATGATGGCTGCATGGGGTTTTATGTGTCCCACGTTAGGGTTTATGCCAACCCCCTCTGACTCGTATAAAATAACGAGGGACGCATAAAACCACATGTATCCTTTGTGATCCTGCTGCAAAAAATTTATCTTACCAACATGTTTTAATGTGACATTGAGTGAGTATGGTTTTACGCCGCTTTTAGCAATATTCCAGCAACATCACGGCGGGGGACACCAGAAATTGGCTTCACACATTGTACCCATGTCGGGAATCGAACACGGGTCTTCGGCATGACAAGCGAACGCTTTAACCACTAGGCTCTGTGACATTTAACAAGAATTAACACATATTCAAAATTGATATAAAACAGCTGTTTGATTGAGCTGAGGTTAGCATGTGCTATGTCACATGCCCTACATTGACTCACAAAAAGCGTACAGCTGTTTGCTTTGAAGTGGGGTAAAAGGGATTTATTCTGCCTCTGAGAAATCCACGTGCAGCCTGTATTGCTCATGGCGGGGTATAAGAGAATTACTCCCCCGCTGAGAAATTTATTAGGCGGGTTACACTGTATTTTATCAAGATCACGTGGACCAGTCAAATCTCATCATTCTAACATGGAGATATGATAAAAATCTTTGTCAACCCCTAAACCAACAAAGATGTTAAAAGATGGTACTTGTTACCCAGCCTGGAGCTCGGCATAAACAAGGACTGGTCAGCTCAGAGTCTGTATACTTTGACGAGGGTATTTATGTTAAACTGCGGCATGGTATCTCAGTTAGCTAGAACTATAAAACTGGCATTTGTCCGGACTAGAACAAGCAGCAGCAGGCACACATGCTGCTATGTAAGTGCAATGATCTTGAACACGGCATTAAACCCATTCTCACCTCCAAAACCAGCCAAGCATGAAGATCCGGGGTAGAATAGGTCTTCAGCAACCCATGCTTGCCGTAAAAGGCGACTATGCTTGTTGTAAAAGGCGACAAACGGGATCGGGTGGTCAGGTTCACTGACTTGGTTGATGCATGTCATTGATCACAGTTGTGTGGATCAATGCTCATGATGTCAATCACTGGATTGTCTCGTCCAGACTCGATTATTTACAGACTGCCGTCATATAGCTGTGATATTGCTGAGTGCGGCGTAAAACAACAAACAAACAAATTCAAAACCAGCCCCTGTGAGTGACCCGTAGCAGCTGTTTCAGTTATGTGAAAGACTTGCACCGGTCAAATACTTTGTAATTCATGTATGAGTACATGTGAGGAAAGTAATCCCCTGTGTTTCATTTGGGGTGAGTATTCATAGTGTATGTACAAACTCCCACAAAACATCACAGTCAACATGATTAAAATAGTTGTCACAAAAAACACAAGAAGATTTCAAAGTTGTAATATTCATTCAGAATACTGTTTTCGGTGTCTCTAATAAATACTGATAAACATGGCTTGTGACCTTATCCCTTTCTTGATTCAACATCTTCACAACACAAAGTGAATTAACAGTATAACATGCTGCATTTAATATGACCACATGTGTACATGGCTTCTAAAACAATCATCAAAACATCACCTCTGATAAAAACTAAAGACAAAACTGAAAGGAAGACAAAAACAATAATTTCAAAACTGACTGGCTGTTATGTTCTGACTTGAATTTCAGTTTGATGGATCAGTTAAAAAATTAAAACCATTGCACACTTCAACCCATTTTGGTACACATTAAATATTACAATTTGATAGTAATGAGTATTGTGACAATGAAAAAATGCAATTTTAATTTTAATGTTCCAAGATGAGTACGAAGTAATGTCCTAAATGCAGTCACAATTCATGGACAAGGATGAGACAATTCATGGACAAATCAACAAAATGCTAAAAATCTTACTTAAAACAATCTTTCAGTTGGAATACCTCTTTGCTACATGAACAGTGTTTTGAGCAATATATCACAGACACAACTGGCAACAGAATTACATTCAATAACACAGGACGGAATGGCATTCATAAATAGGGAGCCCCTTTGTTAAAGTGCCATATTTGACATTAAACACCCAGGGCACATAACCTATTCCACTGAGTTTTGACAGTAACTAGGTTAAGCATCTGAATACTTCTTCAAAATATCAGTATAATAACAAGACATTTGGATTATACAGTGCATCAGCCAGGACCCATACTTCCCGCACTCAAATTCGTGAAAACAGTGACCCAGGTCTATCAGTAATGTTACATTTATAGTAGGAGATCTTGACTAAATATTTTTAGAACCAGTCTTTCAAAATGCTAAAAACTTTGCATCTGACTTTAAAGATTTAACATTGGCATCTTGATTCTTAGAACGAAAATGTAGTCATCAATAGCCGTTTCTGGGAACTTGTACCATTTATGGAAAATAGCGTTTCACAGAAAAATGATCAATTAATTGCTGCTGGGAGATGTGTTTATTAGTTAGCACAGGAAGAAGGGGCAACCGTGAACAGCACTTGTACCATTCTGTGTCATCATTCACCTGGCACCCTTTTTGAAAAGTAATGTTTCAGCTGGCACAGTTTGGGTCAAATCCTGGCTGAAACACTGGTGTTATCTTACAGGGTACTGATAGAGCACTGTGCTTAATGCTGAAACATGGTACTATAACTTGTAACAATCACCTTAAGGAAGATATCTACAACAATACTGGCAGCATAGGTCATCACAGTTATTTTGGCAATGTGAATAGATTTCAATGTACAAATAATTTACAATTATTTCGAGCCACATTTTAGCAAATTACACTTTGTGAAATTGATTGAAATATAACCATAACTTGTAAAGAATATATACATGTCAACTGTTTGAATATATCTATTACAACTTACCATTACATGTTTTGAATATTAAAACAGCAAAATAATTTGTCCCTGAACCCTACAAGTGACACACCTCCTTCACCACAAGAAAGACAGAATTCACTTAGTCATGATTATGGTAAACTAAAAAACATATTGTCTGAAAAGTGAAAACTGTAGGACTTCACAATCTCCCTTTCTGGCTATCTCTTGTTGTTGCGTACATTGTTCATTCTGGAACAAAGAAGGTATTGATAACATTTAGTATATTGCACATGCAAGATAGTGATATGGAAACATCAAACCCTTTCACATTTATAGTTGCTTTTTGTTCTTTAGGCGACATATTTTATTTCTTGGTTTACAGATGCGCCACTCTTTCAAAGTCCAAATGTTAATTTTTTTTATCAAAATACAAACTACTCCTTATTTTTTTACCGCCGATCTTTGCTTTTAAAAATGCAAAAGTTCAAACAAAAAAAGATTTCATTTCCTCGTTGAGTGTAAAAAAGGAAGTCGGTCTGATATTTCTCGCTGGGATCCTTCTCTGATACCATCAAAGCGTGTCAATGCATAGCGCAGTGGTGACCAGTTTAATGGCCATGCTGCCAAAATGGCGTAGTCTTTCATGCATTTCATCATGACATGAATATTGTTATATTGCCATTTGTGCACAAACTGTGTGCCAGGGATATAATAAAATGTGCTTGGAAAGTTGAGTTGTTTTACTTTTGTTACTCCAGAATATTTTTTTCAAACCTTTCAAACTTTTTAGGACAAAAGTCAAGAAAAAAAATCCAAGAATTTTTGTCTTTTTTTTTGTTTGTTGAAATTTGCCTACCTCACTTTTGAAATGAGTTTTAAATCCATAAACCAAGAAATAAAAAACATGTCGCCTTATATTATAAAAAAACTGATAAATTCCATCAAGTTCTGAATAACTTTTTCTCCTTATATGATGTGCTTCCAAATGTAAGATGCAATTGCTGAATAGGTATGGCAAAAATGAACAGATTCCTATCTGTGAAGAATATATAGCCATCAAAACCAAAACAAGCTCATGACAGTTATCAGAGGTTTTCTCAAAGACAATCAATCCACTTTTGACACAAGGATTGTAATTTCAGAAGATTATATACTACCCAATAGCAGTTCAAGACCACTCGATTCCTTCGTTACTATAGTAAATCTGTCATCACATGGAAGGTGGATACACTTCTAGGGTAGTGTTTTTGTATAGCCACTTGGCATCCACCATCCTCAGATCACCCACCTAGCCAGACTCTCCACATAGTCAGCTGTGCTCTGAGCTGAGTAGGGCGCCTGGTTACTGAGATAGGAGAACTGGCCGCCATTCCTGTTGCTGTTGTTGTAGCCATAGTTCTGCTGACTGCTGAGGTGCTGGTAGGCCATGCTGTTACCCCCTGTCCGCCCCCCACCATTGCCGCCAACATCATTCTTTGGTACCCCCCGTCGTCTACCTCCACCTGCAAATATTGAGAGACATGATTAGCTGGCTTCATCACGCACAGTATATATATCAGGTAAGTGTTAAGCAACTTCACATCAGCCTCATCAATTCAAGTCAAACCAATGGATGATCATTATGAAATTAATGAAATGAACAATTATCAGTGGGTTTGAAATCCCAGGTTATATATCATCAGTCCTCCAGGATTACTTTACAAAAGCATCACCAAATCCCTGATGTTATTGGCCATGGTATCCAATTCAGTAAAGCCATGGAGATCAATGCAAATACAGCATGTTCAATACAACCAGGGCATCCTGAATCCACACAAACAGTGATGTTCTGCCAAGTTACTTTGTGTTGGACAACATATTGAGTCCTTGAGTTAACGAGGTTTCAGTGTAGAGCACAAACCTATCAACATGCCCTCGTATCTATTTGAATGAAAAGAAGCGTTATTAAAATTAATGTAAACAATATCGTGTGTTTAGCTACCAAGTGAGAAGGAAGAGTTTTAAATGCGAAATAACTGCAGTAACTTGTCGTAACAGCAGTTCTCATTGGAATCACCACACAGCTGCTATTGGAAACGACAGCATCGGCAACCGAACCGGTCATATCCGTTAAATTCCGCATTTCGCCGAACCACAACACTACTTACTGTCGAAACAACACGATGTGTTTTGGCTATCAAACAGTTGCCAAGATTGCTGGGATCTGGTGGGAGAATGGGCGAGATGTCAGACATCTTCAGCGTGTTCGGGGACCATACCTGACCACTTCCCATTTATTTGCAATGATACAAGAAAACATGTCTCCCACTTTAGATAACAAATGCTGATACATATGAATACTAGTTGCTCAATGCCATGGATTTTATACTAAATAGTCAAGACTTCGTCAGACCAAAAGAAATAACTTCGCTTGTCATTTATTTGTTATCACCAGCATTTCTCGCATGCTGTTTTTTCAGAAAAGGTGTTGTCAATTAACTTTGATCAGGTTTTGATGGACACAGCCGAAGTTATTCCACATGATGTATATGCAAACAATATTATATCCGAACAATTACTTGAGTTATTTGTTGCAGGAACAGATAGAGAGCAATTTTTAGGGCATAGCATTATTTACTTGTTGATATTACAGTAATTGGAGCAGATGAAGCACCATGAAAATACTTGTTTAGTGTAAAAAGAAAGGGGCTGTGTGCTGCAATCTGATTGGATTCAAACTGTTATTACAATAGAATTGCATCCTGGATATCATAATTCAGACTCCTCACTGCATATGAATAGCTTTCTTGATGAGTTTCTTTTTTTCTCAATCCCAAATTTGAAAATTGTGTCATTCAGGGTTGGCAAAATGGAAACCTTTTAACTAAATATTAAGTATGATCAATGTCTCTCTGAACAACTTTGTCATAGTTATTTTCTCCGCTAACCAGGTGAGTTCCTTTATTATTTAATTACGTCATCATAATCCAGGTGACGTCATAGAATTCCAGGCTGACAGAGAGAGAGGGCATGCTTCATTTGTAATTTCCAATTGTCGATAGACATTATGTGTTTACAGAATTGCAGGTGTTATTGAGTATTCATTGCCTCGTGATATTAACATTTGAAACCTCCGACTATTCCAAATAAAATTTCCATCCATCAAATACTCAATAAAACACATATAACCTGAAAACAAATATACAGTTTATCTCCTAACTGTTTTCTTCAGTTGATCAGTGTGTGTGGTCAACCATCTTGCAGTCTGTACAACATAAGGGCAGAGTGAGTGAGTGAGTATGGTTTTACGCTGCCTTTAGCAATATTCCAGCAATATCACGGCAGGGGACACCAGAAATGAGCTTCACATATTGTACCCATGTGGTGAAACAAACTGAGGTCTTTGGCATGTGGGGTGAACACTTTAACCACCAGACTACCCTACCGCCCCTAGGCAGGTCAGATCAAGGCTACAATAGACCTAGCTTCATTGCTTGCCCATCTGGGACGAGGTACTTGGCCCCAGTGGTCTAGATGGAATAAACTCAAACACAAACAGTCTGAGATTATTAATAAGATCACCAGACTACTGCATGTCGTTGACAGGCTAATTGTGGTATACGTCAGTACACATGGCAACAGATCAATAGCACTTACAAAGAATAAGAAAGAGCCCGTATTCAACATGACTGATTGGTGCTGTACTCACCTCTTTGGACATTAGAGTCTGTAGCCTCATCGTAATAGACTGCCCCACTCCACATTGGTGGGGAGGACAACTGGACATTGGTCACTTTCACTGGCACAGAGGTCTTGTACTGACCAATACCAGGAAGCGTTGCCTCCACCGTGGTGGTTGTGGTACCAGTTGGCTGGAACATCGCAAGTTATGAAGATAGTCAGTATTTATCTGCGAAGATGAAGAATCTATCAAATCTAAATATTTTCAGGGTTACGAGCTATAACTTTGCTGACATATATTAATATTTACTTGCCTAAAAAGGAAACATGGTATGGAATCAACAACATTAAAACACATAAAAGACTAAAGAATAAGGTAAAGCAGATCATTCTGTCATCATTTTTAGGAGTCAGCAAGGCCAAAATGTTACTAATTCTTGGGGACTGGGGGGCATGTCATCAATAAGTCAAGCCTGGCATGAAATAACATTACAGACACTGATGAATGATGATCCTATTATATAAATTGTGAAAGTTATCAGGTGTATGAGCAAGATGTAACAGCTGACCATGGGACGCAGATGCGTGCTCATGCATTAACTGTTATTGGCCATGTGCTTCCTGATTTGGATGTAGACTGTGCATCAATGTAAAACTGGTTTCAACATCTGCATATTATCAGGGACACAATCTGAACAATCCATCTGTAGATGAATTATGTACATGTTATATCTTCATGAACAGTTTCCTTTTTTGTGAGAGACTATATATATATAGAGAGAGAAATAAAAGAATAAACTCTGATGAATGCCTATTAACTTACCTGGAAGTATACCTGCTGGTCAGCAAAGTACAGCTCCGCCTTCGCGCGTTCCTCATCAGTAACAGGAAGGCCATCAATAACCACTAGCTGTGGCATGCGGAACACCAGCATTGGTCGGTGCATTAGGCGCCGAGATATCTAGACATAGACAGACTTACTATCAGATCTCTTAGCAGCCAGCACAGAGATTTGTAATAGTCCAACAGTAACATAATCAACATACTGAAACAAACATCATGTGACCATATGGCAGTCTGCCACTGCCAAAGATTCTTTATATGAAAGAGTGAGAGAATAAAACTTTACCGCAAATCCTTTTTGTGAAAGTCAGAAAAGTTACGCATGATAACAAGTGAAGATGAGACACTTACCACATTGTTAACTATGGAAATCTCCACCAAGTTAGAGAGAGAGTCCAGCTTCTCCAGTTCTGACAAATCCTGAAAATATAATAATCATGCTGTTATAATGAAAATCAGTCAACACCAAAATATCAACATTAACCCACAGCTCAGTGTCATAGGTTTCACTGCTCTTGCATTACCTTAACACTCCCCACACATCTGTTGTACTTCACAACCTACCTGTATTCTGTTAGATCCTAGATACAGTCTCTGCAGGTTCTCCAGACTACTGAGGTTGGATAGGTCGCGGACTCTGTTCTCCTCAAGGTGAAGTTCCACTAGATTCCATTGATTGATGAAGGCCAACTCAGATACTCCCTTGATTTTGTTTCGATCTAAGACCAGCTCACGTAGATCATGCAAGCCATCCAAACCCTCAACTTTTGTGATTTCATTCCCTGTGAACAGATCCAGACATTAAACACACTTCCTTTTCAGGTCAAGATGAGATAACAGGGATCTATAACAAGTGAGTGAGTGATTATTTCATCAAAGTCACAATTGTCCTAAATTCAAAGCATTCCTATCGCGATTGCATACAGTATGCAAATTATGATTAGAACAATGACAATTACACAAAGCAATTCAGTCCAAATTTACATCATCGAGTGACATCTTTCATATTACGTTAAAGTTTGATATCTCTGGATACATTCAATTTAGAAAATGAGTGAGTGATTGAGTATGGTTTTACGCCGCTTTTAGCAATATTCCAGCAATATCAAGGCGGGGAACACCAGAAATGTGCTTCACAACGAATGAACGAACGCTTTAAACACTAGGCTACCCCACCGCCCTTAGAAAATGAAGTAATGTATTTTTGATTAGTTGGTCTATGAGTCTCACCCTGTAAGAAGAGTGCTTTCAGAGCAGGAAGACGACTCAGCTGCAGGGCTCCCATGTCTTTTATACAGTTGTATCTGTGAACATGAGAAAGTATCAACCCATGTGTCCTCCCTGTTCCAGGCTTATGTGAACATAGACATGATGAAATATCACCACATCCATATACAAGAACCTTGGAGGGACTCCTAAAAAAAAATTTGTTCCATAACAAAGGTAATTTGTTTTGTATGAATGTTGTGTTTGTTATATAGCATATGGCTTATCTTTTAATTGTATAACCAATTCCCCTGGCCTAAAAAAGTGAAAAGTGGATCAAAAAAATAATCTGAAAAGCACTTTTGATTTTATTCTACTGAATGCCAAAAAACATGGTCAATACAACAGAACTGTACATGCAACAGGTTAAACTACAAAACAATAGGTAACAATGGCTTGATGCTCAGACAAGCTTTACTGACACTAGCATCACATACAGATAACCAAAAAAACAGTCAATAATCGGATAATAATAATTATATTTTTGTATTTTCCCTATCTATAAACACAAAAATCTGTGAACCAATTAATTAAACAATATCTAACCTAAAAAGAATGTGTGTGATACCTTCAGATAAACTGAAACAAAAACAAAAAATCTGCATAATGGTGAGTTTACCCAAGATGGAGGACCTCCAGTGATTCCAATACTGGTGTAAATGATTCTGTGTAGAACTCGAGGTTCTTTGAGGGGATGCTGCTCGTCGGAAACTTCTGCTTGGTGTTGGTGGCTTTTGACCGGGGCAGGATACACTCGATGTGATTGTGATTCAGGCACAACACCTACAATAAACATGTGGCAGAATACACTGGATGTGGTTCAGGCACAACACCTACAATATACATATGGCAGAATGCATGCAATGTGGCTGTGGTTCAGACACAACATCTACACTATACATATGGCAGAATGCATGCAATGTGGCTGTGGTTCAGGCACAACACCTACAATACACATATGGCAGAATGCATGCAATGTGGCTGTGGTTCAGACACAACACCTACAATAAACATATGGCAGAATGCATGCAATGTGGCTGTGGTTCAGGCCAAACACCTACAATACACATATGGCAGAATGCATGCAATGTGGTTGTGGTTCAGACACAACACCTACATACACATATGGCAGAATGCATGCAATGTGGCTGTGGTTCAGGCCAAACACCTACAATACACATATGGCAGAATGCATGCAATGTGGCTGTGGTTCAGACACAACATCTACAATACACATATGGCAGAATGCATGCAATGTGGCTGTGGTTCAGACACAACACCTACAATAAACATATGGCAGAATACACTGATGAGGTTGTGGTTCAGGCACAACACCTACAATACACATATGGCAGAATGCATGCAATGTGGCTGTGGTTCAGACACAACACCTACAATACACATATGGCAGAATGCATGCAATGTGGCTGTGGTTCAGACACAACACCTACAATAAACATATGGCAGAATGCATGCAATGTGGTTGTGGTTCAGACACAACATCTACAATACACATATGGCAGAATGCATGCAATGTGGCTGTGGTTCAGACACAACACCTACAATACACATATGGCAGAATGCATGCAATGTGGTTGTGGTTCAGACACAACACCTACAATAAACATATGGCAGAATGCATGCAATGTGGTTGTGGTTCAGACACAACACCTACAATATACATATGGCAGAATGCATGCAATGTGGCTGTGGTTCAGACACAACATCTACACTATACATATGGCAGAATGCATGCAATGTGGCTGTGGTTCAGGCACAACACCTACAATACACATATGGCAGAATGCATGCAATGTGGCTGTGGTTCAGACACAACACCTACATACACATATGGCAGAATGCATGCAATGTGGCTGTGGTTCAGGCCAAACACCTACAATACACATATGGCAGAATGCATGCAATGTGGCTGTGGTTCAGACACAACATCTACAATACACATATGGCAGAATGCATGCAATGTGGCTGTGGTTCAGACACAACACCTACAATAAACATATGGCAGAATACACTGATGAGGTTGTGGTTCAGGCACAACACCTACAATACACATATGGCAGAATGCATGCAATGTGGCTGTGGTTCAGACACAACACCTACAATACACATATGGCAGAATGCATGCAATGTGGCTGTGGTTCAGACACAACACCTACAATAAACATATGGCAGAATGCATGCAATGTGGTTGTGGTTCAGACACAACATCTACAATACACATATGGCAGAATGCATGCAATGTGGCTGTGGTTCAGACACAACACCTACAATACACATATGGCAGAATGCATGCAATGTGGTTGTGGTTCAGACACAACACCTACAATAAACATATGGCAGAATGCATGCAATGTGGTTGTGGTTCAGACACAACACCTACAATACACATATGGCAGAATGCATGCAATGTGGCTGTGGTTCAGACACAACACCTACAATAAACATATGGCAGAATACACTAATGTGGTTGTGGTTCAGACACAACACCTACAATAAACATATGGCAGAATACACTAATGTGGTTGTGGTTCAGACACAACACCTACAATAAACATATGGCAGAATGCATGCAATGTGGCTGTGGTTCAGACACAACACCTACAATACACATATGGCAGAATGCATGCAATGTGGCTGTGGTTCAGACACAACACCTACAATAAACATATGGCAGAATGCATGCAATGTGGCTGTGGTTCAGACACAACACCTACAATACACATATGGCAGAATACACTAATGTGGTTGTGGTTCAGACACAACACCTACAATAAACATATGGCAGAATGCATGCAATGTGGCTGTGGTTCAGACACAACACCTACAATACACATATGGCAGAATGCATGCAATGTGGCTGTGGTTCAGACACAACACCTACAATACACATATGGCAGAATGCATGCAATGAGGCTGTGGTTCAGACACAACACCTACAATACACATATGGCAGAATGCATGCAATGAGGCTGTGGTTCAGACACAACACCTACAATACACATATGGCAGAATGCATGCAATGAGGCTGTGGTTCAGACACAACACCTACAATAAACATATGGCAGAATACACTAATGTGGTTGTGGTTCAGACACCTTCAATATACATATGGCAGAATGCATGCAATGTGGTTGTGGTTCATTCATTGTCCTTGACACACAAACATCATTTCTCTATACATAATTATATTCCTCATTCCTGAGAAGTCTGTGTAAGTGTGTGATGTAGATGAAGCTCACCCTCAAGTTGACAAGATGGACCAACCCTGTGAATGACGTCAGGTTGTTGTGTTCCAAGTTCACACTGCAAACAATCATTTATAGCATTCTTTACAAAGACGAAATGTTATTTACTTGTTAGCCTTAACTAGACCCACTTTTGAGTTCAATATAAAACCAAAATGAGTGAGTGAGTGAATGAGTGTGTATGGTTTTACGCCGCTTTTAGCAATATTCCAGCAATATCACGGCGGGGGAGACCAGATCCAAAATCAGTGAGTGAGTGAGTATGGTTTTACGCCGCATTTAGCAATATTCCAGCAATATTACTAGAAATGGGCTTCACACAATGTACCCAAGTGGGGAATCGAACCCGGATCTTTGGTGTGACGAGTGAACGCTTTAACCATTAGGCTACCCGACTGCCCTAAAACCAAAATGATGTGACACGGTTTAAGTAATTTCATGTAATGGGGATGTATTGAATAATTTCAATAAACTCAGGAAACAATGAAGCAGTTTTTTAGCCTTATATATTTTTACCTTTATATATTTTTGGCTACTTTTGCCTGGATGATTTATTTTCAATGTTGCTTCAAACATGTTACCTTCTGAGGTTAAGGAACTGCTCCCCTGTGCCAAGGTCCACAGTTCTGATCGAGGAGTTTGGTAGGTCCAGTTCCCGAACTTCGTGGAAATTTGAATGACCCAGTTTCTCAGCAACAAAGTCAGCTGTCAGTCGCCCTCCAAATGTGTCCTTGGCCAAATTCCCCTCCGAAGCTTCCTATAATAGACACATCAGTCACAAAACATTACAAGATATGTATAGCAAAAGAAACACAAACTTGTAATCACAAACATCACACAGGTATTATTGCTATCTCCAAAGTAAATCATTGTCCACTTATTTTTATGTGAGCTGTCATATTATGATTATATGTTCAGAACCCTCCCTATAATGTTGACACATTCGATTCTCTGTCCCCGCCCCTGTCCCTGCCCCCTGCAATGACCAAGACATTCTGCAAAGAAAAGTTTTATGTAATAATGTTTATGGTATGTTTCAGTCACTCACTATTGCACATCCATCGAGAGCCTTGAGAGTTTTCAGATGGAAGATGACGAAGAGACGATAATGGTCCACATCCACAGCTACTGGGTTGCCAAACAAATCCAGGATGACTAGGCTTGGCAGCATCTGCAACACATCAGGTGCATAACTTACAGTCATTATCACGATACACAGAGTCAAATGTGGAAACAAAGAGAGATTCTTCCATGACATATTAGAATCCTACATTCTGATCGGTTAGAATCTATGTTAGACCATGATCTTGCTGTTAAGCGCATTACTAATTACCGTGAAAGTAAATATTTATTCAGAAGCACTTCTTTTGCAAACCTCCTATTTCTCAATTTCATAAACTGATCTTACTTCAATAACATTGCTAAATAACTTGTTGCCGTTCCTTAAGTAGTTAAACATCAAGTGAAATATATTCACTTAAAGAATGTATTGTAAAACTCAGTAACATCAACACAGCGTGACTTTTGGTGCTACCCTGACACATACTGTGGCGTCATGTCTACCACATCACAATGCTTAGACTAACCATCTGCAGAGTGAGTGAGTGAGTATGGTTGTACACTACTTTTAGCAATATTCCAGCAATATCATGGCGGGGGACACCAGAAATGGGCTTCACACATTGTACCCATGTGGGGAATCTGAAAACCGGGCCTTCGGCGCATTAACCACTAGGCTACCCCACCTTCCCCCATCTGTAGAACTACATGACATCTTATATACTGATGTGTACTTTAGAACAAAATATTCTAATGGTCGCTTCACATCCTCTAGGGATGTCTATTTGAATAATGCTCACACATATCGTGCCTCATTCAAGTATTATGGTTAAAAATATGGTATGGGGTACATAGAGCAAACAAGTATGCAGATTAAAACCGATCTTCACCATGTTCACTGATCCTTGAAAACGCCTTTTTGCCATTTTCCTACTGAAAAATAAGACACTAGGTTTGTCTCCTAATGACATAATGTAATACATAACAGTAAAAACTTGTTAATCTGTGATGGTCATGCAGACTATTATATTTCTGAAATAACAAATCATGGGTACTCCTACCAAGGTCCATTTGTATAATTATAGACAAACCAATCAGTAATCATTAAGAAAGTAGACTTCACTGTTGACAAACACTGATAAAGCTGAAGTTACAGAATGTATGACTGATGTAGTTACAGCACATCTAGATGACTGGACCAAGTATGTGTTCACATTAACAATAGTCAACATATTTTATACAAAGTCTTTTTTCATATGCCAGTAAACAGAGATAGGATGCCTTGAGTAACTGAAGCGGTGACATTACCTTGAGACAAAAGACCTCTCTGATGTTGGAGATTAAGTTGTTGCCAACATAGAGCTCCACTAGCCACGTCGCCCTCTGGAGACCGAGAAGGGAGGTAAGCCTGTTGTTCTCAAGTGACACATAACACAGGTGAGTGAGGTTGCTGAAGGCAGCATTGTCCAGTGTGTTGATGTAGTTGTAGCCCAGACTAAGTCGCCTAAGTTTGGTCAGTTTGGCCAGGCCCTCTACCTTCACAATACAGTTGTTCTCCAGTGACAGCTCTTCCAGATTGACACAGGAATCCAGGCCCTGATGCGAAGCATTGTGTTACTCAATAAATAAATCTAATAACCAAGGCCCTGTTTCATAAAATGATCTTAGCTCTACATCTGTGTTAAAGTATGGGAGTCATAGCATTAAAATTACTGTGTGAATCAGGACCCATGGCAGGAATGTATCAGGGTCCCTGGCAGGAATGTATCAGAGCCCAATACCATAAAGCAATCGTAGCCCTACAACCATTGTAAGCCTATGTTAAAGAAATGGAGTTACGATCACCTAATGCTAAGATTGGCTAATGAATCAGGGCCCCTGGCGGGAATGTATCAGAGCCAAATTCCACAAAGCAATCGTAGCGCTACGACCATTGTAAGCCTATGTTAAAGTAATGGAGTTACGATCATCTAATGCTAAGATTGTTTTATGAATCAGGGTCCCTGGCAGGAATGTATCAGAGCCAAATTCCACAAAGCAATTGTAGCGCTACAACCATCGTAAGCCTATGTTAAAGTATGGGAGTTACGATCACCTCATGCTAAGATTGCTTTATGAATCAGGGCCCCTGGCAGGAATGAATCAGAGCCAAATTCCACAAAGCAATTGTAGCGCTACAACCATCGTAAGCCTATGTTAAAGTATGGGAGTTACGATCACCTCATGCTAAGATTGCTTTATGAATCAGGGCCCCTGGCAGGAATGAATCAGAGCCAAATTCCACAAAGCAATTGTAGCGCTACAACCATCGTAAGCCTATGTTAAAGTATGGGAGTTACGATCACCTCATGCTAAGATTGCTTTATGAATCAGGGCCCCTGGCAGGAATGAATCAGAGCCAAATTCCACAAAGCAATTGTAGCGCTACAACCATCGTAAGCCTATGTTAAAGTATGGGAGTTACGATCACCTCATGCTAAGATTGCTTTATGAATCAGGGCCCCTGGCAGGAATGTATCAGAGCCCAATTCCACAAAGCAATCACAGTGCTACGACCATCGTAAGCCTATGTTAAAGTATGGGAGTTACGATCACCTAATGCTAAGATTGCTTTGTGGGACAGGGCCCCAGTATATAGTGACGTCCTGCAACTGGTCATTTGGACAGCAAAACAATGGTGAATATAGTGTCAGTAGTGATCTATCCTATTAATTTTACTGATCAAGTTTACAACCTATTTTCTTTCCTTCTGAAATTGTTGTGCAGTGAGTGATGTGGAGCATGGTATCATACTGCAACCGAATCACAGCTCAGTTAAAAAACTGGAACAAAGAAATAGTTCCTAGGTGTTTACCTGTTTGGTGACCACAAGCAGAAGTGTAAAAACATTTTTGCTTTGCTGGAAGACAACAAAGCTGATTCTGCACAACAAAGGTTAGCTTTGAGAACAAACATACCTCTATCTTAGTCAGGTCATTGTTACTGAAGGATGCCCACTTCAAGTTCTCCAGCCTGTCTAGGTTGGACAGCTTCGTGATGTGCTGGCCCTCCAGGTTGAGTGTGGACACTTTCAGATACCACGACGTATCATGCTCTCCGAACTTCTCCGGCTTCTGTCTGCTCATGTGCAGTACGATCTGTGCGGTGGTGTTGAGGCTGAGTGAGCGTGGTGTGGTGGCGTCCACGCGGGACTGGGTGAGGAGGGAGAGCTGGGAGATGCGAGACCCTGCTGCTACTCTCAGGGCAGCAGTAGCCTCTTCCTCTGTCACAGGCTGGTCATCTAGCAGGGTGAGGGACTTCAACCGACCAATGACACGCAGGCGTAATCCGTCAGGCTGAGATTGACAGGAGGAGGAGAATGTGATAATAGTGTTGCTTATTGACTACTGTTTTGTGTGAAAAGCGTTGTCTTCTAAATCGCATTGCTCTCATTCCAGGGAGGAGGGACTCCAACATATTTGTGATAAATTTTAACAGAATTATTTTCATTACATGAGAGTATTTAATTATTTACAATGCATGTCATTGAACAGTACAATCATGATAAAGCATGTGATCTGATTGTTTACAATGCATATCATTCCAATAAATCATAATGTTTGCATATAATGCATCTTATTTCACTTTTCATAATTCGTATCATTTTGACTGATCATAATGCATGTGAATTCACTGTGCACAATCCATACCATGTAACCTTGTATGTCATTGCATGACTGTTTCTAATAAAAAATATCATGTAAAAAATAAAAATTTCTAAAATTTCTAAATAGCAAAAGGCACCAGTTCAGCATGTACCTGACAAACCTGCAAAGTTTGATGAAAAATTATTGAATGGTTTATGAGTTATGCTCCGGAAACGAACCCTACCCTCACAGAACCTAAGTCCATCTTGTTGCCATGGAAACGTAAAAAATAAAAATTTCTAAAATTTCTAAATAGCAAAAGGCACCAGTTCAGCATGTACCTGACAAACCTGCAAAGTTTGATGAAAAAATATTGAATGGTTTATGAGTTATGCTCCGGAAACGAACCCTACCCTCACAGAACCTAAGTCCATCTTGTTGCCATGGAAACGTAAAAAATAAAAATTTCTAAAATTTCTAAATAGCAAAAGGCACCAGTTCAGCATGTACCTGACAAACCTGCAAAGTTTCATGAAAAAATATTGAACGGTTTCTGAGTTATGCTCCGGAAACAAAACGTGACTGACGGACGTAGGTATGAACTTTGTTGGGCGGGGGATAATTATAGATTGACACCATTCAGGAATAATACCATTCATTTAATCGGGACAGATGAAGCTTGTTGGATATTCTCTAAAACATACATGTCATTTGACTCAATAGTGTATGTCCTATGTCCCTGTACCCACCTTAAGCCATGGGTTGTATCTCATGTTAAGAGTCTTCAGACCCGACATGTGTTTGCGCAGAATGGACAGCTCCTCTCGCGTGTTGGTCAGTCGGTTCCAGCTGATGTCCAGCTGCTTCAGGCGAGACAGACCCTAGCAGAACAAAATCTTACTTCAGTCCCATGAAATGTTATCAAGGCAAAAATTATATACATGGTCATAGTCAGTGCAAGAGATCCAGCAAAGATGTACCACTGATACAGCCATGCTGCAGCTGCAGCAGTGGTCGCCCATCTATAAGTACCTACCTCAATGTTGCTTCAGTTCACAGCCTCAACAGAGCACGTCGCGTCCAAGATTATTGCACTTAAATAGCAACGTGCATGCATGTGTGTGTATGTGTGTGGCTGCTTGTACTAGACCGGACTAGCCCTAGTGCTAGCCCACTGAGATACCATGCCGCAGCTTAACATGGATACACCACTCAGACACAGTATACTGACTCCGAGCCGACCAGTCCTTGCTTTAACCCCTTAATGCCGAGCGCCAGACAGGTTAACCACAAGTACCATCTTTAAACGCCTTTTGGTATGACGCGGCTGGGGATCGAACCCCGGACCTTCCGCTCTCCGGGCTGACGCTCTACCACTAGACCAGGGAGGCGGTCCCATGTCATTAGAAGTAAGTACAAATTGGGACATTATGCATACAACATTTTCACAATGTGAATACTAAGATGTAGGATGGAACACTATATTATCGTGGTAGTTAATTTATAATGGATCGTAATGGCGCATGCTTACTAACCTATTAAATATGTCATATGCAAAATGTTTCTTGTTCTTTTTTTAACTTTTAGGACACACAAATTGGGATTGATTGATGCTGATTTTCTTCACCAAGTTCGATAAACAAAGTAGTCATTAGCATCTCAAGGGCAGCGAACTCTATATTATTGCAGTACGGCTATTTTGTGGTGTGACACATGTGGATTATGTGGTTTGCATCACGTCCTGTTTTGGATTATGCATAATCAGTGTACAAACAACTTAGGTTGGATCATGGGGCTTCTTCGTCGAAACAAATGGGTTCTTTTCTAATCAATTTCAAATGGAGTTAGGGGTAATTCCACTTCAAAATCATTCAAGAAACTATCATATAAAAAGTTAGCGAGTATACTTACAAGTAACTATGACATACCACAATGAGTCCTGTGTTCGATCAAGCAATCAAATATCGTGCTTAGATTTGCATAAGTAAACAGTCGACAGGCGGTGTGGATTACGGGATTTACCGATACCGCAATAATATAGAGTCATGCTATAACTGATGATTGGAGGATGTAATGAAAACAGTGACTCAGTGATGTTTGGAGAGTCGTCACTACTCACCTTCATCCCCTCAAGTGTTATGATCTTGTTGAAGCTGGCATCCAAGTACTCCAGTGACTGTAAACAAAGGGAGAACCTTGATAGAACAGCACTTGCATGACTTTACCAACTCAAGACGCAAAACATCAAACCAGAGGAGGATTGAAACAGAGCTAAGTGCTTCTAACTTAAAACTGAACTACAAGTGGTTATTACCATTCTTAGGCTAACCTTGTCACTGCTCTACAACTGTCTCCCATCATAAAAGTGGTTTGTGCAGGATATAAACATATTAATGTCTTATACAACAGGAAATGGGAAAATTGTCGAGTGCTTTTATGCAGAGACCATGTACTGATCAGTACCGGTATATGGTCTCTGGTTTGAGCTTATTGTTGCATATCAGGTCTACGTGCTAAGCAGACATCCAAAGGTTTAACTCTCAGAAGGAAATTTAACTTGGATTGGTTTTCAAGGGTACCTTCAAAATGAGACATTACACTTTCTTTAAGTGGGCATTTAGCATCTACTAGCATTTAGCTGTTGTAGCATCGATGACAAGGTTGATTTTAGGATTTGAATGTCTTTATTCTTTTAATGTGATGTTACTTGCTTAATAAACGTATTGGCACCTTCAAAGAAAAATAAAGAGGCTGCAATCCGTAAGTACACCCATTTGTCCAAAACATTGCCTTGTTAGTTACCATGTGTGCTAGGTCCTCTAATCGTGTCAGCTCATTAAAAGGGACAATGAGTTTCCTCAGTGCTGATAGAGACTGCAGGTGCTTGAGTTTTGTCAGCCCATTTCCATGGAGATTGAGCACTGTGATATTGGCCAGAGCATCACACTTGGATATTTTCAGCAAGAGTTCATCATTCAGTGTGACTAGCCTGTAATAGGGAGGAAGTGGGTATGATTTTATGCCCTCTTTAGCAGTATTCTAACAATATCATAGCGGGGGACATCAGAATGGGTTTCATACATTGTACCCATGCTATGGGGAATCGAACTTTTTAACCACAAGGCTACCCCACATCCCGTTCTGCAATAGATCACTTACTTCCCATTGATAAAAGTGTATGAGTGAATGAATATATGCCAGATTCATCGATACGACAATAGGCAAGCAGAGCATTGAATCAGAAATGAATTGGTCTTCCAAGGTGGTCACAAATGCTAGTTCTATCCATGTTCTGCAGCCATAGTGTCCACCTCATCCTCATCCTAGTTATAATTATGACAAGCATGATTAACTAGCCATTTCAAAATATACACATATTGAGACAAAACCTGTTTAGCGGCCAAAGTACCAGATTAACACTAAGCAAACTCCTGTTCTTTAAATAATCATGGAACATCTATAAATGAAGAAATACAATACATTCTGAAAACAATTTCAACTATATGTTTAGCAGAAAGGTTTAAACAAAATAGTATCTGCAGGAAATGAATGACCTTGGTCTCTGTTTGATTGTGGGCTCCATGTTAAAGATTTCCTCATCCTCCTCTGAGTGCACGTCCTCCCCACCCCCCAGGTTTGCTAGTTTCACCGGCTTGTTCTCCAGCAGCTCATCACTCAGACCAGAAAATGGGGATTTGCATTTGCTCTACAAAACACATAAAAAATTAAGTCCCTAGTTTCCTAGGTCATCTTTTCAGATTATTATCTAGTCCGCATTTCACATTGTGAGTGAATATTGTTGAGTGCCCAGTCAGAAAACTTCCCGAGGCAAGTATGTCCACTAGCCTATATCAAAGCCTAGTTTCTACCCTTGCCACATCAAGGCCACTTTTCTTGGCTCGACCCTGGCCCCACCTCTCCCATATCAGGAGTTATGCCCCTTGTAATGAAAACATGATATCCAATCAGATCGCTGTTCACAATGATGGCGATTACCATAGGCGACGACTTTGTCGATCAGTTTACGAAAACATTCACCATTTCATCCCTGACACAAAAACACAGGTAATCATTGTGGGGTTTAAAAGATGAAAAAGACATATTCATGTTAACAAAGACAGGCATCGGAAAATCACTTTCATACAAAGGTGTACAAGTTGTGGAAGTTGATTTTGTGAAACGTTCTCTGATTGGACTATCTATATGTGTGATAGTCCAATCATATTTAACACAGGAAAGTCGGCTTGATGTGGCAAGGCAGGAAACAAGACTTTGATAAAAAGTCTAGTGGACGCTAGTGACTCGGGAAGATGCTGTCAGCACAAGTACAAATATAAATTGTATGTAAGCAATTTGGGCAGACAAATCAGTGACTGATAGTGTAAACAATGATCCAAGCCATCAGGGTACAATGACACACAATCAGACAGGACACACAATCAAACAGGTCACACATTGCAGCAACTTGGATACAATGAGAAATTGATGACTACAAAGAGGTACGATGACTATAATGAGGAAGACATATTCGTCCACAGTGGAAGTCAACATCTTGAACCATGTATATACTGGAATCCGATACATAGCCAATATTACTTTTAGATGAAAGTTCCTATGCGATTTTTATGAGGTTCCTAACTGGTTACAACAATGTGATGCTGAGACAACAGTAGTTGTGTTGTAGGAAGCAAGCAGTGACAACCGTCATTGTGGTTCTTTTCATATGTGTTGAGACCCCCAAAACTACACATGTACCATATTGCATAACAATTTAAACAAAAATGACTGAGAATAAATAGCATTTTCAAAATGGCTGCCACAGACCTGAATTCAGATTTGAACCTTTTGCACAAATTCAGGTGTAATCACTGGTAGGAACAAGAATGTGAAGTTTCAGCTTCATCGGACCATGGCCTTTTAAGTTTATGGGAAGAAGAATTTTGAATTTCTTGAACTTGAACTCCCTGATAGTAACAAACATGAATTTCCACAGGATCCATCAAGCTATTTCAGAGAAGTAAACAATGTAAAATGTTATGACAATGGCTGACTTGGGACAACATAAGCTCAGGTGGGTTAAACACATTTTTTCTCACCCGTGTGATGTACTCAAACTCTATGATGTACTCAGGAAGTACCAGTTCATGATCGAAGATGTACCACTCACACTGCCGGGCGCTGCACTCACATGAACTGTTCTCACCATCTTTCTCTGAAATATCATTGTCAAATTAAAACCACAAGAACAAACACAAAATGGTTGCAAGCATTTCTATGTCATTTGTAACAATGAGAAAACAACAGAAATAAAATATCCAACCTTTGATGTATTATGTCATCATAATGTACTCACTTTCATTTGGAATAACTTTCCTTCTTGGTTTGAATATTGCATCTATCTTGTGATATGCAGATTTTGATATACTGCAAAAGAACAAAAAAATGTATATAAATACACTGTATTTTCTATTAGGCTTAAAAAATGAAAGAATTGGTTCTCAGGCAATGACTTTCAAAAGATTTTTTATTTTTATTTTTTTAGCTTGTTCAAACTAGTATGTAACCAAATAAACAGTTGTGAACCATCAACCTGGGAAAGGGACTCACTACATAAACAATCATACAAACTCCTATTGCCGCCATGACCATAACTCGAGATGCGCAGTGAAACATTGCGCATGTAAAGGGAAACGTGCGGCAGACTTTATGATGATGCTTGCGGTGCCTGAGAACCAAGACTATTATTTCTTTTTGTCTTTTAATGGAAAAAAGGCAAGACTATTCACACAATACTGCAACACAATACTCTGTGGTATAAAGACAATTGGAAACTTTCAATTCCAATACTCAGACAACTGGAGATAAATGAATGTTTTCTAGAAGAATAGACATCTAATTACTCATACTTGTACTTACGATCTGTCATCCATGGCTGACATACTTTTCCCCAGGTACACTTTGGCTACCACCAGCTGACCTGAAAAACATAAGTATGAAATTTAATCTAGACCAGAAAACCAGTAACTGAAAAACATAGCAACGTCCAAATGACACAGAATCAGCTAAGTCACAGAGTGAGTGAGTGAGTGAGTGAGTGAGTATGGTTTTACGCCGCTTTTAGCAATATTCCAGCAATATTACGGCAGGGGACACCAGAAATTGGCTTCACACATTGTACCCATGTCGGGAATCGAACCGGGTCTTCGGCGTGACGAGCGAACGCTTTAACCACTAGGCTACCAGACCGCCCCCTAAGTCACAGAGTCTGACTCCCTGATCTAATATAGTCCATTCTCATGACAAGCAATAGAGAGCTGGAGGCAAAACCCGGGTTCCCACAGTGTTTGTACCTGTGTCCTGTCTTACCATATCTATAAGGGCAGGAGTCAGCAGCTTCCTTGTCTTTAGACTGTCTCATCAGACAGTTGATGCGGCGGCGGTCAGCCAGGCTTAAACTGTTACTTAAGGGGACAGCACCATCTCGACCAAGTTTCTGAAACACAAAAAATACAGTGACATTTTAACTAAAATTTTATGTTCAACTTTGTTCATACATTCGGTTGTCTAACGTGCCACAATTCGCTGTGCAGCGTTGCATCCCTAGGGCATGAGATACCTATGATCTGTGTTCAAATCCCAGTTTGCCCTGATCATGTTTCAAAGTTTGTCAGGTCCATACCCATGCTCGTGGGTTTCACCAAAGTGGTAAACATCTGAGACCTGCATCACTTTGGGCTTTCCGCCCACACCAAGCTGACAAGGATATAACTGGAATACTTTCAAAGTAGCATTAAACCTAACTCACTCACTCACTTACATATATTATATTCTGATAAGTTCCTGTCTCTAATGAAAGTTTACTTGTACACACAAAACTATGATGACACAATATAATACAATGAAGTATCAACATTCCCTTAGTTTCACTTGAGAAAGTCTGGCCCACTTTCCCTTAGTTTCACTTGAGAAAGTCTGGCCCACTTTCCCTTAGTTTCACTTGAGAAAGTCTGGCCCACTTTCCCTTAGTTTCACTTGAGAAAGTCTGGCCCACTTCACCTTGTTCATGTCTGCATCTAAGACTCACATGAGACAGTCATGAACATTTCATATCAGATTGTTACTCTAACACCTCTCTGCAAGAAGATCTGACAACCACTCCATAGGAAGTTATATCAGTTGACTAACTTTGACTGCCCAATCTCAATAAAGGATCAGTGGGTTCTTGGGCTAATCATCTTTCCAAAATTATGTGGCTGCATTTTTGTACCATCTTGATTTGGAAAATTTGATTTAAAACAACGGTCCCACACAGTACACAAATATTCTTTCATGGTACTCCCTTCTGGGTGCAGTTGCTATAACTTTAAAAACAGGATAGGGTGTATAAAATATCCACAACAACTACATGACATGGTCTATATTATTTACATTGAGAGCTGAGCATTTAAGTTCATTTTCGTAATACAGACATCAGATATGCTGCTGTTAACGCTTCACTTACTCGTACCCGAGAATTTAGAAGCCTTGACACTGATTGGCTGATGTTATGGAGGGTTTGTCTTATCTTCATCCCTATCATAAATCCATGGACCTCATAAAAATAAAATGAAGGAAGCTAACCTGGTACATGTCTGCATCAGGGAATCCCTCCTCTAGGACCCGAGCCATCTCTGTAGCTCCTCCAGCTATATCAGGGTCCCACATCCAGAACAAGTACTCCAGCAGCTTCTTGTGTGTGGGGTTCCTGCAACAGTGCACAGACTATGGTAATATCTAGGATTCCAGACTAAACACCCATGGCCTGGAAATTGGGGGCAAAAAATCATTATATTATTTAAAATAAGAATTTAGGGAGTCATAGAATTCCTAAATGCAGAGATATTTCAACAGTGTATTTTAACACTGCATTCAATGTATAAATGTAAAACTTTTACAAACCTGTAGAGGTTATGAATTCTCTGATGAAATCCTCCTTGGGGCACTTATTGCATTTTCCTGGCTCAAGAAAATCTACATGACATAGTTGTAACCATTTTCCTTAATAAAAATTGTTACCACACAAAAAACTTTGTTTTTGTATGATATACGTCCACCCTTATGGTGCCTCACCCTCCACGGCGCGTCACGCCAAGGGAAGCAACTCTCACCCAAATCACTTTCCATATGTCTAATGCTGACGGAATGTGGGGAGGCGGGTGGCCGTGCCCCAAGGAGGATTTCATCAGAGAATTCATAACCTCTACAGGTTTGTAAAATTCTCTTTCAGATTAAATCCTCCTTGGGGCACTTATTGCATCAAGATAGACTCCTAAAGATAATCTAGGAAGTGGCATCCGTCAGCAACAAGCGTGCATAAAATACATCGTATTTTGATTATTTCAATGAATAAACAAGAGTTCAATAAATGGAACCAACCTTATCGTGAGGCACCACCGTCGAAAGGCGGGGGCTGGAGACAGGGCGTTATCGACCATACACAATGAAAAGAGCCATTCTTTGTGGCTCATCATATCGAGAACTCGAGACACACACACCCCCCACCCCACCCACTTTTTTGAACAAGTGATATTGGGGGCACAGATCACGAGAGACTATAAACCCGCACAGAGCTAGGCCAGAGGGTCCCCGTAATCGAAGGAGTGCATGTGCAATTACGATGATTATCGACTAGTAATGGCTGGTATTGTATCGACCGTAGAAGATAAAATCCGGACCGTTACTGAGCAGTGTTATAACCGGTCCGGGCGGTCTAAAATCTCGAAGGCTCAATCGGCTAGAGATGTAGTACTTTGCCCAGTTCGGAGAACTGACTGACCAAACCGAGCACGCTCGCTTGAGTGTTTGTCGAGTTGGTAATGTTTGATGAACGTGCTCGGCTGGCTCCAAATAGCCGCGGAGCAGATCTCCTCAATGGGCAGAGCCGCAGCATACGCTTGTGTCGTAGCCACTGCTCTAACCGAATGAGCCTTCAACTTGGTAGGGGGGTCCCTGCCTTGAAGCGTGTACGCCGTACATATAGTAGAGACTATCCACCGCGAGATAGTTTGTTTGCTCGCAGGTGAGCCAGCCTTCCTACCGCCATAACAGCAAAATAGTTGATTATCCTTACGGATACCCTTAGTTCTGCTGATATAGGACTTAAGGGTCCTGCGGACATCCAATACATGAGCATGTCTTGTAGTGGTCCCCGACGAGGAAGGCTGTGAAAGAGCAGGTAGCTCAATAGGAGCCGTCACGTGGAAGGCGTGTGCGACCTTAGGACGGTAAGAGTCCGGCAGGCGAATACTGACCCTGTCCCGGTGAAAGACAGTTAGTTCGGGATCGGCTGACATTGCGTGAATGTCGCCTACCCGTCTGCCGGACGTTACCGCCACAAGGAACGCCGTCTTCCAGCTCAACAGCTGAAGAGAGAGAGACGACAGATCCCGAAAGGAAGGACCGGACAGCCAATCAAGAACGATTGACAATTCCCAAGGGGGACTGATCCGCCGGACAGGCGGTCGGATCCTGTCCACACCTGCTAAAAAACGCTGCACTAATGGGTGCGCACCCAAAAGTGCCCCGTCGACGGGGACGTGAAAGGCAGCGATAGCTGTAGAGTACCCCCGGACTGTCGATGCGGCCAGGCCGACATCTAGTCGCGACTGGAGGAACTCAAGTACGGCTACGAGATCTGCAGAAAAGGGATCTGCAATCCTTCTATCGACACACCAGCGCGCATAGCAGGCCCATCTATCCTCGTACTGAACGTTTGTCGAATCCCTCCGCGAAGCCAGTATTGTGTCTGCAACTCGTGCAGGAATACCGCTCTCCTGGAGGCGATTCCGGACAGTGGCCAAGCCACCCACTGAATCCTGGGATTCGGGTGGAGGGCCTCGTTCTGGGATAGGAGGTCCGGTCGTAAAGGTAATAGAACAGGAGGCTGAGCCAGAAACCTGAGTATGACTGGAAACCAACTCTGCGCCGACCAAAGGGGTGCCAGGAGCACAAGTAGTCGCGCAGGCTGAGTGGCTAGCTGAGACAGGACCTTGGAAATCAGAGGTACTGGGGGGAATGCCCACAGTATTCTGTCCGTCCAATCTAGCTGGAAGGCGTCCGGTGCCACCGACCTCGGGTCGGGGACTCGGGAGCAGAACGTTGGTGTCTGGTGATTCACCCCAGACGCAAACAGATCCACCTGGAACGACCCGTATAACTGGGAGATAATCCCGAATATCCCCGGGTCGAGCCTCCACTCGTGAGGAGCGAGGATCCGGCGAGACAGAGCGTCCGCACGGACGTTGTCTACCCCCGGGAGATAAACAGGTAGCACCCTGATAACGTGTGAGTCGCACCATAGGAGGAACTGCCACGTCTCTTGGAGAAGCGACGGAGACACCGTTCCCCCCTGCTTCCGGATGTAAGTCATCGCCGTTTGGTTGTCCATCTCTAGACGCACCACTTGGCCACGAAGCAGATCCAGGAAGCGTTGGAACACCAACCTGACCGCTCTCAGTTCTAGCACATTGATATGCAGTTTGATCTCCTGCTGGGACCATAGTCCCGAGGCAGTGTGATCGTTCAGAACGCCTCCCCAGCCGGAGAGTGACGCGTCTGTTTGAACTGTGAGAGACGGCACGGGAGTGTCGAGGGGGAGCCCCCGGGACAGATTCCCGACCTCGGTCCACCACTGAAGGTGTGCATTGAGCCACTGCGGAGTCTCGAGAACAGTCTCGAGATCTTCCGAGTTCACCCAAAGTCGACGGAGCGCTTGTTGAATGGGTCTCATTCTCAAGCGCGCCCGCCAAACCACATCCACTGTCGCCGCCATGTTGCCCAGTAACTGGAGCCATGTACGAGCAGTGTGACTGGCGGACAGAAGGAACTGGGAAGTAACACTTCTGACCTTGGTAATGCGATCTTGTGACAGAGATACAAGTCCGCTCACCGTGTTGAAATTCGCCCCTAGGAAGACTAGATTCTGAGTAGGGCTCAGATCTGACTTCTTGAGATTGACTATCCACCCTAGAGTGATCAGAATATCTATCACTTGTTGTGTAGCTATCTGACTCAGGGATTGCGATAGAGCTCTTAGTAACCAGTCGTCGAGGTACGGATGGCAGAACCGACCTTTTGACCTGGCCACTTGGGCGGGAATCAACATCAGCTTGGTGAACACCCTCGGGGCCGTAGCGATCCCGAATGGTAGAACCCTGAACTGATAACACCTCCCGTCGAAAGAAAACCTGAGGTATTTCTTGAACTCGGGGTGTATGGGTACGTGGAGATAGGCGTCTTTTAGGTCTATTGACGTTAGCCATTCTCCGGTCTCGACAGCTGAGATCACCGAGCGCAGTGTCTCCATCCTGAAGGACGGTACCTCTATAAGTTTGTTCAGCCTTCTCAGATTGAGAATAGGCCTGAACCCTCCGTCTTTTTTGGTGACTAGGAAATATGTCGAGTAGAAGCCCTCGCTTTCCTGTCCCACGGGAACCGGTTCGATCGCAGCCTTCATAAGAAGTGCGTCGACCTCGGCACGGAGGAATTCCGCCCTCTCCAGGGTAGCAGGCACCGGAGTGTGCTTTATCCCGGAGAAGGGGGGCGGATGATGTTTCCACCGAGGCAAATGGCCATCCCTTAGAGTGGACAGGGTCCAGGGATTGGATGTGACTGTCTCCCATTCCTGCAGGAATAGAGCCAGTCGGCCGCCTACGGGGACATCCGGCTTGAGGCAGCAGACCCCGGCTGTCGGCAGTTCGAAAACATGCGACCGTGGGTCCGCCCGGGGCGCTTCGGGCGCTAATGGGAACCCGATGGGTTCCCGGCCCCGCGAAAAGGCTGCTGGCCTCGACCAGCTGCCCTGCCCCGGCCCCTGCCTCTCTTGCTCCTCCCGGCGCCCTTACCTGAAGGAAGCGGCTGCTTCCAAGCAGGTGCAGACTTCTGACCCGGCGCGTCAGCGTAGGAGGAAGCAAGTGGAGAGGTCCGCTTACGCGGTTTAACGCATGGTACCTCCAACAAGGCCTTAGAATCCTTGATGGAGGCATACAACTGTGCGGCCTCTCGGACCACCTGCTGAGCCCCAGGGAAGAGGGTGGCACCCATCTTATAAGGCAAAGCAAGTAGATCCTGGCGTGTGGAAGCCGAGTATTTGGATACCGACATCCACAGCCTGCGCATGCCCATGACTGCGCACATCATCTGCGAGGCACAGCTACGAATAGCGTCCCTCGCAAGATGACTATGTACCTCCGTCAGTTGCGCGGCCAACTCCGAAGAGTCGGCCGGCCCCTCTCCCGCTAACTCCCTCTGTACGGCCGACAGATAAGCGGAGTGTACGGACACCCGGAGCTGCTGACATGCGTTACGATATTGCTCCTCGAAGCAAACGTAAGCAGCCTTCAGCTCCGTACCGCACGCGGGAAAGGGTGGCAACCGCCGGCCCTGCTTGACCTTAGCCAAGTTGGGGGTCGAAGACCCCCCCAGGGTAACGGAGGTCCAGACGCATTCGTCCACCACCGGTACCTCAAAATCACCATCCTCTGCTAACGGGTACCGCTTAATAAGTTCGGGCAGGTCGAACTTCCTGCGGGCACCCGACAACAGAGGGTTGATGACTTCATGCACCAATGAAGACAGAATACGGAGCCGCACCTGGGGCGCCTTGCTCGGAGCAAAAGCGTCCCCCGGAAGGCGGAACTCAGTCGGATCCGACTGGGGCATGGGCGCAGCCACCTGAGGCAGTACCTGGACAATTTTGTCCCGTACATGCCTCAACGAGGAAACGAAGGAAAATATTCCCGAGGTCTCCGAGTCGTCTCCCCCCTCCTCCATCCACTCCTCCTCTCTCGATTCCGAGCCGAAATTAATCGACTCTTCCCCGAGAGAAGAGGCAGACGAAGTCGGAAGGGGACGCCCGAAGGCCTGGGCCTTCGCATCCCCGGGCTGCACCCGGCCCGAAGCCGAGTCCCGGTCCCGAGGTGCCGGGGGTTCAAGGGAACCCACCTGGCTCTGGGCTAGAAATCCGCTAGAGGAAGCCTCGGCCTCGGAAGAGGCGTCTGGCTCCGCTAGGGAGAACTGTGCGTCGGTAGTGAACGGGCCAGTGCCCGCCACCCCTCCGCTGGGGAGCGACCTCGAGCCGGCGCCGAAGCCCGGTCTGAGTTCGTCCCCGAGACCAAGTGGCCTGCCTCGGCCGACGCCGGGCATATCACAAGGTCTCGAAGCCGCGTCCGGCGCCGACAACGGGGAAGGCTCGGTCCGCAACTCCTCTCGGAGCTGAGACTTTACCTCCTCCATCATCGACGCCATCTGCGACCTCAACAAGGCAGAGATGTCTGCCAAAGACGGTGCAGGAGAGGGTGCAGTGATTGTGACGGGGACCCTAGAGCCTTCTCCCCCGGCCCCCGGGGAGGGAGCGGAGGAGACAGTCTCAGCTGCCTTTTTACCCTTTCTTACTTTTTTTGAGGGGGGCGGGGCGGTCTTTGCCGACCTAATGTCCACCCCCGCCTTCAATAGACCCTTAAAGTGTAAGAGGTCCACATTTCTCTTTTTTTGCGCCCGTGGTGTAAATGCAACACAGATCGGGCATGACCCATCGTCATGCCCGTCTTCGGCCAAACACTTTATGCAGGTATCATGCCTGTCTTGGGGGGGAATCGAAGCCGAGCACCCCGTACACAGTTTGAAGGTCTGTAAAAAAGACCGTAATTTTTGAGTTTGGCGGGAAGGGTAATAAAGTGTATCAGTGCGATTGAAAGATCGGAAAGATACGTGCATAAATTGTGTAACTAGAAGCAAAGGCGTAATTTAGAATGCGATTGGTAACGCGATACTAATAGCCAATGTCGTAGTATAATTATAACACCAAAGTGGGCGTGTTACGCGCGAAGGTGTAGAAAACCCGTAAAAAAGGTAAGTGTAATTTAAAATAATTAACACACCACCTTGGGTTTATTTAAAGGAAAAGATTGTAGGCTAAAGCCCGATGATATAGATTAAAAAACCGAAGCCGTTTTTGATGGCCCTGGTGTTACATATATCATACGTGGCACTACAAAATGGACGCTACGACGGCCTTATTTCAAAGGTATCGTACACGTGTCACATAATTACAACTTTATAACTTTACAATGCGAGGTATTACGCCTTTGCATGAAAGAAATGTACCATACATACAGTTTGGTCTGCCATGGTTCTTGTACAAACGATAATCTTGTCTTTATATTGTCTTGAAAAAAACAGCACGTCTGTCTTTGTCAGATGACATAAGGAAAGTGATTTGGGTGAGAGTTGCTTCCCTTGGCGTGACGCGCCGTGGAGGGTGAGGCACCATAAGGGTGGACGTATATCATACAAAAACAAAGTTTTTTGTGTGGTAACAATTTTTATTAAGGAAAATGGTTACAACTATGTCATGTAGATTTTCTTGAGCCAGGAAAATGCAATAAGTGCCCCAAGGAGGATTTAATCTGAAAGAGAATGAGCATTAAAGACTATATTGGTCCTGTAACCATGGTTACAAGTGAAACACAACTCACGGCTACAAAAACATATCTTTAGTTATGACTAGCATGAATTAGGAAATTTTCATTTCAATTTGTAAATGTCAACTGACATTTGCTGTTGACATGGGGCTGAAAATCGGCCTTTAGGGCTGTTAGATAAATCCCTACCACATGCCTACAGAGAGCCCATGAAGCTTAACATGCTGACACAACATTTCTATCATTGATGTGTTGATTGTGGGAGGAAAGCCTGAAAAACCACAAGGTCCCACATGGACAGACAAATCAATCTAATTTGAAATTCTAATATTATAAAGAAAATCCATGTTATGCTTATAAAAGTGCAGACAAGGTTGAACTTACTTGCTGAGAGGGTAGAATTCATTATCCTTCTCATCAGTAATGTTGGCCAGTTTTTCATCGAATCTTGCTCTTAGTATCCGATTGCGGACGCGAATGATGCGATGCAGCTTGATACCCATAATGCCCTGTTCTCTGTAGTCGGCTGCACAAAACCTCGACAGCACCAGATCATGACAGGAACTAAACCTGTAATACAATTTGTACAACTAAATTCACAATTATACAACTTAAAGTACACAAACATTTACTGAAACTGAATTCATGAGAGGTTTGTTCAGCTCCAGAAGAATATATTAAGATGTTCATAATCATAAGTTGTATGTTATTCACTCTGAGAACCCACAAGTTCAAATATATCATAAATTAACAGCAAATGCATAAGAAAGACCTTGTTTCAACTCTTTTGTGACCTTTATTTAACATAGAATATATGACAGATTATTGTTTGAACCATTCATAAGTCTAGTTCAAGAACTAACAGTAGCGACCTTGCCCTGCGTGAACAGCGGGTGCTACAGATAGGTTCAACACTCTCTCCAGCTGATGTCATCCTTGTAGGCTTACAATGATTTGTGATTGTAGGTTTTATATATTATTCTTGCCTATGGGCCTTGTTTATTATATCCGAGTGACAATACTCCTGTGTGTTGACATTATGAAATAGACTTACCAGATGTCAGCTGACGACCCCTCTTCAAAGCGGACATTTCCCCCTGTCTCCAGTTCTATCATGAACCTGCTGATCAATGTATCTGACATCCGATGAAGACGACTTTCAGCCTCTTCACAGTAACCCTCAATCCTAAACACATTAATCACAAGCTTAGCAAGACAATGTAAATAGGTTAGGGTTGGGACAGTTATCTCGGGTACTCAGGGTGGGTGGGTACTGAGTAGGACCCAGGTATCTACAGGACTACCCAGACCCGTGGTTAGTCATGTGATATATTGTTTAATAACAATAGTAATAAAATTCCATGATTACACAAGTACAAGTTGCTAATGTTCGCAATTCTTTCTGACTATGCACACATTCCTTTGAATTTATGTTTGATTTAAGACAAAGCTTCAGCCAACTTCAGTGCATGCACGATCAGATCGATTTATACTATATCTAAATACTTTCTGCCAGGCCCTGGTAAAACAATTTCCAACTGAACATTTTGTACCAAACTTGAGACCTTCAGCGGGTACAAAGGTAGGTTAGGGTAATAGGGGGTCGGGTACCTGGGTAGTCATTTTGGACTCATCCAAGCCCCAAAGTGTAAGTACAAGTTTGGCATATTGTATATCGCATAGAAAAATGCTTAATAAGCCATACTTAATGAAGGTTTCTAAGTTTAAAATAAAATTTGTTTCACCATGTGAAAATTTTATATGGATAAATTACTGTGGCCTTGACAAGAGTACGAACCAGGGAACTTACTCTTCACATTTCCTCTCCAGCTTCCTCAGCCTTCTCTTCAGTGCATCATACTTGTCCATGATAGGCTTTCGATGATGGCTGTGATCCACTACTTTCTGAGTTGAACACATGATTATTTCATTTACTTGGCACTGTCTGTTACTGACTACCTAGACATTGTATGAGAAACTATGCCAGTCATGAGACATATATCAGTCACCAGAGAACAAGGTAGCTTCTCATTGTTGATGCATTGCACTCCTACTATTGATTACAGCCACCCCAGGGTATCACTAACTTAACCCTACAACCATTCCTTTCCTACTAATCTGTGAAAGAATTCAACACTTTAATCCAAATAGAATGACATATAAGTATCCACATCATACAACGTTTAGGACAATGATGCCTTATGAGTGGTCCCAATTAAACATGAAAGTCAAGGGGCGTAATCACTGTCATAACCTTACTATTAAATAGTCATGGTTTTAGGGTCCCTTGTTTCACACAATAGCAGTAAACCTCAAGGGCCTCAATGTTTTCTTTTCCCACTTACTGACCAGGATTTTTCACAAAGAAATCTGTTATCCAAGAAAAAGCAATCTGTCCCCTATGTCCTTACCTTCGATTCCTTTGCATCTTTCTCACTCTCGGTGTCGCTGGTGCACATGTTGAGGTCCTCCCCTGCCTGCTGCAGTTCCTGCACCTCCCGCTCCAGCTGCACACACAACACACCATTACACACCCAGTAGCTGTACTAGGGAGCGAGCATGGATTAACACTGTTTCGAATCATATTTCACTTACATTGTTGCTTAATGCAGGAGGAAGTTTATTACCAGAACCGCTTTAGTGAAACCCTCGAACACAGGTATTGTGCTGATAAACCAAGAATTACACTGAGGGTACACAATCCATGAGCAACAGACTTTCACATGGCTAAGGGATGAACTCTGTCACATTATCTACCGATCAAGGCCTCATTCAACCAAAAACCATAAGGTTATGACTGGCAGATGATATTGAATGTGAATTACTATAGTCGAAGCACAAAGGCTTATAACTTTTTATCACTTAGTTTAATGATTTTGTTCTCTAAAAAAACATAGGGTCAGTGGTCGAAATAAAAATAAAAAAATAATTGCAGAACAACAGTTTTGTTAAAATCTATAAATAGTATAGTCTGTAGAGTAAACAAATTAACTCCATAGCCAGTTAAACCCATAAAAGCAAAAACATTCCTGAACCAGTTAGCAATGGTAAAACTTTTTACAGACATCATCTGTGTTAAACCATTTACATTACAAGCTTCTATATGCCCCCAACACTACTAGTATTAATTTTGTTTGGCAGACTCAGAGGGAATAAAACTGACAATATTCAACTCTAAGAGTGAATATATCCATGTAACAACGAAGTTAGAAAGGATATCAATGGGCTAGGCAAAACCACATCCATAGCACATGTTGATTTGAAGCAAAGTTCAGAGGTAGCTAACCATGAATGGGTGACCGGTTTCCAGGGTGCATCCAGGGTGCTGTTTTCACTCTTTGTTATGGATATCAGAGATTAGAAGCAAACTGCACCTTGTCATACACATAGTTTACACATAGTTAAATTTATATCAACCATTTTAGACAGTGCTTTTATTTTGATTTTGTAAATGGCTGACCTCCTTCACAGCAAACACTATCTTTCTCATTCTCTGGTAAGGTCCCTCCAACAGATGGCGCTTGTGTGTCTCCAACTTTGAGACGAGAGCTGTCAAATTACGGCGTATGACTTTCAGCCTCATGTTGTAGTACATCTTCTTCTTCGTCACAGTTGTCTGTAATGAGGGCCACAGATACATCAATAACTTCCATGTCGTTTCTTGCAATGTGATTGGCCGATATTGTGTTCATAGACAGCTTGACAACTCAAAATACATTTCAGCCACACTCACACTTAAACCAACATGAGTAAGTTACTTTAAATATAATAGATTAGAAATCATTATGACACAACATATAGCAGCTGAGTCAACCCATAAGCAGAAAAATATTATCTTTTGATTTTTTTCAATCTGGATAATTTCTACATTTTTTCACCCAAACAGCTCTTCAGGTAAATCTATATCAAATTGTGCTTAGCTGAATATATATCTTACCTCATCATCCACCAGGATAGAATAGCTGGAATCTCTTTGAGATAAGATGGTGATTTGCGTTTGACTGTCTGCCTTTTTAAATCATTGCCAACCCCCTTTACCCCGAAAGCCTTTTTTCCCCATTAGATCTTGTTGGTTGACAGATAATATTTTTTACAAAACTTGAAAATGGTGGATGAAAAAAACAAGGAACTAAAAACACTTTCAATTCTTTTGGGTCTTATGTGAAAACATATGGTTGGTAGATATATTAAAGAAACACAATTATTTTATGTGCATGTATTGTTGGTTGTGGAGAGTTATCTTTTGTTGGAACAATTTCTCATTGATTTATGGTTGGTTGGTTTGTTGTTTAACGCCGCACTCAGCAATATTCCAGCTATATGACGACGGTCTGTAAATAATCGAGTCTGGACCAGACAATCCAGTGAGTAATATCATGAGCTTCGATCCACGCACTCGGCATCGATGACATGCATCAACCAAGTCAGCGAGCCTGACCACCCGATCCCGTTAGTTGCCTTTTACGACAAGCATAGTCGCCTTTTACGGCAAGCATGGGTTGCTGAAGACCTATTCTACCCCGGAATCATTGATTTATGATACATTTCATTGCTAAATGGGTGTAATAATAAAAAACTCTTAATTGTGAATTATATTTTTCTTCTACTTTCGTGATATTAACGGTTGTCCGATCCATAAACCAATAAAAAAAAATAATCGCTTCACAATCCCATCAAAAGAAGTCTCACCATGACCAAGACGACAGTTTACAGAAGTCCATGTTATTAAATCTACTACTTATTGAAACTATGAAGCTAACAATCATTTAAATAAATCAATCACTCGGTCTTACTTCTGCAAGATCACTGAGCTGCTTGGCGGTGATGTCGTATGTGTCGAGACGCAGTAGGTTCGGTAGATGATACAACAAGTGTGTGGAGTAGTTACACAGCTGACTCACAGGACTGGCGGAGTACAGAGGATCCTTCAGACTCACACTGTTCAAGTGAGGGAACCGTGCAAGGTTGGTCAAGTCCTACAGTGGCCAAAACATATCATTAAGTGAGTGAGTATAGGTTTATACCGCTTTTAGCAATAATCCAGCAATGTCACAGCTGTGACACCAGAAATGGGCTTCACACACTACCCATGTGGGGAATTGATGAGCGAACGCTTTAAAAACTAGGCTACCCCACTGCCCCTCATTTCATTAAGAGTATGATTAAGCTAGTTAATACTTAAGGCCACAATAAATTAATAGATTTTCATCAAAATTTAAAAAAGGTGATGCAGTATATTTTGTCACTTTTCTAAACAAACTGTTCGAGACATCTGTGTCCATTAACTGACAACAGTTAAGATTCACATGAAGCATGACGCTTGGTAGGACTGTGTACATGGAGGATATTATCATGTAAAGAAGACAACACAAATAGTGATTTTCTTTGTCTTTGGGTACTTTGGGAAAATAAAATGTGAGGCTGGGTGTTTTGAAGTGAGATGGACGGGTGAAATTTTATAATAAATTCATCATGGTCAAATTACAAAAATTGAACATTTTATATTAAATTGTATATTGATATACTTGGCCTATCTAACGCAATGCATTTCTTCCTTCTACTTTGGATCCTGGTGTGGAAATGCTCTAAAACAGTTTCCAGCTTCAAAAAACATTTTGCCCGAACACATCCTAGCATCATCATGGTCACCACCCAAACAAATGGGTCACTCACTGTAATCCCATGCGCCGCAACCCTTAGCGACCTGATCACCTGACATAACCTGCCACATCGTTCTATTTCTCAAATCAGACGGGCTGGTGTAACTGTGATGTGGGAATGGTCAGGTGGGTATATAGCATGTGAGATAGGATAAGTATATACATACACAATTTATTATAAAATTTTCAAATTTTTAAACATATCCTATCTCAAACCATGCATTTATCCCAGAGTTGGACGGTGGGGCGCAGATACCCTAGCCTGTCTTAGACTACAACTGTGTGAAGTTCTGAGGAAGCTGTTGCTGAACAATGCATCTGTTACATGATTGCTACAATGTTTAATGTCATAAAGACAAGAACTTGCAAATGGGAGAGCACTAACAGAAGTGAGAAACTCCTTTGCATTACAAGGACATAAATATTATGATATCGGGTAATACATGTGTCATGTGTCTTCACAAAGGACATCAATTCAAGAACGATCGCGTAGCTTTGAACTATGGCAACAAATTCAGCCACAACTTTTAACCAACCTGGAAGGGGGCTCCAGTCCATCGGTTCTACAAAACAAGCCTCACACTCTATCTCTGACAGACAATAGCTTGGCATCTCTTTTAACGCCTTGTCAAAGCTATCAAACACACCAGGAGTGAATAAAGCATGCTGAGACGCGAAGAAGAACAATCGACAAAACCCAGAAGACAGTCTTCAAACATCTACTGAGACATCACATGCAAAAAGGAAGGGGTGAGAAGGTAGCGGTTTAAGGACATTGTTGAAATGGCCGCACCTTGTGGCGACTTCCATGCTGAAGACCTAAGTCTCTTTAGATGAGTCTTGTTGCCCTCTAAAGTGTGGCAATAATAAACAAAGAAATCAAAATTCCAATATTTATTTCTGTATGTACTAGACATGGTACACGATTCATCCGAAAGTAGGTTCTTCGTATCATCATCTGCGCTGAAGAACTGCAATCAACTGATGTGCAAGGACCAAAAGACTGTACTAGTGAAGGCCTTGGACATCTGTGACTGATATGTCACGTAGATAGTGGGAAGCAAAGACTGTATCAGACTTCCAAAAGCACCCTTCCATAATATCAGACAACATGCAATTACTGTGCAATGCCATCGCAGAGATCTGGTTGGCCCGGCAGCTGATTCTTCACTACAAATTCCTAACGCAGTCCAAGGAAGACTTTCCTGTGACGTTGCCTCTCAAAACTGTTAACATTAAGAGCATGAAGTTCACGTGTCGTGTAGCTGTTACTGGAGCCAGTAGAAAAACCGTCTTGAGGGTGACATGTTAAAAAAAAGTATTTCTGGAGGCTCATTGGCCTCCGAAGTTAGATACGATAAGATGGCTTTAAGGTCCCATGTAGGTGGTTGAAATCAGGACTATTGATCCGCAAGTCTGTAGGAATGAGAGGCTGCAACTCTGCAACCATGGAGACCTTCGAGCATGTTGTAGTGGCAATCATTGAATTAATTTCAGCAAGATAAGTAGCCACTTGTGGAGGTGAAGCAGTGGTCGGAGTCGTGATATCATGTATTTGACAATACCCTTCAAAGGCCTTCCACTTATGATCATAAAAGGCCTTAGGAGAAGTGTGATGGGCTTCGGTGATGGCCATGGCTCCCCTTTTGGAATACCCCTTGGCTACAAGGGACTTTGGTGTTAGCCAAACAAAGTCGGAGGTTGTCCAGCGATAGGTGTAACTGGCAGGAGTAGATGCATTTCGCATCGGTAGCGATGGCACCTTCGATATGTGATGTTGACCAGACGGAGAACCAACTCTTTGGTGGTCAATACTCGAGGTAGAAGGTTTGTTGGGGGACAGGCTTATTCATTGAAACCCTCTTAAGACATGTCTAGAGCGTCATGATCACAAGCCTTTGGATCCAAGATCGGTGAATATAATCTCAGCAACTGTGTGTTGAATCGAGTTGCAAAGAGGTTGATGCCAGGATCTGGAAAATTGTGGGATAAATTCACCATTCCATCAGGTGATGGTTGATCTGGTCAGGACAGAGTGTCCGCTATGCGATTATGGAACCCCAGGATGTGTCAAGGCCAGAACCTGAATGCAAAGGGAATCGATCAGTCGGAACAACTGTATAGCTGTTGACAGAAGGGACGCTGATTTGGTGGAGCCCATCTGTTTATGTACGAGACCATTGCAGTGTTGTCAGACTGGATCATGACCTGCACAGAGAACATCGGACAATTGAGATATTGCCAGAATCACTGCCTTGAATTCCAAGTTGATGTGAAGCTTCTTGTCGTCTACGGACCAAAGCTCTGCAACTTGAAGATCGAGAAGGTGTGCGGTTGAGGCATTGAAAAAACAAGTGGTGGGTCGGAATGAATGCCTTCAAAGAGACTCTGCTGCAAACATTCAATTCCTGAAGCCTCCACTGGAGATGTTGGTGTGATGACAATAGGTGACGGATCTCTGAGGAGCTGTGTGACGAAGGGGTCTTCCAGTATGGTCCAATTCTTGGCAAAGAAAACAAATCTTCTGGCTACTGGGGACTGGTATATGAGTATGACGGGGTAGGGTTAGGGTGGAAGATCCCAGTTGCCCCAAAGCCGTAGTAAGTCACTTGGAGGAGGAGTCGCCTTTGCTGAAGTAAAGGAAACTGTTCTGGGGCTTGAAGTCTTGAATCCCCTTAGGCCTTGACATCCTTGTCTTCTGCGAAAAGAGCCTTTCTTGTTCATGAGTACTTCCCGAAGATTGCGATGTACCGATGTGAATTGAGGACTACGTCGCTGCCGTTGTTCCTCCAAATGCTGTAGCGGAAGTCCTTGGAATTTTCTCATGGATTCGGTTCACATATTAAAATGGAGTGGACCAAGGTAGCTGATAGAGCTGCACCTTAAAGTGGTCTTCCAACTGGGAGGAGTGTAAAATTCCACATCGATGAAATGCTGTGAAGAGTCCCAGACGGTGACATAACAGATCCATAACACCCTGGAACTTGTCATGAATTAGGGCAATGGCCCCTCTGATATAGAGGTTTCATGGCTAAGTGGGGACATCTCCGTCTGTTTCTGGAGAAGCAATAGTGGCTGACATACCGTGTGTTCCACATTCCAACAGGGTAAACTTTGGAGATGTCTCTGAAATCGTGATGTAAGGTGGAGTAGAATTGGTAACCACAAGTCAGTCATTAGATCCTTACAACTTCTTGGAAAAGTTCAGTTAATCCGCAATCCACGGGAGTGTGTCCACAGGGTCGACATACTGTAAATCTGGAAAGATTTGTGCCATGAAATTACTGCAAGTAGCTACTAATAGCCTTAACTGCGTCTTGAAAGTATTGCGACACCCTGGTAAGATTACCAAATATAAAAGCTACTTTTGCAGGTGTTATATTTGATAAGTAGGAAGCTGCATGATGAAACAGTAACTCATTGTCAGTCAGTGATTTTAAACTATAGATACATGTGTTGTTGTAGTTGACGAAGGAGGTTGGAGTAGCGTGTTTATCTAACAGAATAGACTGGCTGGCGTATTTCTGGATTACTCAGTGTCATGTCAACAACTTGACGAGATGTGGCAAGTTAATGAACTTAGATGAAGTAGACTTTTGATGCAAAGTGACAAATTGTAATTAGGGAAACACAGGATGTGAGAGATTATTTATTCATGTACTGGCTGGTTTGACACCATCTGCACACCGTGTGAAGATCCGAATGATGCTATGGATCTGAATCTATAGATCGAGACCTGGCTTCCTGTTGATGTTGATCCGAATGACGATGTCGAACCAAAGGTTCTGATTGACCTTGCGTCTTAGTAGTATGTCAACCCGAAGGTCAATCCAATGGGTTGATTGAGAGTCCTCCTCAGTTGATCCAACTCTCAACTATTCTTCTTCTGTTGTGATCGATCAGGATCCTAAGAACGATGTCGATCCAAACGTTGATGTTGATCCTTATTACAAGTGTGCTGCCAACTTTTTCTTCCTTGTGGTGAAGGCGACGAGGGGCTCGAAACAACAATCCCAGAATTTGGTGACTGTCCCTGAGAAGTCTGGGGTGAGAGATTATCCCATGGTTGGGGTGTGCAATCTTGACTATAACAGGATCATCCTGGTGAGGAGGGGGGATGAAAGGCAACTCTCAGCTGAGGGACGTGGCATGGTGGGTGGTTTGTATGTAATTATCGTCGAATTCTGTAGGGGAGGTTTATTCTTTGTGACGATCAGCCGTAGTAGTTTCAACAATTGCTTAGGTGTTGTCAGGTGCACGGGGACGGGGCATGGTCGTAGATTTGGCGGGAATATCCGTGTGCAGAATGCTATCTGACACTGCGTCATTTCGAATGCTAGCGATGAGATTGGATGATCGAAATCTTGTAGTAGATAGTCGGCTGGGTAACACAGCTTCTTCATTGCCAAAGGTTCAGCATCTTTGGAACTGGATTTTGATCGCCGGTCTACTGAGCGATTTGACACTTGCAAATGTAATTCTTGAAATCTTCCTCAGGGAGATGAGAGCAATATGAAGATCAGTTGGTAGGTTTGCACTTATGTCAGGTGATCAGGTCGTTTGGGGTCTCGGTACATGGCATTACCGTGCATGATCCATTTGGTTTGGTGGTGACCATGGTGATGCTAGGATGAGTTCGGGCGAAATGTTTTTTAGGCTGGAAACTTTGTTTTACAGCATTTCCACAACAGGATCAAAAGTAGACGAAAGAAATGCATAGTTTGAGATAGGATAAGTTTAAGAAATTATAGTTTCATTAGTTCATGGACACAAGTATTGCCTTTAATGGGATTATGTTATCAAAATGTACTGCAGTATTTCATCCCAACTAACAAGAATGGAATACAAAATGCATAATAATCCTAATTTACGAGTGTTTGTTAATGCTGCAGTAAATCAGAGTTGCAAGAAAAACATTTTACCTTAAGTGATGACACTTTGGTGCCAGACAAGTTGAGATCTTCTAATCTGATATTGGCATCAAGTGATCTTCCTGAAAGTAACAACATCCAACATAATCCAGGAATTTGGTTCTGTGGCAATGAGACTGACATTTAACAGATAATTAATATCAACATAAACAGTCAAAACTACGTAACAGCAGAAAAACAGCTTGCATCATTCGTATCCTTCTAAGTGCAGGTCTGAGAGCCAAAAATTGGTTACAACTCTCCAGTGAAAAATTTTACCTATTTTTTCTATCTTGTTTTCAGCCAAATTCAGCTCCCTCAGTTTGATGAGTGTAGACATATTCTGGAAACCGATAAAGCATTAAAAGGTTAACGAGGCAAAAAAGTACCAGGTAACTTGTGGAACTCCATGATACATTGAATGGACATTGTTAGGAGGATGCTTATTTAAAAAAGCAAGCCTTAAAAGAATTCATGTCATTGCAGAGAAAACTATTTGACATTACTGTTATTTCATCTAATATCTATGTAGATGCAGGTCATCTAGGCATCCTCTGAACCCACATACGGGTGTCTAAGTGAGATGGTTACCTCAATGTTTGTAATGTTGTTGTCATTGAGCCACAGTACTTCCAACTGTGACAGCTGAGAGACATTTTCTATCAGGGAGATCTGGTTCCCATACAAGAACAGTTTCTTCAGTTGTTTGCATACTTCCACATTTTCAATTTTCTGTGAAAATAAAATTATGCTTGTATATATTACACATCATATCTATACTCTATCAGCACTACAACCTTAATTAATGTTCTCTAAGGGTAATGATAATTTGATTTGGGTGGTGGTGGTGGTGGTGGGATTGGTCTTAGGACTGTATCATATTATGCTGAGTCCTCACCCATAATATATAACATCCTCTCCTGTCCTATAACATCATAGTGAGTGAGTGAGTATGGTTTTACACCGCTTTTAGCTATATTCCAGCAATATTACGGCGGGGGACACCAGAAATGGGCTTTACATATGTACCCAATCAAATCCAAGTCTTTGGCATGACGAGTGAACGCTTTAACCACTTGGCTACCGGACCACCCCCTAAAACCCCATAACCTTAATTAATGTTCTCAAGGGAAATGGTCCTTTATTATTGGTGGTGGTGGGTGGTGGTGGTGATGGGATTGATGTTAGAGCTGTATCATATTTTGCTGAACCCTCATCCTCCAACCCCCAAGTATATTTGTGATAAATTTTGGCAACCCCTCCTCTTTCATTGTCATTTTTTCATAACACCTCCTCAATCTAAATAACAAAACATATATAACCACATTGTCAAGTTATCCACAAATACAATTATTTATAAAATCACAGCATTCTTTGTGTAAAATACAAAACTCCAACCTTGATCTGACATTCACACAGCCACAGTTCCTGTAGTTTAGTGAGAGCTGATAATCCATTTATCTTGGTGATAGTCTGACCCACAATTGTCAGGGTGTGCAGATTCGGGAAGTTTTGTAACCCAACAATTTTAGGGTAGCCAGAGAAAAACATTTCAATAATGTAAGCATTTTCTCCTTCACCACTTGATAACTTGCTGTAGTTGAGGCCATTGCAAGCACACTGAAAAGAAAACAACAAATATCACCCTCAGTTTTCACTCAGTTACATGAATTGGGGAAAAAATCAAACACATATTGCAGAATAATGGGTTTTTTTAGGATAAAAGTATCATTTATACTTATCCTGACTCACACTTAATGCTTATCTCTTCTCATTCACGAAAGGTAGCAGAAACTACTTGTGCTGTGTTCCCCAGGAACAGAAAAACATCTCACCCAATCTCACAGTTGGTGGTGGATCTCACCTCGCTGTGTGATTCTGTCACAATCCTTTTTTTAATAAAACCCTGGGAATGTGGTCAGACATCCAGTACGCTCTTCTGTATGTCTGTACAGCGGTACCACCGCAGTTTTGGAGAAAAAGGAACAAATCAAAGGATATTGTGGGCTTGATAAAAGCATGCGCAGAGGAGCATTCTAGCTTGCTTCATAATGATTATAGTGTTAAGAGAAGGATGTAATCTTGACACAATCGTTATCACTCATGTGCTGAAATACATAGTAATACAGGGGAACATGGACTCTCGGGTCAGTGGTTATGGGAAGTAACCTGACATATTGAGGATTGTGGGTAAATGTAGCCTATCTTCTGGTGGGTATCTTCCCCTCTCTTTGCTCCATCCTAGGCCACTTCAATCTCATTCTAGGCCAGTTCTTTCCCTCCTTGTATTGAGGTTGGAAAAGTTCAGTCTAGGCCAGATCTTCCCCTCTCTTGGCTCCAACCTTGGCCAGTTCTATGGCTCATCCTTGGCCAGTTCTTATCCACTGTGGTCATACCTCCCCTGGACTTCAGAGTGCGTCGTGGGCCAGTTTGCGGTCTTCTATGATGGAGATGTTGGAGAAGCACTTGGGGTTCAATGACGCAATGTCCCCATGGAGGCGGTGGGGGACATTCTGTGAGTGCCAGTCTCTGCTATGTTGAAACGCTCAGGGAATAGCTTGTCCTTCAGACAACAGAAGGCGGTAAAGGTTTCATCCACTTTCTTGGTAACATCGGTCATGATAGGCTTCGGTGGAAGCGTAATGGCGGCAGAGGCCGTGTTGGAAATTATAAATCCCAAGGGTGGTCATCAAAAGGAGTGATTGCATTGTAAGTTGAGCTGACCCGAAATCCAATGGAGGACAGTAGTCGGATCAACAGTGTGGAGACTGCCCAGAGAGGAAAATTGTGAGGCTTGACTGGCAGTAGTGGCATATAGCTGCATTGCTGGAACATTAATGTGAACAGCAACCGACATACTAGGAGGAGCGGCTAGAGTAGAGGACAAACTAGAAGCGTCCATTGGATGTAAATTTGGCTGACCAGTGCACTGAAGAAAGACCAATGTAATGGCCTGTAGTAATGACAAAGTCCAAAGTCGCAAGCGCTGGCTGATCCCGATGATCCCATGAGGTTAGTAAAGGTAAAGTAGACGGCAGATTCTTACTGGCAGGAGCCTCGATGGGTTGGGGTCACAGCGCAGGAACAGGCAACGGAGACAACGATCAACTGCAAGACTCGATCTGTATGGGTAGCACCAGGGGATGCAGCTTTTGGGAGAGATAAGAATGTCAATGCCGATCTAACTGTAGATGTTGATACGGATGTCACTCCCGTGGTAGCGAATAACGGTAGAACTCTGATCTGTTATCCGGGTATGGTTGGTATTGAAGTCGATTCCCATAAGGGCCCAGTGATGATATCGATACAAGAAGGAAGGGTAACGATCCTGACTGTGATCCCTCTAAGTGCTGTAGTAACTGGGAGACTGGGGAGGGTGGGAATCAGAGGATCTAGGTTAATCCTGATGGCTAGGGTGATCTGTAGGACTGGAATGACGGGGAGGTCGACAGCGAAGTATCCATCCCTGCTGGGGATGAAAGTACCGGAGATGGCGGATGGGAGACTGTAGCCTGAGAGGGGATGACTTCCACGAGCTGGGCTCCATCATCCTGCAGGGGAGAGGGGGATGATAGGCGACTATCAGCTGAAGGCCAGGAAGCACCGGGAAGGTTGGATGCCGTAATCGTCATTGTAACCGGGGTAGCACTGACTTTAGCCAGTATGGTATGTTTGTCAGACGTAGGTTGTAGAGACTTCGAGGAGAGTACTTGTTGACGACTTGGTTTTGGCAGGAAAATCTTTGGGAAGAAGCCTCGTTAGAAAACATGTTGTCTTCTATCGAAAGTAATGTAATTGTCATGACTGAAGATGGGACAGTCGGTTTCTTTGTGACATGCTTAGGCTTCATGGAAGAGGACCATCCATGTTCTGTATCCCGTGGATTTGATTGGCCATCTAAGGACTTTTACGCAAATAGTTGGTGAAGGCTTCCTCTGACAGATGAGCACATCAGGAACATCAGAGACCAGGCTTGCAAACTCCACGACAATCGCAACAAAGTTCATGTTGGTGAAAATAAGCAGCGACACGTATTACAAGTCTGGCTTTTAGTCTCATCACTGCCCATGGTCATAGATGTTCGATAATGTATATGAGAGGAAACTCGAGCAGAAAATAATTAAAATCAATTCTCTACTACTCAAACATGTCTCCACATGAAAGGGAGAATGATGTGGCATTGGGTATTGGGTGATCAAACCGCTTAGGTCAGATCTCATGGGATTACAGTGCATGACCCATTTGCTTGGGTGGTGACTATGGTGACACGAGGGGTGTTCGTGTGAAATGTTTTTTGAAGCTGTAAATTTTGTCTTAGGATGTTTCCACACCTGGATCGAATGAACTTTGAAGAAATGCATAGTGTGAGATAGGATAAGTTTACAAATTTGTACATTGTAGATCACACCCAGAGCAGGAGAAATATAAATGCTTAAAAAAATCATGAGTGCCCAAACTTAATCAATGCTGGATTCACAAGAAATAATTTGAAGGAATCAATGATTAGGCTTAAAAGAATTGGTTCTCAGGCATTGGCTTTTGAAAATAAAGTGAGGGCTGGCAGTGTTTTGGGGTTTGTTTTTTTGTTGTTCAACATGTTCAAACTAGTATGATACCAAATCAAAAGTTGTATACAATCAAGGGCCTCCTTACATAAAAGTATTCCTTGATGAGTAAAATACTGGAAAACAGTATTTGACTACCGTTGGACAACCAGAGTGTGTATAATACATGCATACAATGAACTTTGATTTCGCACCACGAACACGTTATCGTGAGCACACAACACCAGAAGAATCATGTCAACAAATCTATAATGAAATAAGCAAGTTAGTCCTGTTATTACACTATTTAGCTATAAAAGTGTTTGTGTATCTGGACTTGTGTTTGTAATCCATTTTACAACTTTTATGCAAGTTTTCATTCAATAATGATTACATTAAAATGAAATCGTGTATGAACTGATCTGCAAAACATATCAACTTGCCATGAACTCGCCTTGAAACAAGGTACAAAGTCTTCTGTATTCTTGTCACTGTATTGAAATTTGTTTTCAGTTATGATATTTGCCATGACATTAAGCATTAAACAAATTCACCCATAGATAGGGGAGAAAATGCTGATTGCTATTTCTAACTTATTTTACAAGACAAATACACATGTAATCTTAATATCTGGGAATGAAACATTGTCCGGCATACACATGATACAGTACACAAATACCACTGAATTTGTAAATCATCATGATGATACGAGCAGTGCCTGAGAACCAAGACTATTAATTTTTGTTAGCCTTAAATAAATGATAAACAGTCTATGAGCTTATCAGAATCAAGAGGAATCTTACTATCTCTCTCAGTATCTCCTCCTCAGCACTGTTGGATGTGATGGGTTTTGGTGCCACATACTCTGTCTTGGATACTGACTGAACAGGTCCTCGACTGGACGAAGTTCCTGAGGTGGTTGTTGAGGATGGGGTGTCCAGTGAACTGACCGTTGATCGTGTGGTGCTTGAGGCAGACATCTTGACAGATGCTGGGTCCGATTTTGCCCCTAAATCTGTATCCAAGCTGTCACTCACATCGCTGCTTCATGTGTTTGACCACAAAACATCCGATTGAGGAATATATGTTTAGTTCTGAAACAGAATATAAGTAGAATCATATTGGATTTAAGAAGACATTTATTTGTGGAAATATGTTGATTTTGTAAAGTTCATATATCCTTGTATGGGCCTGTTATGTGTCTTTGGACGCCTTAGAAACAATCATAGTATTCTCGCTAATCATGTGAACAACTGTAAATGTAAAACATCTCTCTCGCTTACAAAAGACAACTTACAATGTCACGACCCTCTTTATTGCACTAAAAACATGGTCGTCAAAAAATGTATAATGTCCATTAACGTATAATCCGACGATACAGAAATCCGACAAAAGGTAAACAAACATGCTGATGCAAATCAACTGTGACTTTCATTGTTTGTGTGGCAATCCTTTGCTCTGAAATGTTTATTAATTACCAACTATATGCGCTTCCAAACTGACTGAAGCGTTATGAAAATGTCACGTTTCAAAGACCAAATTACCCTATGACCACATATCAGAATGCCTTATTTATAAAATATATACACTTCGATAAAGGTCTGTGTATTTTCTACATTTTGAATGCGATTTATGGAAAAAATACCAAAATTAAGTCATGCAAAATAGTAGCAGAATAAATCGCATTCTTTACCTAATGTTTCACTGCAATCCTACACACCCAAGGTCGGAAAATGCGTCTGTTACACTGAGACCATAAAATACCGATTTGCTGCTTTCTTCAGTTATATTTTTAGTTCATTCTAACGTGTTCTATCGTTACCATTGCAAAAGGTTATTACAAAAATTGGGAAATGATTGATATAATCAGATCAAACGATAACAATAAGATGCACATCCAAAAACTCACTGTTCACTTCCGAGGGCCGCCATATTGAAGCCGTGTTTACAATTGTGATTGGACAATTAAGGTCACGTGTCACAGGTCATCGCTGGGGCAACCAGGTCATTGACGGAGAGGGAATTTCAAAAAGCAAGGAGAGAATAAAATACAGGCGGAGTGAGCTTTATTAAATGTCGCATCGGCATGTTTCTGCCATATAGCGGCTATTGTAAGGTGAAAGAGACTATAACATCAAGACTTCCCCCAAATGCATGCAATACTGGATACATCTTATATTGTTTGTAGAATATGGCGTAATGCATAAGTGATAATAGCCAACAGCACCGAAAATGTTTTAATCTGTTGGTAGCAAAATACACAATACATTTCTCTCCTCTAATTGTTTTTTTCCCCTGATGCTGATTTCATATGAGGAATAGAGCTGGCTTGACTTCCTTTTATATAATCTGAACGTATATAATCTATATTGATTTTGTTTTCATTAAAAGTATATTCCACAGTCATGGTGCAGGACTACGGTGTTGGAAAAACACCTTGTCAGGCATCTGACATATATCATATATTCTGTGATAAATATATCCCGAAAACATATTTTAGTATATTTAAACATACATTTTAAATAATGATCATAGGATACATGATCTCAATATACTTTTCATAAGGAAGATGTCATTTATAAATTAACTTAATTAATATCAATACCAAAGAAATAGAGCATACTATATCTCACTAATAAGCAATGGCTCAATTAATTAATCCACAGCCCAATTAAGATATTGTTGTTTGTTTTAATCAATACGTTTTAGTTCAAAATGTTCAAAATTAAATATATTAAGTCCGTATAATAGCATATAGTGATTAGAACTAAATGCCTTTATGTTAGGCTTGGCACAGTTGCTAATATTATTACAGCGAAATACCTTCATTCCGTGCGGCTACGTGCCGTTTTGCATGGTGCCATCGTCTCTGGCCTAGATCCGCTCTTGGCACGTCCGGTAAAGGAGCGTTTGTTTATAGTTTCTATGACCTGTTGTAGCGTGACATCAGCTCACGCAGCACTTGCTCTCCAGCTTTCAGCCGTGCAACACATAGTTATATTCGCGCATTCATCTATAGTTCGTTGCACCCACCCACCCACCCTGTTATCCTTAATTCCAAGTTATTCAAGCTTTGCAGCTGTCAATTGGTGGAATTTTATTGGAGCATAATGTTTGTATATAATGATGTTGTCATGAATAAAATGTTGCGGATGGGCGGGGTGCTGGTGGACTGCATTACAAGTTACATTTGGCGTCTTGGGATACGTCCAAAATTATAAATTATTTAGGATAGGGTTGCCCGCTTTACAGCAGGATACAATTTATCCATTCTGCTTTACAGCAGATGGCTTAGTGTCCGCTTTACAGCGGATGGTCAGCTTGGCAACAATAGTTGCCCTCGCTCATGGTTAGTCAATGGCAGCGCTGCATTGGTAAGCAACATGGGTTGCTTGGCAACGGTTGTTGCAGGGCAGCGGTTGCTGCAGTTGGGGTTGCTTAACAGGGGTTAAGCTCATTTCTGCAGTCCACCAGTACCTCCACATCCGCGACCATTTCATCCAATAATATTTCTTGTCTTAATTTGAAGTTCCGCTATCATGCATGACAGCGGAGCCTGTCATAATGGAGCCATGTCCTTATATAATAGAAAAGATGCAAGGTCAAGTTTTCATGTGTGTAGAAAGTGTGTGTGATAGATAGATAGTTGTATGGTTGAATTGTTTCAGATAATTGTAAACTTGCTAGTTGCTATCACGCACTTGTACATGCAGTTAATCCATTAAGAAAATGGTATCCTGCCAGCCTGGTCCCCTGGGTATGCTGCGCTGGCGCTACAAAGTGTAGCGCCAGCGCAGCATACCCAGGGAACCAGGCTGAGCTGAAGAAAATACAAAGACATTTCCATGCCTTATATAATAGAAAAGATGCAAGGTCAAGTTTTCATGTGTGTAGAAAGTGTGTGTGATAGATAGATAGTTGTATGGTTGAATTGTTTCAGATAATTGTAAACTTGCTAGTTGCTATCACGCACTTGTACATGCAGTTAATCCATTAAGAAAATGGTATCCTGCCAGCCTGGTCCCCTGGGTATGCTGCGCTGGCGCTACAAAGTGTAGCGCCAGCGCAGCATACCCAGGGAACCAGGCTGAGCTGAAGAAAATACAAAGACATTTCCATGCCTCAAGAAAACTCCCAAAGACGAAAATGGGTCAGATTTTAGGGAACTAGCAGAACGGTACAACTTCCGTGAAAGATAGAAGATAAACCAGGATGAAAGACCAGGGTCACTCTCAATCGGTTTACCGGCGAAATGTACCCTGGGTATACAAAACAATATATCGCATTCTACCCAGATTTTCGTTGCCGTATCTCTCTACCCAGACCGTATCTAAGTGTACTCCGAAATTGGAAATCTTTCGAGGCATAAGGTAAATGCATTGAGGCCAAGTGTAGACAGACTTTCACTGAGTGCAATCGAAACTACTTATAATATTTGCTTTAGATGCCATGATTTGTATTTAAAAATCCGACCCACAATTGCTTTGAATTGTCTTCAGAAATGGGCTAAGTCAGTATTTAATCAGTTTATAGAACACGGGTCTGTATCTATATTAATGGTGCAGTTGCTTGACACGTTTTAGGCGTTATATCAGTTTATTTTCGGGGATGTAGATGTAGATCAGCAACGCATAGAAACGCAATGGTCGAACGATCGCATCCAAAAGTTGGCGAGATATGACAATCTGTATTGGGAGAAAAGGTACCGATAATGACCGTTAATTGTTTGTGAGAATATTCAGGAAATACCAAACTTAACCACCCTGTTCATATAAATGAACATGTCCGACATTGCTGAAATCGGATTCTATTCAGGGAGTCATCAATATTTACATACTTGTAAATCTTTTTAAAGCTTCTAAATTTTCTTAACATCATTAAAAGAGGCTGTGCATAATAGTCCAAGAGATAGCAGGGAATTTATTTACCTCAGAGATCCAAAAGGTTTGAAATGTGAATCATGAAGAAAATTGATTATATTTTCGAAAAATCAATTTCTTTCAAATTGAATCTTGACCAATTCCTCACAGTATGCCATTAAAGGCATGACTCAGCTATTTTGTTTAGCGCCCATGTGATTAAGGAAAATACGATGTTTAATAAAAATTGAGACGGACAAAAGTTATTTGGGTATTGAAGCGTCGGTATGAGCATATACTTTATAAAAGAACACATTATTGCACCCACTATATCAAAATGTGTTATCTGTGATAGGAAATATCATAATATTTAATATTTTGTTTGCAAAGTATCATCTTTTGTTTCTTCTTACTCCTATAATATAAGGTTTTACGTTTCTCAGTAATTTTGCTTTACAAGCCCAACATTATTGGAACAATTTTATTCATTTTCATAACGAGTTTTGTTCAAAGGAGTCAGAATGATTTATTTTTGGTAAAGAGAGATAACTCCATCCTAAAATCATAAACTGTGACATTTCAGGCAGTTCAAGTACAATTAATGTAATAATAAGGACCAGATTTGAATAGAGTTAATCAATTAACCTTTCTAATGAATAGTTTTTAGTATGTGATTTTAATCAAGTGAAATGACTTGTCCCTGATGCCAAGATGGCCACAATGCTGGAAGCATATAGACAGCAGGAATGGAAAGGGTGAGTTGTTGTGAATACCCTTATCAGTATCTTTTACACTGTTTGTCATAAGTTGTGTAGTGATCCACAGAAAATATCATCTCTAGTTCAACAGTATAAAGTCTTGTGATCAGTTATAAAGCCCCTGCAAAAAAGTTAAGGCTACCAAGGGAGAATACTCTTAATAACAAGTATTTCCAGGGAGCAGTTGTTTTAGTTTGGGACTATTCAAGTTTGATTAATCATTTATAAAGCAATTTGTTTGTTTTTTTAGATGATGTGTAGTTGCAACAAATATGAAGAATGGGTGATCAAAATCTCAAATGTATTCTGCATCTGGGTCAACATTCAAAAGAACCAGTCAAACAGTTTGACAGTGAGTCTTGGCAACAAATACAAAATGCTGCAAAAACTTCGTCTGAACAAGTATTCTTCATCAAAATACCATAAAGCATGTTAATATGTGAGATCTCTAGATGCCACTGAACTGTCCTATGGATATCATATCATCTGCTACAAAATTTCACAGCTATTCCAAAAGAGATAACTGAGCCCCAAAGAAATGCATCTCTTTTACTCCTTTTACAATTGCCTGGTATTGCTTGTAATTCCTCTGGGGTATTTGAAAATGTGTGCATTTCCTGCAAAGCTGTTTCAAAGCGTGTTGAGGAAAATAGAGAAACACTTGAAAGATGCAAGAGTTTTGATGCTGAAGAAAAAATAAAATCTGCTGCTAAAACCCTGTGTGACCAAGCACTACTAGCTCAGATTTGTGACGTAGACTTCATATCGAAGGAAGTAAAATATCACCATTCCTGTCGTAGGCATTACCTCAAAAGAGCAGAAAATATATCCATCAATCATGGAGCATCTCTGGAGCACTCTGACAACAGCAAAGAAAACCTGACCAACAATGCACATGAGACAGCCTTCCAGACATCTGTATCAGAAACTGAATCACCAGTTCCAGATGGTCTCCTTCACTTACCTGGACTTCACACTGGCACGGCGTGGGACAATTATGATGAGAACACAGAAACTCTATCAGGTGCTGGGACACTTCATGACACAGTTTGTATATGTTACCAGGATATTCCAACAGCCCCAGTTACACCTGAAGATGTTCCAACACATACATCTTTTAAAGCAGGAAGAAAGAGATCATTCCAAGTAGAACAATCTTACATCAAACCCTACATGAAGAAGCCTAGGATTCAAAGGTTTGAGTATCCATTATCCAAAGAAGATGAGCCTACAAATTATGTACACTTAAGGCACATGGACATGCTCTGGATGATGGGTTATTCATGGAATCAGCAAACTCCAATGTGGATAGGATCGAATGCACGATGGTCTGAGGACTATCGATCACAACAAAGAATTGGGTATTTGAAAAACATAACAGAGCCACCAACACAACTGGATGTGATGGCTAAAACACTGAGGATATCTCAAGAAGTTGCAAAAGCCTGTGGTGAAAACATGGCACTTGCCACTTATGATTTGGCTATAGCAAAACTTGCATTGCAGATACAGGCACAAGAAAAACCCACCTATGACAACGTGCTCGTTTGCTTTGTAGCTTTCCATATATCTATGACTTTTTTTGCTTGTTTGGGACACCTGGATGGATCTGGGGCACCATACCACTTGACTGAGACTGGCGTTCTTGCTGGTGGATCACTCAAGGGATTTATCAGTGGTAGACATTTCAATAGATGCAAACGCCTTCATCCAATACTAGCCCTCGCTTTCTGGAAACTACATTTCCAGTCCTGACTTGACAAGCACCATGGAATTATTTATGATGACATAAAGCAACTGGTGAGTTGGCGTCAATCCAACATCAGAGTCTGTCAAACTGGCTTTGGAAAAGAATGCAATTCTAAGAATCCTTGACACAGATGATGCCTATTCAGAGGAGACGAGGAATGGGGCTCATGGGAAAACTACTCCGTTCTGGATCATCTATATCGATCTTGTAAACCTGTATCTGACGTTTAGCAGGGCCTGCAGGACGTGTGACTTCAACGTTTTTGTGTACTGCCTTGCCTTTGATATGAATCGTCTAAATTATTGAAGATGGATGACCTTGTATCACTTGAATCTTCTGAACATAGATATCACACACCCGGTAGCTAAAGAGATGCTAAAAAATGGAGGACTTTCAATAAAGAGAGACACAAATTCATCCTCCAGAGTACCAGTTGATATGGCACTTGAACAAACTGTCAATGCTGATGCGGCTTCAAGGATGACAGGAATTTCTTTGTTCATACAATCAGAGTATGCTCGCACAAGATGGATGATAACTCGTTCTTTAAGACGCGCATTTGTGTCAGGTCTTCTTGAGATGGCTGGCCTTGACAGAAAAGATGAAACTTCTCGTGAGCAAAGGCTATGTCAGGTTGTGAGAGATCACAAGGATGCAATAGAAAATAGTTTGAATCCATTCAGTGAAGCATGTCCCAACCTCTATTGTATCAGTTCTGGAAAGGCTGTACAAAATGAAATAGCCAATGATCTTGTTTCTGTGCTACAGAAAGGAGAAGAGTGGTACAAGCAATTTCAAGATGGCTGTTTCAGTGATGCTCGACGATTTGAAAAACCTATTCCCAGATGTAAAGTAAAAAATGTTGCTGCTGGAGCTGTGAAACTTTCATGCACAGCCAAAGATATGAAGGTAAATGAGCTGAAATGCACAAGTGATCTGTTTGGAAGACTACTGTACCTAGCTACAACCTCAAACATCAACCTGCAAGAAGTCTTTCAATATCCCTTGACTCCAGTACCTCTTTGCTTTGCCCACATAGATGGCTCTTGATGTTTGTATTGTTGACGGGATGTTCTTTGTACATTCACTCACGAATGTGCCTCTAAGGTACAAGGATATTGCCAAAACAATGCTTATTGGCCAAACGTGTTGAGTTTGTTTGTGATACATATACAAGAGTCCATCCATTATACTATATTAAGGACAGTAAACGGCAAATGTTGGGTCCGACTGAATTTGAAGCCTTACTGACAGGTCCTCTCCATATTAGACCAATAGAATTACATCAAGCATTGAGGTCTCACTCATTGCCAGATGCGCACAGCGGCTATATGATTAAGTCCACCAAAGTACAGACCAGAATCATGGTTTACATTTATCAGTTTTCTCATTTTTTCACATACTAACCTCCTCCTTTCTAGAGATGTTTTTACAGTACTTATGTACACTCCCGCATAGACATTTGCCCTTTGAACAGGTAAATTTATGTTGCCAATGTACAGATGTTCAGGCGACACTGATTTCTTTCTACATCCAAATGTTAGGACAGCACTTTTGATGACATTGTATTTCAACTCCCACTTGTAAGCATAGTTTTTTGCACCGTCGAGGAGCATTTGAAGACCTGATCAAGGTCGTTTCATCTGCTACCATTATTCCTGGGCATCATCCCCATGGGAGGCATAGTCCACAACCGGAACTGCTAAATTGATGATATCGAATTGAAGTACATCGTTGATATAAAGAGTAAAGAGCCATGCTGATATGACACGACCCTGACCTACACCCAGGGAAAACCTCAGATTTGAAGCCAACAAAGCTAACACATGAGTACATATAATTATAAGACCTCGGACAGTGACTGGTCTGCTCGATGTCGCATACTGTGTCTGAGTGTGGTATTCATGTTATGGTAGCTGCAGTATGGTAGCTCAGTGGGCTGGCACTATAAATCGTCATCAGTCCAGACTAGTACAAACAGCTAGTTCACTCACACTTGCATGCACGTCGGTATATGAATAGTAACATTTTTACTGTTTGACATATATTTGTCAATATAGATAATCGTGCTGTCTTTGCAGAACCATCTACATGTATAGCCTTAAATATTACTAGATAGCCATCAGAACCTTTTAAGCATGTGTGTGTGTGTGTGGGGGGGGGGGGGGGGGGGGGGGATGTGTTCGAATCCAGGTTCGCTCCTAATATGTTTCTAGATTTGTCAGCACCATACCCGTGCTCGTGGGTTTCACCGAAGTGGTAGACGTCTGAGACCTGTATCACTTCGGGCTTTCCTCCCACATTAAGCTGACACGACGTCATATAACTGGAATACTGTTAAAAGCGGCGTTAAACCTAACTCACACACTCACTTTTAAGCATGGTTACCTTCGTACGGCATGCGCCTTATAAAAATATCTACATGTCCTGACATAACCGCCCACGCGAAGACAAGTCCTGCATACAGCTGCCCTACACAGACTCACAACATCGTGACTGACAGAAAGGATTGGTGCTGGTATCATTTGAAATAGAAGTACATTAGACTTAGGATTGTTTGTTGTCTAACGCCGCACTCAGCAATATTCCAGCTATATGACGGCAATCTGGAAATAATAGAGTCTGGACCAGACAATCCAGTGATTAATATCACGAGCATCGATCCACGCCTCTTGCGACAAGCATAGACAAAAACTGTTGAAAACAATGAAAAGTGAAAGATTGAAGCTTCCCGAAAACACACGCCTGAAAGCAGCCAGTGGTTTAGTCCATGCTACAACTGAACCCCACTCTTGGAAGTTGAAAATGCGACGTTTTATCTCCTATCTGCGGGGACCCCTGAAGATCCGGGGTGGAATAGGTCTTCAGCAACCCATGCTTGCCGTAAAAGGCGACTATGCTTTGTCGTAAGAGGCGACTAACGGGATCGGGTGGCCAGGCTCGCTGACTTGGTTGATGCATGTCATCGTATCCCAATTGCGTGGATTATTTACAGACCTCCACATATAGCTGGAATATTGCTGAACAAAGAAACAAAACTGTTGTTGCTGTCATGTCGACCTTCCATGTCAAAAAGATAACTGTTTACCTGGTGAAAAGAAAACCCTTTACCCAACTTCCCAACAGGAAAACAGAGATCGACTAACCAGACCATCTCCGTAAGAATTAATAGTTGAGAAGATTTCCTGCTGATTTTCCTGCAAGACAAGATCCTTGGTTTGGGAACAGTTCCCAATATGCGACTCCTCTGTGATGCTGTAGTCATGTATGGCGACGGGACATTCTATGTGGTGCCAACTCTTTTCTATCAGCTGTATTCCCTTCACGCCTGTGTCAGTGGTAGCTTGTATTCTCTCACAAAGCAAGTCACCTACGAGCGGATGGTCCTTCTGTTCCGAGATGTTGCTGCTGCACATAATCTTCAGCAGTCACCCCGAACCATACAGGTACATATAATATGAACTAATACGTAATAATGTAATAATATCCATAATATTCATATATAAGGAAACGCCATTGGCTTGTTTAGCAGTCCGTTTTCGATATTTTATATTGTTTTATATGGATTTCGAAGAACCTGCTAAACGAGCCGATGTCACTATGTTCAACTGTGAGTGGAAGGGCTGCTTCTTAAACTGTACGCATGTATTTGTATGCATTTTTTATGGGAATAAACGCTGACATCTACCATTACAGGACGTTTCAAACTAGCGATATTTCAGACTATGCTTTAAAAATATTTTGACAAAGTTCTCGATTCAAAATTTGAAGACATCCCATCTAATGTATGGCCTAGATTGTATGACAGTACTTCCCACAAGCTATACAAAGTATCTTCCGTTTAAATGTTGATCTCATTGAAGTGAGAGATAGGCGATACTTTTGACGGATTTAATCGTACAGCCTGTAACTATTATTCTAAATACCCCGTGTTTACATTTTCAAGGTTGCATGATTAGAAAACACATTCCGACTGTCACTTTTCTGATCTGGTAGCGGCGCTCTGATTGGTCGGATGAAAGGCATGTCGTGCACCGTCATTGGTTGTCCACAAATCTTTGTTCAGCTTCAGCGAGAACTAGGGTCTGATTTCAATGAGATTACAAAATATTACAAATAATGATTATTCGATTCGACAAATGCCGTTAACATTAAGCATGGTTACAACATCGTAACTAGAAATATCTGCCCCTGGGGATAAACAAGGGCGCGTAGAGAAAAGCATGACGTGTAATAATCACAGTACCCATACTCCCAGGCCTTTCCTTATTTGAGAAGGAGATTATCAATATTTTGTTATCGTAAACAGAGAACATTATAAAGCAAAAACATTGATGCCCGACGCCGGGGACACGACCCAGCGTATGTCGTCATGGCGGCTTACCCGTCCCACCACCTTACGCTCACAGGTAAGACTTGCTATGGGCGTGATAGCGCTGTGAATTTTATTAACACCGTTTGAAACATCTCTTGCTGGTTGGGGTTGAAGAAACACGTAAATAAATACGGATGGCCTTCGGGAAATCTTCTTTTTCTTTGCATGATCTTCCAAGTAATGAGTTTTGTGTCCCGCCAGTCGGCCTGGCGTGAAGACACCATTTAGAGTTCAGTCAATACATCATGATAGGGGAGCTATATCGGTACAGACGGATTAGTTTTGGTCGACTGTTGCGTCCGATAAGGACGTTGATAAATAGTACACATATATATACACAGGAGTAATAAATAGGATCGGACATCCACAGAGATTCTGAAACATACCTGTTGATAAATAGTTCATGTATACAGGAGTGACATGTAGTCTCCCACACAGACCCTGAAACAGACCGGTTGATAAATAGTTCATGTATACAGGAGTGACATGTGGTCTCCCACACAGACCCTGAAACAGACCGGTTGATAAATAGTTCATGTATGCAGTAGGCCTCTGGACCGGAGCTGATGATATACAAGACGTGTATCTTGTTGCCGTATTAAGAGGTATATCCGTTAACAACCAGTATCCGCAGGTAACGGGTTCGAATCCAAAGTTCGTCCCGTTTATGATCTGTGATTCACAGGCACATAACCCTCCCTTACTCGTAGGATTCCTGAAGTGCGTGTGTATGGTTTTACGCCGCTTTTAGCAATATTCCAATATATCACGGCGGGGGGCACCAGAAATGGGCTTCACACATTGTACCCATGTCGGGAATCGAACCCGGGTCTTCGGCGTGACGAGTGAACGCTTTAACAACTAGGCTATCCGACCGCCCGGATTCCTAAAGGTTTGACCGCATTCGAAACGTGTAACTTCGGACTTTTCCCCCGTACCGTGTTTAATTTACTCACTGCAGCCGCCGCCGCTTGCGTCACCTGACTTAGTGTTGGGTAGAGAAGCAGTGTATAGCGTATTCAGACCAGTACATCTCCCAACATGCTCGCTGTTTCATCTTGTTTATTTGTTTGTTGTTTAACGCCGCACTCAGCAATATTCCAGCTATATGACAGCGGTCTGTAAATAATCGAGTTTGGACCCGTTTCGCATTGCTTATGAATGAATGAGTATGGTTTTACGCCTCTTTTAGCAATATTCCAATATATCACGGCGGGGGACACCAGAAATGGGCTTCACACATTGTACACATGCCGGGAATCGAACCCGGGTCTTCGGCGTGACGAGCGAACGCTTTAACCACTAGGCTACCCGACCGCCCCCCACATTGCTTTTGAAGTGGGGGTGATCTCATGGTCGGGTGTGTAGCAGTAGTAGTGAACTATATAGTCTAGTCACTGTGTCTCATGTTCCGTGATCATATCTATCTTGCCGTGACTACCCTATCCTTTCAACGTAGCATATCCGGTTAGTTGACTGCACCCACTGATAATAGTCATATTGTATTACCACTAGTTATTATAATGCACGATTCGAAAAACATATATTTTAATTAGGATCCTGTTGGACCAAAAGATTATGTCAAAGTGTGTTTGTTTTTTTACTTACGTCAGGTGCAGCCAATTATATACGCAATTATGTACGGCGGAGTCACGCGGACCTCGCTGTGAAGTCTGAATGCATATTTGAAATAACATGTTGTGCAAAGAATAGCATGCAGATGGAACAACCCAGTATGTCTATGCATATATAAGAATGACGCTTCTTGAGGTCATATTATATTAGAAAACCAGAATGTGAAAATAAGTACATAAGATGATATTTCTATTAATGTCAAGATTTAAGTGTTTTGACATGGAGCAAATGTTTGTTTGTTGTTTAACGCTGCACTCAGCAATATTCCACCTATATGACAGCAGTCGAGTCTGGACCAGACAATCCAGCGGTTGATATCATGAGCATCGATCCACGCAATTGGGATACGATGACATGCTTCAACCAATTCAGCGAGTCTGACCACCCGATCCCGTTAGTCGCCTCACACGACAAACACAAGCATAGTCGCCTTTTACGGCAAGGACGGGTTTGCTGAAAACGCTGTGTATTAGTTTCAGAGATATTGTTTAAAACTCATCTTGGGTATTCCAAGCTATCCGAGTTAAACCGACATATCAATTGAATGGAGTGAATGTTCATTTTGTCCGGTCCAAACTTTACAGACCGCCGTCGTTCAGCTGGAATATGCTGGGTGCGTGAGTTTGGTTTCTCTGAGTTATACCAATGGGTGGGTGGGTAGGTGGATGGTTGAGTCGCTGTGAGCGAGTTTTAAGTACAGTCAAGTAATATGACGACGGTGATACCATTCGGTTCCTAACCACTGACCTCTAGATGGATGTTGCTAGTTATCAGCCAAGCAAAGCGGTTGTTAAATGACCCATGAAGTGAAAGGTCATGTTGTCTCTCTGTTCTGAATAAAGACTTCTGACATATATAAGGAAACAAAGATATACTTTGTTTACACACATTGTATTCTGGCATACATGCGCAGCCAGGCCCACCTCACACACTATCACCCCGTTATAACGCCAACCTCGATATAACGCAGTATGGTTATTATAAAGGTTCAATGGTTTGGTAATGGCTGTCTTCGATATAGGAACGTTAAGGAAAGACACTTGTCAAATTATGCTTCTCAGACGCTTTAAAATATTCAGTAAAAACCTTTTCGAAAGGATGTTGATAATACGCTTTGTCGACATTAACCTGCTACAGTGGCATTGAAACAGAGAGCGACCCGATAAGATCCGGGGTAGAATAGGTCTCATGCTTGCCGTAAAAGGCGACTATGCTTGTCGTAAGATGCGACTAACGGGTAAGAGTGGTCAGACTCGCTGACTTGGTTGATGCATGTCATCGTATCCCAATTGCGTGGATCGATGCTCATGATGTCAATCACTGTATTGTCTGGTCCAAACCCGATTATTTACAGACCGCCGTCATATAGCTGTAATATTCCTGAGTACAGAGTAAAACAACGAACCAACCCAATTGCGTGGATCAATGCTCATGATGTCAATCAGTGGGTTGTCTGGTCCAGACTCCATTATTTACAGACTGCTGTCATATAGCTGGAATATTACTGAGTGCGGCGTTAAACAACTTACAAAAACAAAACAAGAGTCACCTTTCCGCGGCGGGGAATATAGCTGAGCGGATAAAGCGCTAGCTCTTCTTACTATCCTGGGTGCCCTTGTATCAAAACAACCATAGCGTTACGCTTGTCGTAATTCTACGTTAAGCTATAGGAGTTACGATCACCTTAGCACTGAGATCGCTTTGTACAACGGCACCCTGGTTCAAATACCACACATGTATATATGGCTTTTGGAATTCCTGGCTGATATATTTTAAATATTTATTGCTTAACGCGACTGAACTCTAATTATCTATTGATTAGTTGCCTGATAAGTAAGCAAGAATATGCTCCGAAATCGTTGTCCTGTGTAAGTAATACGATAAATTGTCGCCAGAAGAAGTGCATTTCTGTGTTTACCACTGCATGTGTACATCGTATACTAGACTTGTACAAGTCTCTAAGGCAATATTTATTAGTTTAAATAATAATTTCTAGATTATGTAAATAATAAGAACAAGTTGTTCCGAAAGGAGACTGGAGTTTGTTTACATATCTAGACTTGCCTATTAGGATGATAGAATTACTACACATTCATGGACTTATCTTTCTGTTCAGCCTTGGAGCAAGGCTAACCGTATGCTGTTAACGTATAATGTCTAATGAAGGTGCATGTTCCTTTACCAACGGGCGAAGGGCTAGCCTAGTGGTTAAAGCGTTGTCCCGTCGCGCCGAAGGCCAGGGTTCGATTCCCGACATGGGTACAATGTGTGAAGCCCATTTCTGGTGTCCCCAGACGTAAAACCATACTCACTCACACCTTTACAAACAAGTGAGTGAGTGAGTGAGTTGGGTTTAACGCCGCTTTTAACAGTATTCCAGTCACATCACGGCGTGTCAGCTTAATGTGGTTGGAAAGCCCGAAGTGATGCAGGTCT